CACTCCTGCCTTCTGTGTGGTCGTGGTATTGCACCGGACGAATCAGCCAATTCGTGCGAAGCGTACCACTGTTGAACAGCTGACAGTACATCTGTAACCCCCTATTTGAACTAAATAAGGCTGGTAATTAACAGGACATTTTCCTATTACAAAAATTAAAATACTGATATAAATTATACATTCAACATTAAACGAATATTTTTATCTATTGCAGAATGAGCATAGAATGTTTAAAATGTAAATTTTGCTATTAAAAATCGCCTGAAAAAAAAGAAAAGGAAATGTAAAATATCATACTCTATAAAAGACTCTTTACATTCTATGTTCATTGAAGTTTTGTTTTATTCAAGTTAAAATTTATTACTTATTTTGAACCAACTTACAAAAGGATTTTTTGCTTTATGCGCTGTAATTTTTTCCTGTATTTGAGTTTATACCTATATACATATATAGACCGACAAAGGACCGCGCCGGACACACCGCACGTACGGCACACAACGGATTTTTATATACTCTGTATGGGTTTTCATAGCTGCGTCCATTATCCGCGCGGCCCGCATCGCATTAAGACTAAGCGAATCCGTTTAAGCCGTGCGTGCGGTGTGTCCGGCGCGCGACAATGATCGCGTATCTTTAAGTCATCTGAACCATTGGGTATAAGCAAAATGAAATTATAACATCTCACTAGCGCCCCTATGCGTGGTCTTTTTAAAATTTAACATCTTTGTTTAAATAACCAGCCAATGGATTTCATATATTAGTGATGGTGTTTTTTTTTTAAATTTATTAACCTTGAACACGAAATACTTGTTTGAAGGTTTATATCAAGCTTTTATATACCAATGATTATTTCTATGAGCTTTTTACTATGTAAGTTGTGAAAATTAAATGAAGGTATCCCAGAACATTGTCACGAAATTAAGAAATTAAGTAAGTCGCTCAACCAAGTAACGTTTCTTCGTAATTGTCACGGACAAATTAAAGTTGATTCAAGTATCAAGTTTATTCTACGAACTAAATGCCCTGCCTATTGTCCTAAGTTTAGGCATTTCTTCGGAAGTGTTCCTTAATTTCTATTTCCTGCGGCACAGAGGAAGTTTGTCGTTTTTACGAGTTTAAACGTTCTTAAAGTTTTTACTTTCAAAATTGCCGTATCCTATCGAGACTTAACTGTATTGTTACTATATCTTTATGTTAAAATTTTCATTACTGAGACATAATCTGTATAAAAAAACTTACTTAAAATACAAATATACGTGTTATGTACATTCATTCTTAGGGTTCAGTACCTCGAAAGAAAAAAAAACGGAACCCTTATAGGATCACTTTGTTGTTTGTCCGTCTGTCTGTGAAGACCCTTTTTATGTAATATATGTATTATTTATATTTATATAAAAAATCATCATCATCAGCTCACTATACGTCCCCACAGAGGGGCTCGCAGCCTACCCTAAGTTAAGGGTGATTAGGCCATAGTCAACCAGGCTGGCCCAGTGCGGGTTGGTTGACTTCACACATATCTTTGAATTTCTTCTCAGATATGTGCAGGTTGCATCACGATGTTTTCCTTCACCGTAAGAACGTCGGATAAATGTACATATGTAAATCGGAAATCGAAAAACACATTGGCACATGGCGGGATTCGAACCCAGGACCTGCAGATTGCAAGTCAAGTGCTTGACCCCTGAGCCACCGACGCTCTCAAAAAAAATCATACGTCTGCCAAATTACTGATAGATCGGCTGCCAAATGTCACTTGTATTCCCAGCATTTAGATATTTTCATGTGGCACAGAATAATAAGTAGGTAATTTCAATCTATACAATTCCCAAATTCTTAGCCTCAAAATTTACATATTGCTACATAAAATATTTCTTTACTTTGTTATCATAATAATTGTAGTCTCAAAGATGCTTAATGTCTCGAAACTCTTGATTAAAAAGCCAGTCCTTAAAAGAGACATGGTCTTCAAGTTTTTTACATTAAGCAAAGTAGAGTACAATTTATTTCGACTTAAATAAAAGAAAAACAAAGAAAACATTATGTCAACAAGTTGTAATACCAATTTATGAGTGAACGAAATTTAATGGAATGGGATCAAAGCACTTTAGTCGCTTAAGTGGCCCCAACTTGAAGTTTTTACTACGCAAACGTATACCTGATACGGTACATTTTTATTGTATACACTTTTATTATCTGTGGTACATTACTTATATTGAAAAATTTTGATGTAAAATCTATTGAATGTTTTGATTTTTTAAACTTTTTCTACTTAATTAAGGAGCGGATGACATTTGAAATAACGGAAGACAGTGGTTAACAATTAAATTTTTTAACTTTTGTAAGATATATATGAATTTAATAGGAACGGCTTAAATCACGTATGATTTCGGACGCGTCAGGGGTTTCTTGAGGGTGATTGTTTATTTAACCCTTAATTTGATAAAATATAAAATGCAGTAAAAAGCTTTTTTTGTTGTTATTGTAATTGATACATATGAAACTATCATAAAAAAAATAAAAAAAAAATCTGAAAAGCTTAGTTTTCCTGAAAACTTATGTATGTCACAACATACATTGTCAAATCAAGGGTTAAGGTTCTTCGCGGTCGCGTTACTTTTGCACTGACAGTGAACTAAATCTGGACCCCTGATGGGTCCAAGACTAGTCGGTGCCGTCACCAGTCATACGTCAGTTGAACCGTTCCTAATTTATTAAGTAACGAATGATAGATCGATTTGGACGACAATTTTTTTTTCTTGGACATAGAGTAAAGACAGACATGATAATTTTAGCTTTATGAAATATACAATTAAATAAAACGTTTATTGCTTCAACTTAAAGTATAATAGTTTATTTTTAAGCCATTACAATTGCATATTTTTGTTTGTTACTAAACTTTGATATAAGTATGTTTGATAGATGTTTCACAGATGTTCTTTTTACTTTGTACTGATGGGTGATACCATCAAAGAAAAGATTTATTAAAAACAATTTGTTTCGAGCTTAAATGAATTTACAATTTTTATTTATAGATAGGATAAGTAGCTTGTCAAAAACATATACGAAAATACTATCGGAATCATAATCAGCTTACTATACGTCCACACCGAGGGGCTCGGAGAGTACCCTAAGCTAGGGGTGACAAGGCCATAATCAACCACGTTGGTCCAGTGCGGGTTGGTTGACTTCACACATATCTTTGAATTTCTTCGCAGATATTTACAGATTGCCTCACGTTGTTTTCCTTCACGAAAATCGAAAAACACATTGGTACATGGCGGAATTCGAACCCAGGACCTGCAGATTATAAGTCAAAAGCTTAAACCTCTGAGCCATCGAAGCTCTATTGGAATGTATGGATACTATTTAGTTTAATATAAAAGCATACTTGGTAATGTGATGAGAATTCTGTCGTATCTTGGTATTAAATAACATTATTATTCATGAGAAATTTTGATCTTCTCAGTGCTCATGTTGTTATGCTCCGTTTACATGATCAAATAATTTGACAAAATCATCCCGTTTTAGAATGTGGTGTAGTTAAGATAACTAAATATTGTCTACAAAACGATCGTTGTCCCTTCCGGAGCAAGGAAGATGTCTCAATAAAACTTGGAATAGCAACACAAATCTTGGTAAGATGCTGACAGTTACAAGGTTTTCTCTGCAATGAAAATCTTATTAATATTATAAATGCGAATATTTCTTTGAAGGTATCTCCTGAACGGCTTCATGGATCTTGATGAAATTTGGCATACATGTAGAGCATAGCCTGGAAGAACACTTAGGCTACTAATTAAGTTTGTTTTCATTCCACGCGGACAGACTCGCAGGCGACACCAAGTACAATATAAATGAATTTGTTATTTTTTAAACCAATCAAAATGTAGTCTTTACAGAAACCAACTCTCTTCAGTTGTTTAGTTGAAGTAGTCGACAAGTAAGATGACATTGTAAGCAAAAAAGGTCAATACGTTTCTGATCGATATGAGAGTTTTACACGAAGACAGAATAGTAAGAAAGAGTGGACAGTGCATTAACGCTGTTTTGACGCACATTTACTGTCTAATAGTACTATGGGCCTAGCATGAGTATTTGTGAGAAAGTAAACTTCTTTGAAACAGTTTTATTTGATATCAATCGCTGAGATACGACAAAATAAATGATAATTATCTTCGAGCATTAACATAAAGACATTATCTGAAAAATCCAATTTAACGATACGCTTTATAGCTCGGGCAGAGTCGTAAGGATAAAAACAAATGGCCTTAAAACATATCTCAAGTTGGTTTTGCATTTTATGAGTACATTATATTTTTTATTGGTAGGAAAGACTCTGTTCCTTTTATCTGTGAGTAGATTTGTCTGACAGTTACATTCTCAATGTGGTTAGTGCGGTCCAACAATAATTAATCGAACTGTCAAATGCAGAAAGTATATATCAAATTCAATTGGCTAGTTCTTACAGGTTATTTATATTATAAGTTTCGATTAAAAGCCTAATTTAAAAACAGTTACGTCAAATTTCATACATGGCGGCCATTTTGCTTTTTTAGTTCGATATCAGCGCACTATACGTCCCCATTGAGGGGCTCGGAGTCTACTCTAAGTTAGCAGTGACTAGGCCATAGTTAACTACGCTGTTCTAGTGCGGTTTGACTTCATACATATATTAGAATTTCTTAGCAGATATATGTAGGTTGCATCACCATGTATAATATACCAATCTGAATAAAACATATCGTCATCTCTGTCATTATCTTTGACAAAACAGAGATAAACATATGTTTTAAATGGAGATTTTATTGATAGCGCAAGTATCACCTCAGTCATATATTTGGCTTACTTTAAACATTCTTATATAGAAATACAATGAATCTGACAGAAGGTTAAAATATAACAGACTCATTTCTTTCAACAGTCGCTTTGTTTGTATGTAGTTGTTTGTTTAAGTATTAAAACATATCAGTCAGCGTATAGAACTGGAATTCAGACCTTCACGGCGTCGATTTGATTCGATAGTGTGCTTCTGGGTTGTCATCGTTTCTTTGATGAATGCGTTCCTCATTTTCTGTTACATAAATTAATATTATCACACAAGATCACAATAATATAATAGTATGAATATTGAAAACACTTCCATCGCTATTTTTCAAGCGAATTTGAGATTAATAAATTAAGAAGACTCATCATCAGCTTACTATACGTCCCCACCGAGGGGCTAGGAGCCTACCCTAAGTTAAGGGTGATTAGGCCATAGTCAACCACACTGACCAAGTGCGGGTTGGTTGACTTTACACATATCTGAAGAAGAAGACTGAAAAGTCCTAATATATATCATAGCAAATAAATTTTAGTTTGCATTAAACTGTAATTTAGACGTCAAATAGCAATGAATACTTTCATACTTCATTCTATGTTGACAATAAAAATACATTGATTTGAGGACAATTTTTTATTGAATTAAATTGCTTAATAAACATATATTTATTAATTACGTTGTTGTGCAGGTGGGATGGGTGACCGTGCTACATTACCAGCCATTATAATCTTTTCACTACGTATACTAATACATCTTGAACATTTACAATCTTCGTTACTTGTTCGTGATATACGTATTTTACCGACAGCGAGCCGGCGACCTTGAGCGCCATTCACACCCATCAGTTCTGCGAAACAGTATATCACAAGTTAAATTTAGGAAGGGTCGGAATTACATCACAATATATGACACCCCTAAAACGTTAGTGTTTAATGTGCACTTAATGACGCAAACCAGTTATTTGTTTGTTAAGTCAAAATATATATTTGTTCTGTCTGGACATAGAATATTAAAATTAGCACTGATATAAAATGTTTTTGTTAACAAATTTAGTAGCAGAATAAGGCTCTTCGTACACAAGGCGATTCTACGTCAGGTGTACGGAGTGCGCGCAATGCCGATTCCTGCTACGCGACCCTACAATACTAGTATCGACGCTATTAATGTAATATTTTAGCTTAAGAACTCATGGAGCTATCTTCACCCGCAGCTTCTGTAAAATGCAGATATGTATATATAAAAAAAAAAAACATACGACACGTACGACACGACATCTTTTACGCCCGCCGTATGCAGCCTCGGCGGGAGTCGCGCTCTGTAGTCAGTTGGCGGGCGTGGCTGATGGTAGGGCTGTAGCGCGGTGGGCACGGTACGTAATCGCTCCGTGAGTTCTTAGCTTTACGTTGCCTTGTGTACGAAGGGCTTTAAATTTACGACCGTTGCTAGAATATACAAAACATTTCTCACCTGACATCGGTATTCCTTCACACATACTCGAGCGCTGACAGGAGCGGTTAGTAGAATTTAATTTGATACACATAAGATTGTCCAATACCTGGCAAAATAACTTATTTTTGTTACAGCTGTAAGTTTCCTAACAAAACACATCTATAATAACATAAAGTACAATTCCTCTCATTATTTTGAAAAGGAAATTCACGTCAAATCTTACTAATATTAAAAATGCAAATGTTTGAATGTATGGATGGTTTGATGAATAATTGGTTAAAAAGTATCAACGGAACTTGGCATAAATGGGTGGTAGAACACATGCTACAAATTAAGTTTTTTTAATATGTTTTATTAAGGGTCTTAGAAATCAACGATAAATCAGACAAAATATTTAGAGTAAGTCCCCCTATTACCACATATCTATTTCCCTACAGGGTATAGATAACAAAGAAAAAAATTATGACATCATTTACATATACACTGTCATTTTATTGTCATTAGTACTATCACAAAAAAAAGTGTTATTATATTATATTTTCAAATAAATAAATATATTTTACATTTAGTACTGTCCAGTGGAAAATCCTCAGTATTTACAATCAACTATAATTAACGGTGTAAATCTGACTCCAAATTCAATGCTCTATTCAATTGAATTTTCGAGTGGTACTGAATCGTGTCATGTGGGAACGTGTCGTGTCAACTGTGTACACCTGTGTATGACTCGTCTGAGTGGACTATGCATTGTAAAGCTTTCAATAGATCCGCTTTTATGTATTCAAATAAATATACAAAATATAATAATATTTTTCATCTCTGATTTATAATTCTCCCTGTTTTATTTTTTTATTTTGACATCACTGTAACGTTTCCTTAGTTTATAATAACACCTAAAATTTGTAAGCGGGTGCGCACTGATATAACATAAAACCGAGCAACAATAGCCTAATGGTCTAGTAGATAACCATGTCTTAGCACAAGCTTCCAGCTTATTTGGAATGTTAACAACTAATTTGTGAAAATATTTCTGAAACTTGTTTTTTTTTTTTTAATTTGTAAACTAAACTGTTATGTAATATTGTGTGTGTCTATGCAAATAAAAAAATATTAATATTATTATTATAATTTATTACTAAGTTTGTATCCGTCAACAATTGTATTCATAACTTCTTCTTCTCCAGCACACTATAAGTCACCATCGAGGGTCCCCTAAGTTAAGGGTGACTCGGCCTTCTCAGATATGTGCAGGTTGCATCACGATGTTTTCCTTCACCGTAAGAACGTCGGATAAATGTACATATGTAAATCGGAAATCGAAAAACACATTGGTACACGGCGGGATTCAAACCGGGGACCTGAAGATTGCAAGTCAAGTACTTGACCCCTGAGCCACCAACGCTCTTTTTTCATTCTTTTATTTCAACCTTATTATTTTGCTCCACCAACATCAGCATGTTTTTTGGTGATATACACAAAAATCTTCAAAGAATAAAGGTCGGGTTTCTTGTGCTTTATGTAAGTTTATTTTTATATGTTTGATTGCCTAAATGTTTCTAGTCTAGTCTATCTAGTTAATTTTGCCAGATAAGAGAGGCCCAAGACCGATGAATGTAACAATCTTTGGAGGCTAGGCGTAGCGGTGGGGCACATGTTGTCTGATAAAACGATGAACGAGGAAGAATTTTACCTGTTTGAATCCGTGTCGATACTTGCTGTTCATGTAGCAGTAAATGATGGGGTTGTAACAGGTGTGTGACATAGCGAGCCAGTGTGCGGCAAACCACACGTACGGCATACCTGGCCAAGCGTGCCAAGCCTCATTGTCAGCATTCAACACCCATAGCAACTAAAAAAAACATATATTATATTTAAGCTGGACAAGTGCCTACTAATTTGTATCAGCAATACGCAGATGCGTTGCCGGCCTTTGAGGTGGTGATAAGCTCGCGTCTTGAAGGACCCCAAGAGTAGCGGTTTGTAAATACCGCCGAGGATAGATCATTCCACAACGCTGCTGTGCGAGGCAGGAAGCTTCGCGCAAACTGCACAGTTTGCTACCTGAGATTTTAACTCTATACGTAAAATAAAATTGGAATGTTTGTATGTAACATCGAAAAAAATCGTACGTATGATGTATTTGCATACTTTATAACGAAAAACCAATTTTAAATTTTTTTTATCTGTTTGTATGTTTGTCCGCAAGGCCGTTTGTTCCGGATCTCCGGAACGTCTGGACCGATTTTAACGGGACTTAGACTGGAAGGTAGTTGATACACATCTCGCGCAACTTCTTGCCTCGCACAGTCGCGTTGTGGAACGGTCTGTCCGGTGTCTGTCAAGAAGCGAGCCTATCACCACCTCAAAGGCCGGTAACGCATCTGCGGTTCCTCTGTGTAGTGTATGCATAAACGTAGTGTTGTTTGTCTCGAGCGTACACGCCATAAGTACATGCCGGAGAGAGGGGACGTCAGTCGATATCAGACCTTTGAGCCGGCAACACGTGTCGGTACGTGAACGAGCCAAATATAGCACAACGAATGCTACACTCTGGTATTGCTGATGTGCATGGGCGTCGTTGAACACCTCGGTGTTCCCGCTGCTCGTTTGCCCCCTTCTGTTATAAAAAAAACATGTGATAGGCTAATTTTTAAATTCTGCGCTGACGAAGTCGCGGCCGACCACTAGTCGTAAATAGAAATTGTAAGGCGTTTGTAGACTCCTTTTGACAATAGCCTGTGATTAATGATATTGTGTAATTACCTACTTGTAAATTGTCATGTTGAAAGTACTCAGCACCCGTAGATAAACAGTTTATATGGTTTTGATGTGCCTGATTTATGAACAATGTTAAATTGCTTTTTTATGAATAAAGAATAATAAAAATATTATTAACGTATATATTATGTACTTACAATGAATATGTTCAACGGTAGCCAGCAGACGATAAATACTACCACGACGGCCACCATCATCTTAATCATCTGAACAGAAATATAAAATAAGTTTTTATCTTCTTACTAGTATTATAAATGGGAATGGATGGATGCATTTTTGTTAGATGGTATCTTCAGAATGACTGCATGAATCTCGCTTAAAATTTGGCATAGATGTAGAGCATAGTCTGGAAGAACACATAGACTACTGATTAATTTTTTGTTTAATTTCGCGTGGACTTCTTCTTCTTCTTATAAATCAGCGTCTATTTAAAGTTATATTACATCCGCAACGTCTAATCCACTTTTTAAGTTCGTGTTTACGTGTAAAACTTATTAACTAATCTAACTTCTATAAATCTTATAAAAGAAAGTCGCTTTCATGACCTCTGTTTAATTTATATGTTAAGCTAAAACACAAAACTTTTTTTAAAATACGGTTCCCACGATCCTGTAGGTTATTTATTCTTGCTTTGTGATATTATAATTGCCAGGGTCTTTTAGTAGTTTCTCTCAATTTAGGTTTTGTACGAGAGATCTCGATGTTAGCTTTAACCTACTATCGAATCAACACTTCTAAAAGCGGCAACAATTTCGAGTACTTTTCTTAAGTAAGATTTACATCTATAGAGTCTGACTACATCTGTCGCGCCAGGGACGTCACGTGGGGAGGAAAGTCCTGGGATAGAGACGCTAAATGGGGACCAGGACACGTACAGTTGGTCCGGCGCCTTAGTTCGAACGGCGAGATGTCGTTGCAGCGAAGGCGGATGATCGCATACTGTGCAAGGCATTGGGGCAAGATCCTTACCTTACGTTTGGACTTTTGTACTCTGACGTCACGTTCAGACTGAGCTTCCCCGGGCGTCCGTTCCGCCCACACTACGCAAGCGATACGGGCATACGTCGCCACGAGCGCGCTCAGCGGCAAACCGAACTGCAGGATCAGCAGAGCGAGAGAATAACGCTCACTGCTTTTCAAATCGCTCCACATTTCACCACAAACGCCTCTGATAGGATAATAAATAAGAAATTAATATAACCACCGAGGGGAAGCTTGCACTAAATTAGAAGTGACTGTTTTAGTCGCTTCTTTGAATTTCTTCCCATATAAATCAAAATTATTTTTTGATGATTTTGTCACTTGTGTTGTTAAAGTGAAAAGATTAAATGTTAATTTATTTATTTAAAACCTTAAAACAGAGTACATGTCGGGATTCGAACCCAGTATAACAAGTCCAGTGCCAAGTCATTATGGCACCGACGCTATAACACATACATTGACAGTAACAGTTAAATATAATTTTATCACGGATTATTTAGTTACTAAAGTGTGAGTCTATTATTTTTAACCACCTACGTGCCTATATACCGGCGTACGTGCTTTAACTTCAAACGAATATAAAAACAAAGAAAAATTTGGTACGGCACATGTAGCTTTCACAGTCGTAACCATGACCACACAGGAGACAGACGTGAAGAGTAAGCAAGTCCGCGTTTCATGAGTGTGCGTGCCAGAGGTCTAATTTAGACCTTTTTCCTTACCATGCATTTTTTTTATAAGGTAAGGATGCGAAGTAGATTTAATGGAGAAGGGAACGCCTATAAAGAGGAAATATTATCGTTCTTCGCTTCCCTTTTCTGTCGTCTGTAGGCAACGCATCTGAAATTGCGAATATCTACGGGTAGCGATGGCTTCACTATTTCGGAAAATTAAGCTCATTTGCCACCTAATAATTAAAATAATACTTACACATTACATGCTACATGCCAAAGCGATGGTTTATGCAGTTGAGCCACCACACCGATCGGAGTGGCAGTAGCAGCCGCACCCGCCCATACAGCCATCACGACGACTTTGGCCGCAGCTTTCCCCAAACGAGGTTTCAAAGGTTGAACAATAGCTAGATATCTATCAATTGATATTGCAAACATTGTATACGCACTGACCATTACTGATACCGCTTGTGTATAGTTAACCACACGACACATTATAGATCCAAAGGGCCAGTAACGTAGAACTAATACGGGTACAAAGGAAAATGGAACACAAAATACTGTCATCAATATGTCACCGACTGCAAGATTCACTATGAAATAATTTGTCACCGTTTTCATCCTAGGCGATGAGTAGACGACGAAACAAACCAATCCATTGCCAGTAAGCGCGAACGCAAATATAACAGTATACATAATAAATATGAAAATTTTGAATAATGATGATGTAACAAACTCCCCGATGTTTTCATCGAATATGCACGACAAGCCATCTTGTACCCACGTGAAGTTATACAGGGAGATGTTAATTTCAGATATACCATCTTCAAATAACACATGTGGATATTTTTGTATGTAACTTTGGATTGTCGAATGACCGGTGTTGACCATCCTCTTTTATTTTACATTCAATTGTTTCTTTTCCATGTTACTTAGTTGCTTTGGATTATCTGTAACAAATATTATAATTATGAAACTGACTAGATGTTTTAAAAAAAGGATTAATTAGAAACCAATAGGTTCGTCCAAACTATGTTTTACATATGCCAAATTTTATCGAGATCCATTGATACTGTTCTGGACATTCCTACTTACAAACATCCGTACATTCAAACAAACTTTCACATTTATAACCCTAGTAAGATAGCAAGAAGTAAGATTTACAAAATAAAAACCAACCAAGTTAGAAATTAAGATGACGTCTAGATTTTTGTGATTAAACCTCATATTTCTAAATATTAATGTGGCCATCAAGATTACAGCAAAAACCTTTCATAAAACTATATAAATATCAAAACGGGAAAGTGCGTCATGCTACCATGAATCAATCAAAGTCAAAAAAGGGTCGTAAAAGAAAAGTTAGTTTGGAAAACATCCAAAACACTCAAACTTCTAATCACATTAAATAAATGTTATAAAAGCCTATAAATATATATTTCTATAACAAATACTAAAATCAAAAATTATAAATTAAATTTACTTACATTTTAAAAATATGGATCTATGTTGTCTGATATAAATAAAATTATAATTTTTAAGCCGAGATTTAGGTCTCAGAAAAGCACGATAAGTGTGCTAACAAAAGATACGTGACATTTTATAAAATTACGAGGATAATTATATTATCTCTGTTTTGTCAAAATTATTTATAGAGATGACATGTTTTATACAGATATTTTGGTCTCAGAAAACCAGGGTTAGGTGATTTTTACAATTTACTATGCATTGGTCATTTATACCTCGGTATCTCCGGGAAGGCTCAAGGGCTTAAGTTTATTAGCACGTAATCTGGTAGAAGACATAGACTACCTACTTATTTTTTTTAAATTCTTTACGGATGGGATCGCGAACGATAGCTAGTCTTATTATATTTAATCGAATCTAAAGCTTGTTGTAACTGTTAGTTACTTAAACCTTAAGCTACAATATTTGACACGTATGTTATTTTTACTGCCAAAACCAAGTCACGTAATACAGGAATAATTAGAACGACATATTGCTTTTGAAGGCCGTAATAAAAATATAATTAAACCTTGTTTACTTATAAACACTTACTATCAGTAAATTACTAGTAATCGAGTCTCTTTTTTTCTTGGCGGCGCTATGCCGCCCTCTCGTTCCCCTAACATATTTGGGCCAGGGACTACAGTAAATCTTATCGTTTAGCGAAGGTTAATCGTGTCTCATTTAGAATAAGTGGTTGCCCATTATCATTACTATACGTCCCCATTGAGGGGTTCGGAGCGTACCCAAAATTAGGGGTGACTGGGCCCATATTCAACCACGCTGGCCCATAAGATTTGGTTGACTTTACACATATCTTTAAATTTCTTCGCAGATATGTGCAGGTTGCATCACAATGTTTTCCGTCAGCGTAAGAACGTCGGATAAATGCTTCATTTTAACTTTAACTGTGTCTGTCGTTTAACCGTTGATGCAATTTCAAAGGAATACAAAGTTTCCGCTATACGTATTAATATTATTATAAATCTTAGCTACAAACAGCTAAAACTAAATTCAAATAAAGCTAAAAGCTATCGTATCTACAATAGAAGTTACTAAAAATGTTGTATTTAATAGATAATAGGTTTTGTGTTACAATTTTCTTGCAAAGTCATGGGTTTCGTTACTTTAATACTACAAAAGGTTTGGTTTGCAATATACTAAATGCGGGGCCTTAAAATGTTGCGAATCATTGCCGCAGAGAAAATCATGGCACCCGCCGACCTCCATTGTTTTCGGACATTTGTGGACTACTTGAATAAATAAACAATGGAATTATTTATGTATACAGTATATAACTACACTTATTATGAGATGAAAAGAAGATAAAGAAACCTTTGACCTATAAATAAAATAATTATTAAGGTGAGTACGTCTTAAAAATAGTTTAACAAGCGACAATTAAATTATTCAAACTTTCGTGAGACATTATACTAAACTGATATAAAAACGGCTAAACACTCACGTATATTCGTCCAGTACCACTCATCCTGATGAAGGGCCCCTGATGGGCTCGAAACTAGTCGGTGCTGCCACCGGACGAATATACGTGATTGTTTAGTCGTTTTTATATCACTTAAGCGACAATTAATTAGAAATCGTACTTACTGTGAGTTCCTGAAACCAAGATTTCTGTATAAAACATATCGTCATCCTTGTCCTTAACTTTGACAAAACAGAGATAAAAATAAGTATTAAACACGGATTTTGATCTCAGAAACTTACGGTAAATCTTACTAATATTATAAATGCGAATGTTTAGATGGATGGATGTTTGTTTGAAGGTATCTCCGGAACAGATCAACCGGTTTTGATTAAATTTGGCACAGATGTAGAACATAATCTAGAAGAACCCGTAGGTTACTCATTAAGTTTTTTCTTTAATTCCTCGCGGACGGAGTCTCGGGTTAAAGCTAGTGACTTAGAACATAGATTTATTGACTTCATTATTAACGTAATCTTTTTTGTATTACAATTATTTTATATGTATTTATGTAAAAATAATCTCACAAGAGAAAATAATACAAAAAAAAATTATTTGCTCTTTTATTTGTTTCCTTTCCTAATTCAACATGCAAATTTGCGTCATATCACTCTTTGAGTGCTTTGCTTTATTGATATTGTTTTTGTATACATTATGATTTGTAATGGTTGTTAAGAATCATTGTGTTACTTTATTGGATAATATCGTCGTATTCAAAGGAATGGTATTCGTAAGTTCTACGGTAACGATATTGCATTCGCTATATTATATAGTAGTAATATTCTATACATATAAAAATTAATAGCTGTTTGTTAGTCTCGCTAAAACTCGAGAACGGATGAACGGATTTATCTTACAATGGTCATGAAATGTTCGTAGAGGTCTAGGGAAGGTTTAAAAGGTGAGAAAAATTCTAATAATTACCAGGAACTAGTTTAATATTATTTTATGTATATTGCGTGTATCGAAGACGGAACCACGATTTCACAAGGGGTAAATAAATACAAACGTTTAAGTTAATTTTTGTTTGAATACCAAAGTTAATTTGGGCTATTGAGAACATACTACAACTGGAAAGACCACATCTTACTAATGTGCAAATGCGAAAGTTTAGATGGATGGATGTTTGTTAGAAGGTATCTTTAAAACGGCTGAACTGTGTCGCTATAGTTTGGCATAAATGTAGAACATAATCTGGAAGAGCTCATAGCTACTAATTATGTTTTTATTCCGCTGGAGTAGCGGGCGACAGCTATTTCTAATAATATTGCCTCTCAGAGACAACGGGCAACCGTCTTATATATAAAAAAAATCGTTACCGCTTTCAAAGTTTTTTTTTTTAAATTGACGTTATGATTCTAGGCAAGTATGTAAACGTCCAGTGGCATTTCTTTGTTTATTTTTTCACTACGATAAAAAGCGTTGAGTGGAAAAGCTTGAAGGTTTACGACAGAATGCTATAAATATACAGAGTATAAAAAGTTCCGGTGTAATGTCGACTTATACTGGCGCCATAAATATTAATTACGCTATTTAGAACAAAACACAATGGCAGGAAAACAGCTTTTGTTTTTTATAAAAAAAAAACACTTTTTTACTTAAAAAAATTGATTTAGTGTTGCAATGTTTTAGTGTTTTACAAACCTTTATTTAGTTTATATAAAATCAGTAGAATATTAAAATATCTTAACTTAAACTGCTCTTATATACTAAACCAAACCCATTTGGGTCATCGTTTGGGTTGGACGTTTGGACTGGGCATTTGCCCAAACCCTTTCTAAAGGTCAACTCGGCATTTTACTGCAGTCATGAAGAAAAAAACATAATAGCCATTTGAGTAAAAAAAATAATTAGATTATGTTTGTGTGATCAAAGACGAAGGTAAACATAAATTAAAAATTTAAATGTTGGTATAACTACCAACAAACTGAGGTACCAGAAAGAAAATTATTTTCATAAAGTGACTTTTACTATCGCAACAACATTTCACCAACATATTGTCATCTCTTTCATTGTCTTTAGGAAAACTGAGACAGTAATATGTTTAACATATGTGTTTGCTATAGAAGTCTGGATTTAACAAGATTAATTAACGCTAACAACCTGGTACGTATTAATTTATCTCTCAGTCAGTAATGTAAGCTTATTTCAGTTAAGAATTAGCAAAAGCTGTGGATTAGGAGGGCTTGCGAAGATTTCTATCGTGTCACAGTTTATAAATTGTAATTTAAGAAAAGTGTAGCATGTTGTGTATAGATTTTTAATATCATCATCTCTCTGGCCTTATTCCACTCACGTGGTGTCGGCGCACATCTTACTAATGATATAAATACGAAAGCTTACATGACTTAGAAGGTATTTGCATAACGTTTCATCTCGATGCAATTTGACACAGATGTTGAACATAGTCTTGAACACATAGTCTACTAATTAATTTTCATTTATAACGAGCACGGAGTCGCGGGCTACAACTAGTAATAATGAAATAGACTTACCTTTGTATTTACTTTGCTTTCACCAAGCTGCAACTCAACTTTGTAAGGAAAAATTCTTAAATATTGTTCAAAACTATATACGTTTTTTAACTTAAACTTGTACTAAAAGTTTAATTTCTTTAAAACATTCACTGATATTATTTTTAAGGATTTTAAGATAAGTATTTTGTGTTATGTTTATGTTTTATTTACGCGGATTTAAGTATTATGTATATCGTCCTGAAAGTTCGCTGGTCTGTGACGTGCGGCGCGACGGCACAAATGAAATCGGCCTTTACATACAACAGCGCATGCTCCGTAAATCCTAACTTTAACAAATAAACTTTATCTCTAACAAATACTAATATATATGATAGAAAAATAAAAAAAGGTACATTTATAAGCAGATAACATAGCAACGTGAATACTCTATTTATTGTTATAGTTTTGTGTTGTAATAAATGATAAGATTCTCTGAACAGATCTGTAATACGGTTATACAAGCCTATGGCAAATATGTCCTTCCTTTTGCCTCATTTTTATATCAAGTTTGTGCCTTTTATGTGTAATAATAAACATTATTTTTTTCAATAGTAAATTTTGACTTTGAAGTCTTGTTTATTTTACTTTCACTGCTTTGTTCGTCCTGTTTAATTCGAACGCGACGTCGTCACGTATGTCGTTGCGTAAATATTTAAATCCTATAATTTCTTAACGATTCAAGTTTTGAAATTAATGTCATAACTTGTTTTTGCGTTGTAAATTTAATATGTCCGTAAAAATGTTTTTCGAATTGTAATTAATAATTGTACATTCTAAATGTTATAATAATTAAGGATTATATGTTTCCATTGCACTAATTCCTGTATAAAATTATGTTTTTATTCATTTTAGATTCTTTAAGAAAATAGAGACAGCGATATGTTTGTACAATGGAAACAAACTGTGTATTCTCTACGTTCGATAGTCTATATCTAAAATGTAATCAAGAGCCCTAAAGTTTAATCACTTTATTGCGAAACCGATGATAACGTTTACATTAGAAATTATTACAAGTTTGATTTAACTAAAAGTTAAACTTAACCAATAATTAGTTACTATGTTGATCTTAAATAAATATTATAGGATTAGACTTACGATAAAGTCTAAAATCTATACTATAGAATATATATTTTTACGCATAAGTAAGACAAAAAATAAATTATCAAAATAAAAAAAAAATGTTTTTAACACTTATTCATTTATTTACCTTAATATATTACATTTCATATAAAAAATTATACAAAACACATAATTTATAAATATATAACTTGTTTTATTTTTATTAATCTTATTTACATAACTACTTCACTTATATATTATACACTGAAATTACATAGCCGTATATTAAAACACCTTCACTAACCTGTACAGAAATTAATTAGGCTAATCACTTAATTAGACACACCTATTTATGTACAAATTAATCTCCTTGCTCCTTTACACTGAATTCCGTGTAGGCAATATTACATCAGCCATATTAATAACCGTGAGTCTACACTGCTTATATCTTTTTATTTATATATATATAAAAGAAAGTCGGTTAGTTACACTATTTATAACTCAAGAACGGCTTTACCGATATGTCTGAAATTCTCTGAGAAGGTAGCTTAGAGCCAGGAGACGGACGTAAGATACTATTTATAAATTTTTTGTTTTCGAATTTATGCCTTGAAGAGTTACTTTTTATTTAACTTACTAATATTATAAATGCGAATGTTTAGATCGATTTAATGTGGATGGATGGATGGGTGTGCTACACTAATTAAGTTTTTTTTTTACATCCACGCGGACGGAGTCGCGGGCGACAATTAGTAGAGTATACCTGGGTCATGCAGAAGGCTTGTGTAGAATCCCAATGCGTTCCTTTGGAGATCCAAGGACTCTGACTAGCACTAGAGGATGGCCACCGAGGGAGCTTTGGTGAGACAAGTATCACAAAATTCTGTCCTTCCAACAGAAGGTAGGGTATAATTTGAAAATTTCCCCCGATACCAAAACAAGAAGTTTCCTAATCTTGAATCTAAAATATTAACATTTTCAAAGTCTTTTATACAAGTCTTTTGACAGTGAGAACCAATGGTTAATTGTGTCCGCGGCACGAACGCACGGCTTACGGTAGCTATTATTATTTTGTAAGACCTTTGAATATTAATTCCGGGTTAATTCAATAATAACTTACTTTTAAATTAAGGCAACGAGTTTGACATTCTCAAATAAAATTGATTAACATTTACATATTATATTCTGTTTTAAGGTTTGAATAAAAGCTTACGATTTGCCTAGTCAAATTAAAAACGGGCTGCGTAAACGATTTTTCGCTGACACATCATGTTCTCTTTGAGATTAGAAGATGTAGAATATAGAAAATACGAAAGTGGATAAAAAATGGTTTTTTTTTTACCAAATGTAATACTTTATAAGTTAATAAAATAAACACTTATTAAAAAAACTACGACAAATAAATATTTAATTTTTTAAGTCACTAAATAAATTATTAAAACACCAATAGCCTAATGGTTAAGTGTACGGAAATCCGATCTCGTGGTCGAGAGTTCGAATCTCGCCTTCGAACTTAAAAACACTTTCATATTTTGAAAACAACAATGAATACATCCCCACTGAGGGCTTCTACCCCTACCCTAAGTTAGGGATGACTATGATTTAGTCATCAACGCCGTTAACGTAGCCGTTAACGCTGTAGAGGTATATTTTAAAGCAAATAACAAATTGGTACACAACGAGAATTGAACTCAGGGCCTGCAGATCACATGTCAAGTTCTTAACCCCTGAGCCATCGGCACTCTTATTAAATAATATTTCAATTAAACTACAAAATTCTCACGTTAATGGATTGTAAACAATAACGTCCGGAGTTTTTCCGGTGACTCCATTAGTTCAAGAGAAGTTTATTTGAACGAAACGAAAAGTTTTAAAAACAAAAGTTTAATTAAAACTTGAGGAAGCTTTTAGGATAGCTTAGAGTTGCAATTTCCCTAAAAACTTTGAAATAGTTTCCATGTAAAAATTACATTAAAAGGCTAGAGGTCTGTAGCACACTGATATAAAAGCGATATGTACCTCGCATAAATTCAGTTTGTTCCAACCTTGAGTTTAAAACGAATAATTACGACAATACTTGCTTTTGTATTCGCATTCGTGTGTGATTGTCATTTTTAACTCAACCAACAAGAATATAAGCAGATTTTATTTAATACAACGACGTGGTGCATTATTTCTAAGTCTCGCTAGTAACATTTCGTCTTGGTTCCAAATCGCTTTCGTTTATGTGTGCCTTTAACTTAAACAGTAGATCCAAACACATGCTCGTGTAATAAAATACTCTTTCTTCATAATTATAACTGATTAATTAACAGAGTCTATTAATTAAGGGGCCTTTTGTTAAATTTTATAAACATTGAAAATGTAAAGTCAATATCGAATTGAGCAATCATTTACTCAACCTAATAAGCGGAAGGTCGTTAAAATTTAACTTTGATAATTTCGTCAGATAAAATAATTTCACTTAATATATTTGTTATACAAATTATGTTTGATTTCATTTGTTTTGCCATCAAAGGTCCCGGAACATTTTCGCATTGAATGAAACTTTCGGAAAAGTAATTTGAACTTTTTGTGTACTACATACAATATAGTTTCCTCACAGAGACGGCTGGGAATCTTCGTTTGTAACTAAAGTAGACTCAACAATAGAGTTACTATGTTGGAAAACTTATTTTCATCTTTTATTTGTGCAAAACATAATACTACGCTAGTTTTCTTTTGTAAACTATTGTGCAAAAACAGAAACTTTGCACTTGTCTATAAACTAGAATCTGTCGGAATCTTCTCAAGAGTCTGTATAAAGGGTGACAACGAAAGCATGAATTGAAAGTAATTTCGCGCTTTATTTGACGAGTGTGCGTGCCGGAGGTCTAATTTTAGTCCTCTTTCCCTTCCCATCCTTATAAGATGGGTAAGGGAAGTGGATTCTTAGGAGGAGAGGACTGATAAGGGAGGGTAAGGGAAAATATCTTACTGTGCGTCCTCTACTCCGTCGATTTAAGATAGGCAACGCATCTGCAATTGCGAACCTCTATGTGGAGCGGTCGCCAGACTATTTGGGCGAATACAAATGGCTGCTTGTTTTGACACCTTTTAAAATGAAAAGTTTTCTATGTCTATTTGAACCAGTTTAAAAACTCGTCACTGTCCCGTCCCAGCCGGTGCGACGAATCCATGTGGAATAAAGCTGAACTTTTGCTATGGCATTTAGAAATTGCCGCGTTCAAACTAATGACTGCGTAGGATTTAACGAACTGAATATTCATTTTGCAAAGACCTACGCATCATTCATTTTCGACCCGTCGAAATTAGAGATGGTATTACGTCAAATACTGTATTTTACAAATTCTGCAAATTTCACACGAGGGCAGCACAGTAATTAGAGTAATATAATGCAGTATGAAAGCTTACATTCGTACTGTACTGTTATGACTGTGGCCGTTCCAATAATAAAAATACCGTACTATCTATTGCTTTACCTTTTTGTTCTGTCCTCGTGTAAATATAGCTTATATAACAACAGGGTGGATAGTATAAAATAAAACCAAACAAACGTATAAATAAATATGTATTTTTTACATTTATACATGTACATTTTATATAGTACATAATTAAGCATTGAAAATTAGTCCCATTCAAGTCACATTCACGATGGATCTTCAAATAACCTTGAAAAAATTTACTTTCATATTTCATTAAACATAGCTTTTAACATGTGATGAGAAATGTTAAAAATTATAACAGTTCTTGTGTAATTTCCATTCATAAGATGTATGAAAACATATAAATAAAAAATTACAAAACAATATTGATATATTAAAAAACAATATTAAAGCGCCTGTATAAAATATATTGCAACATTAAGCAGATAATCGCCGTCACAAATCGCTATTTAGAATGAATCTGTTTCCTTCAGAATGTTTGCCCGTGTATTTGTATCGACATTTTCCGTAGGCGCCTGTGAAAAAATTCTACTTTAATAACCCAATTAAACTGACTTTAAAAACAATATGACGAACATTCCGATGAATACGAATGAGGATATTTGAATATAGATTTATTTAAGCTACATGAGGTCATAACAGTAAACAAAAACTATAATTCGCGGAATAATTTTAATAGCAACCAATGTCAAAATGTGGTAACTTTATCCAAATCCTACTATATCTTACTAATATTATAAATGCGAATGTTTAGATGGATGTTTCTTTGAATGTATCTCCAAAACGACTAAACAGATATCGCTGAAATTTGGCATATATGTAAAACATAGTCTAGGAGAATATGTTCTCCCAGACTACTTATTAAGTTTTTTTGTAATTCCGCGCGGACGGAGTCACGGGCGACAGCTAGTACATAAATATAAAGTTATTAATTACAAAGATATGAAAAAGGAGGCATGCACATTATTGACAGATTTAAATTTTCAATTTACAGATTGGATTGGAATTCAGTATACGTACCTTTATGTTTGCCAAGCGATGAGAAGTCGACAGGTAATGGTCGTACTACTGTGGTCGTGTCTTGTCGAGTCTGTGTCCCGGGCGGTTCGGGTGGGCGGCGTACGCGCATGAACTCGCCACGGACGGCTGCCTCCGAACGCTCTGACGGCGATATACAGCGTGAGTCGAGGAACCGCAGCCGAGGGACCTTGTAGATCACGTAGTATCTAAGATGTACACAAATCCATCATCATCAGATCATGTACGTCTACATAAAAGGGCTAGTGCCAACCCCTTTTTTCCAGAAAGGAATGCTTTATGCATACTCCGCGCCCCGGGGGGGACGCGGTAGTTATGTGGGATTCTCCTCCATAGCGGAGGAATACCCACTATACCTCTCTGTTCCTCCAACGCATCGGGACGGGAACACGGGCACGCTTTCGCTCTCGTCCGCGGCCCCGTCTGCGCCAGCTGCCGAGGCAGCTCCCTCTCGGGCCTAGTGCCTACCCTAAGGGATAGTTCACAACCACAGTGGCGCAGTACGAATTGTTATACTACACATGTCTTTGTTCATTGTCATCACGATGTTTTGCTTCTCAGAATATTTGTCTTTTATATTAAAAAAAAATACAAAATTTTATTATTTACTATTTAACCTGAACTAAAAACAAGATGCAAATTTAATTATTTGATTTTAATTCTGCAACAATCAACGTGTGAGGAAAACTTTATAACTTTTCTCCCCACATTAAATATTCAGACTTAGATAGTTCAATGATACTGTACTTTGTTAACATCCTCAAGAATTTTACCTTATCATAAAAAAGAAAGCAGTAAAATGTGTATACTAGAGGAAGTTTGAAAGTAGCGCCAGTGATCGAGAAATTGAGGAGTAAAAGATTAGCGTGGTTTGGACATGTTATGAGGAGGGATGATGATGATATAAGCAAAAAAGTAATGAGATTGAATGTGGATGGCTACACGGGTAGGGGAAGACCAAAAAAAGTATGGAATGACTGTGTGAAAGAGGATATGCGTAAGAAGGGGGTAGACTCGGATATGACGGCTGATAGAGATGTATGGAGGAGTAGTACATACTGTGCCGACCCTCGATAGGGATAAGGGCAGGTTGATGAAAAAAGAAAGCAGTAAAAATAAAGCGAAGTAGAGATTTTTGGAGCGTCACCTTTCATTGTTATAAACCGATATTTTTGATAGTAAAAACCACTGTAACGATGGAATATCAAGTCAAAAGGAATTATTGGTTAAAGGATTCGATAAGGTTTACGTGGATGATTGCCTAACATAATGTTTATGTCAGATATGAGAAAATTCTTAAGTAGAGTACGCTAGTCACGTAATATTGGACTTTGCAAAAACCGTCTGCAATGTGTTTGTAATATATTTAGCAAACAAATAATGGTCTATACCAAAGATTCTAAATTTTTTGTCGTAGACACTATTAAAATTTTACATTTTCATGTTGAATATTAATCTTACTAATATTATAAATGCTAATGTTTGGATGTATAAATGTATGGATATATGTTTGTTAGATAGTAACTCCATAACAGTTTAACGGATCTAGGTAAAATCTTTCATAGATCTAGAACATAGTCAGGAAGAATACATACACTATTAATTAAGTATTTTTTAAGCCCGCGAATATGGAGTCGCGGGCAACAGCTAGTATGAATATAAAGAATAAATTCCGTACGTCGTGGAAACATGATAGCCTACTTATGTTGAGGTGACGGTGATAAAAGGATGCTTATTGACGTTTTACTTCCTTATTATGGAGGGGATCGAGTATTAGATTGCGCAAGGATACCTTCGAAGCGTTATCGCTACTTTTCCTTTTTATATACCACTATAAAAGTAGATATTAAAATTGATTTCACAATGTGTGTATGTCTTTAATGGTAGAGGGGATGAAGAGAATATATTTTATCTATTTATCTAGTGTTTATTTGGTAAGACAAGATGTATTCGCTACGAATCGATTCCATAAAGAACTTCATCTTCTATATAAAATTCTTGTGTCACAATTTTCGTTCCCATACTCCTCCGAAAAGACTTGACCGAATCTCGTGAAATTTTGTGAGCATATTGAGTAGGTCTGAGAATCGGCAAACATCTATTTTTCATCCCCCTAAATGTTAAGGGTAGTCCACCCCTATTTTTTTTAGACAAACACGCGGACGGAGTCGCGGGCGACAGCTAGTAAATGTATAGAATTGACGATAACTTTCGACAAGTTACGAGATTGTCGCGCTCCTTGTCTAACCTGTATATAGTCTTGCTGCTTTCGCTTAATATTTGGTGACCATTGTTCGTTTGCCAACGTATTCCGTAAAAAAATATATTGAACTTCTCTAATTTGATTTTAAAATTTATAAAGATTTAACTAGCTGTGACCTGCGACTTGTGTGATGTGTGACATGTGAAAACAAATCAGGGACAGGAATATTACATTTTTGCGAGATATGTAACCTATGCATTATTCCGAACCGTAATCTCTCGTTGTGCTAAATTTGATCTAGATTCGTTCAGCCGTTGTGGAGATAATATTTAGATAGAATCGATCTTTCTGACAAATGGGTAAATATTCTTAAAGGATCTTATAAGACATGTAACTTTTCATCGATGTTTATAATATGGGGTGGCAAAGGAGCAAGCGACCATCTGAATTCACTAAATTGGCGATGAGACATCTCCAACTGTCTCTCCAAAAAATTGTAACGTTGTCAAACTTAAACCGACTGAAGAGAGGAACGCATAGGAAGAGGGTATCCTATACGTCCCCTCTTCGGCCGTTTCTAATTTAATTTCCTATCCTTTCGGTATAAGAAAAGGGTGGGAAAGGGACTATAGAAAGGTTGTTAAGATATAAAGAATTTACTTTACCTGTATCTTTGGTAGTCGGAGTCATCTTTATCGGAGTCTGAGAGCTGGTTGGGGCAGGCTTTGTTTCTCAGTATACTCAAATAAGAGAGTTTCGGCATGTTTTCATTGATCTTTTGTATCAGCCCTTCTAAATCCGTCAGCTTCGAGTACAAAACATAAATATTTCGTCACAAAGGAAACATCGTATTTAGATTTATTGATGTTGGATTTATTTGAAGGATTTATTAACATTTCGTTGTTGAAATTGTAAGTCAAAGGGTAAGCTAAAATTTATTCCGAACGAATAATTTATCTGTTGCTAACAAGTTTTAGTTTTTTTTTTTTGTTTTTTAAAAGCTTTATTCGTTCGATTTTAAAAACATATTTTTCGTTTTGTTTGCCAAAAGAAATGAATGAAATTGTAAATAAAAAAATGTCATGATATAGTCATCTTTGTAATAACAATTAAGTGTTCATTTTACAACATTCTAGTAATGTAGGTACTATTACTAATGGAATGCAATAAGCAACGCGCATTAGCAAATTGAACTACTGGTACCTATATAGCTTCCTTTGAACAGAACGATTTTGACCACACACAATTACTTGCTAATGGAATACATTCCTTTGTTAATACTGTTATATGACTTTAAGTATTTCACATATATATATACGTTGTAAGAATATTTTGTTAAGTTGACAGTACTAAAAGAAATTTAAAAAAATATTGCTGTTATGAATTTGATATAAAAACACGGCTAAACACTCACGTATATTCGTCCGGTGGCGGCACCGACTAGTTTCAAGCCCATCGGGGGCCCTTCATCAGGATGAGTGGTACTGGTATTATTTCGCGGACGCGGTCCTTCGCTCACTCGCGTCCGCGAAATAATACCAGTACCACTCATCCTGATGAAGGGCCCACGATGGGCTTGAAACTAGTCGGTGCCGCCACCGGACGAATATACGTGAGTGTTTAGCCGTGTTTAAATATCAGTTTAGTATAATGTCTCACGAAAGTTTGAATAATTTAATAGCAAACTGTTATGAATTTTTATCAGTAATTTAATTATTGCATTTATTCGACCACAAACACTTCACAGCACACGGTAATGTTGGTAGTAATGTTAGAGAATGTTGGCACTTCTGTGCTGAAAGATTATTTTACCATTTGGCATTTAAAAAAAACAAAACCTGACTAGTTGGATGAATAAGAATCGATTCACATCTCGGTAACAAAAATCGATTCTCTTAGGCTCCAGGCAGTCACAATTGAACTTACATACATAGAAACTCTGGCACCCAGAAACATGTTTACTTACGCGTGATAAAAATTATGATTTTTAATAGTGAATCATGATTTCACCAGATGTAAAATTCGTCGGATGCTTAAGTACAAGCCCACAATAAAAAATCTTAGGTATAACGCTAACAAAGAGCTTACTTTACTTTATTATAGAAATACATACCTTATTGTTATTTAAAGAAAGTGTCCTCAAGTTAGGCATGAAAGGAAACCTTATATTGTCCTCTAGTTTATTATTGTCCAGTATCAATTCCTGTAGTCTTGTGAAGTTATCTAATCCTTTAAGTGTTTCTATATTGTTATAGCTGCAAACAAATACTGTATTTTATCAAATAATATTTACCTAAGATAATAAATTGCTAGAATAGTACATGGGTTGGAAACTTTTATTCTGCAGAACGAAGGTTCGAAATCGAACAATATGTGTTCCATTCTAAACTTTTATAGCTCTATGTTGGATAATCTTAATTTACTGTTTCCTTCTCCCTTTCCCCACTTTTTTATTGACACTATAGATTATCGTCTTTCAAACCGATCTACTGTAATCAGTCGTCTCTCTCCTATTTAAATAAGAACCATCATTTTAACCCTTAGTAGCCTGATTTACATACGAAAGTGATTTATTTTTAATATTACTGTGTTTGCTTGATAAAATAAAACAATAATGATTTTTTTTTTAATTTTGTTGAAAAGAATATAATACAACAGTAAAATAGGTACAGCCAACCTATAAAAAAAACTAATAGTAATGTGAACATTCGGTTTGAAAGGTTGGTATCAAAATTGAAACTCTAGGCTAATAAGGGTTGATTATGATATTTAAATAGAAAATCTATATCAGATATTCCGAGAAAATTTTGAATATGATAGTTGACATAATTCATAAGAAAACTTTCTCCACAAACCTGTAATGTGAATGAATTTAAATTAATTCCAATGAATTATATTCCAAAACAATGAGAGACGTAACTAATCGCTAAGTTTCAATGGAAATCAACTATGCAAACGTTGATGCGTACAAAGCTTCTTACCATTTCTAAGTAACAAACAAGCCGTCAGTTCCACCGGTGTTAAATTCAATGAATGAATAAATCATAGCACGAGACATTGTTATACAAAACAATTCCCTTTAACAGCTGGATACAACTTTTGAATATGTGTATTTTAAATAGAGAGAATTTTAGATGAAATTTTAAACAAAACTTGAAGAGTATAGAAATTTTCCTGTTAAAAATATACGTTAAATTATGCTAACCTTGAGTTTTCACTGCCAATACATGTATTAAAACATATTTTTTTGTTTCTCTTCAAAAATTATAATTCAACAGTCGTTAATTTAAAAATCAATAGACTGACTATACTCTTATCACTTACTATCCTAACATACATAATGAAAAAAAATAAGCAAAGAAATATAGCTTAATAAAAAGAAAAGATTGAAAACACTTGACATAATAAATATGTTTGTTTTTATAAAAATGTTCAAAGCATTTTTTCTTATGAATTACTTTATAAAACCTGGACATGGTTCTTTGAACTTTTAAATGAAAAAGTTAAAGTGGAATCGTCTAAAATTCATGAGTGTCTTACTACGATCCCAAAAAAACTTAAAAAAACATTTATATAATTTATTATGCCATTACAAACCAAAAAAAGAACTATTCTAAACTGAAAACAAAGGCTTTGCTCATCTATAAGTTTTTTTAGTAATATTACAGTAATCTACTTGTATTTAAATGATAATGAAAATAATATAAGCTTGTACTAAGTCGATTTGTACAACATACCTTAAATCCAGATAATGAACTTTAGTGCCGTACATTTTCCATAACGCCGAAGGAATTCTCTGACAATCTTGTCCACAATAACTTAACTGAAACAAAAAACTATTCAATAAAGCTTACCAAAATATTGACCCAATTAAATCAGATCATTTATCTTAATAATTCCAGCAAAAGTATTGACGACATTTTCTTGATCTACGCACAATTTTAATTGAAATATTTAAGGCAAGACGACAGGAGAAATTCAATTTCGATGCAAAGTATCGAAGTCTTTCAATTGAAGCGACAATTAACGCCTGTAACACATAGATGCGTAAGCGAACCGAAACCAAAACGAACATATCGTAGCATACAGAGACACCGAAAATAAACGAAACCTGATATTATTACATTCGGTGGTACGTAGTGAGCGTTGCTGAGGCTAGGGCAAAAAACTAGAGTTTTAAGAACAAAAATACTGTCAGTTTTATATCGCTCTATTTCGTTTTAAGTTCGCTTTGTGATTGTGTACAATAAGCATAAGACGGAGTTCACGAAAAGACGTTGTCAAATTAGGAAAGTCTTATTCCCAGTAGCTCGAGGCAGTTCTATTAATTAAACACAAAGTATTCTCTTGAGATTGGCAACATTGACTATTAATTATCGCTTATTTCGAGCTTTATAGATTTAAATTAAAAACTCCTTTTGCATTTATTTTGCTTCATAAAACGTTACGGTCACAACTTTAAAAAAAAGAACATCCTCAGTTTTTTGAATTTATTATCTGTTATAAATTTATTATTATAGCAGTCGCACGCGACATCGTCCACACGTAATAAACGAAAAAAAATATTAGTAGCTTATGTGTTCTTGCAGACTATGTTCTACATCTATGCCAAGCAGTCTTATCCATCCAGCCGTCAACCCATCCATCCATTTATCCGTCCACACATCAAAACACTCGCATTTATAATATTACTAAGATGTGTATGCTAACAACTTCAAAAAGCGCAGACAACTGTGGCCACTTCAAGGCAAACGAGTCTAGATGAAGTAAAGTGATTTATTTTATAGGTAGCTAATAGATAAGTAATCACGTAACCGCAACCATTAGAACCCAACACAGAATACGCAATTCATCTAATATTTGTCAACAAAATTCTAAATTTAGTAACAAAAGCGATGTCTTCCTTTAAAGGTATACCTAAGTTAGCTCGCGCGGGACGCACCGCGTGCACGGCCTTATGGATTTTATTTTGGTTTGTATTTTACATAGCTCTGCGTCCATTATCCCGTGCCGCCCGCATCGAAAGACGGCATTTGCGGATTATGTTTGCGGTGCGTCCAGAGCAGGCCGAAGTTACACTAAAATCTACATATCAAATAAAACATTTGTTGTTAAAGAACGTACCATATTGACAACATTACGGTAACCATTGCAAAACAGAAAGTGATTTGTCTTACTGACCTTCGAATCATTCACACAGCCAATGAGTTAAAATTATCGAAGATTATTCACATGTATTATATTTGCATATCTTTATTTCCTGATTCAACTGGAAAATCTTGTCGGTATATCTTAACCCGGTTTTATTATGACACAGTTATTTTTGTCTAATATTTACATAAACAGTAATAGAGAGTGGGATACAAGAATTTCTGACACAAAATAACTTTACAATATGGAAACAAAATACTTTGGGTGCATAACAGCCTTCAATAACAATCTTACTTTTTACTAATATTGTTAATGCGAATGGATGGATGAAAGTTTGTTAGATGGTATCTTTAGAATGGAAATTTGGCATAGATATAGAACACATAAGCTACTTATTAAGTTTTTTTTAATTCCGCACGTAGTCGCGGAAAATTATTATTACTTAATTAATTAATTGCAAAAATGACGTTATGATTGACATTAAATTTTATACAAAAACAGATGTAACCCATATTTTCTATGAGTATTTTAGCAATCCATACCACAGATATAAAATGTTAGGAAGTTAGTAATTCTAGTATATATAAATAAAGTACGATAAAATAACATTGTAATACAAATTTAACCTTAATGCAGATCAGCTTATCAGGGAAGAATACGTATCTTAACATATATATATATATATATATATATATGCACATTTGCAATTGTACTGCATCCAATTAATTATACAACAATTTAAATTAAATGATTCAAGACAGAAACAAAGACAATGATAGTGGGGAAACACCGTTTAAACTAAGTTAAAGATATCTACAATCGCTTAAATACGAATACAGAAATTATTATTCAAAAGTAAATAGATTAATTTCCTACTGATACGTAAAAATTGTTACATTTCGGTTTATTGTATGTAGCGTTATAATTAATTAAACATTACGATTACGATATTATAAGTACGTTCTGATTTTTACAAAAATATAATTAAAATCATAAATTATTTTCATATTTCGTTGTCATTTAATTAGATAAATATGTAATTATATAATACTAATAAATTAAAAAGTAAATACGATTATAAAACTTCATTAAAGCAACACGCAATCTTACTTTGTAAACAATTAGGTTTTTTTAATTATTCAGTATCAATCATTTTCTAAACTTTAGTCAAGTCATATTCATATGCTGTACTACATAAAAATAAAAGATAAAATATGAATAGCACAAAAAAAACAAGATGAACTCTATGTTGATCTTTGCAAACATAAACTTGCCAAAATTCTTTATTCGTGTATTCTATGACCTAATTTCTTTAGTAACGCTGTATGACACAATATACCACCTACATTTAAAATAGGTTCTGATCGTAAACCCTTTCATAGTAATTATAATACAATTTTAGAATACATTTCCATTGAAAAATATTTTTACTCTGTAGTGCTATGAATTTTAATATTGATACTAGGAACCTTCGTAAACATTATAAAGGATCAAATTAACCTTGGCCCATTTCTATGAAATAAGGTTTTTAGTAAACTTTTCAGGAAGGATTTTAATACAGTAATGCTTATTTTCCATTAAGGATAACATTTAGAAGACATTTATCTTTAAGAACATTTTTCTGACAATTTTTAAACGTGAAACATCCTAAAATTACACAATAATAATTCATCAGCGCGGGACTAAAAAAAATTATTAGTAGCATATGTGTTCTTCCAGGCTATATTCTATATGTATGCCAAATTACATCGAGATCGGTTTAGCTGTACTGGAGGTACCTTCAAAGAAATAAACAATCATCCATCCATCTAAACATTCCCATTTATAATATTAATAATATTGTTATTTTTATCTATAAAGGTTTCTCACATATCCTAGTTCAAGTATATATGTGTGTTGTATGTATTTTATGTTCTATTTCTTCTGTCACCCACATCTTTACATTAAAAAACTTAATTAGTTGCCTATACACTATTCCAGACTGTAATCTAACCATATTCCAAATTCCATCCAGATCTAATCAGCCACTCTGGAGATACATGATACAATCATCCATCCATCAAAACATTCTTATTTTTTTTTTATATCAGAAGGTTGGCAAACGAGCGAGCAGCCACCTGAAATCGCTGAAATAGCGAAGTGACCGTTGCCCATAGAAACAATTGCATATGCATTGCCTACCTTTAATCGACGGAGGATAGGATCCACAGAAAGAAAATATTTTCCTTTTTATGCTTATATTAATATTGTTCTTAAATATAATATTAGTAAGATTATGCTGTTCAAAGAGGAATGTAAATTGTGTACAAGAGTGATAAGGTGTATGTACATAAGTAGGCTTATACAGGATGATAAATGAATTGTAATGTTACCTTAAGACATTTTTCTAAGTTATTATCCACTTCTATAACACTAAGATTAGATACTTGTTTAGCTGATTTACATATTGTCACTAGTGTCAAATTGTAATAATAATTTGTAGTCTTATTCACTTTATTAGGAACTTTTTCATTAATTTGTTTCCTAACACCACCATACTTCATCACAACTATGATCCATTTAATAAAAGAGAACAATGAAAAATATAATTCAAGAATGGAACATAGAACTATGCTTATGTTAAAACATATAAGCAAATCTTTCAACATTTTTGGAACACAGTTTTGTTAATTCAATTACATTTTGTGTGTGTGTGGGCCATCACACTACTAAATTGATATAGTCTTTATTAAATTACAAGAGGCATAATTAGATAAACTATCATGCTAGTCAAGCAAAAGTTTAGTGTTTAGACCACTTCTATTTATAATTAGAATTACCTAACTTTACTAAATTAGTAACTGTAATTGATTACTGTACAATAAAAATATGTTTTTAAGTTTTAAAAGTTGTAGTAATTAATAAAATAGTAAGGGGTGAGTAAATATTAAAATATAAAACAAAACTTCGAAATATAAAGCAAAAGAATGCCTAATACCAATTTATTAAACTGAATTAAATGAGTTTTCTTGACGTAATATTATTTATAGTAATAAATATATATTTTTAGTATTTATAATTTATACTTACGCGATTATTTTGAAATGATAACGCAAAATTATTTATATGTACTTCTTCCATTTTAACACGAAAACAAGATAAAAAATAACAAACACACAACTCATACATTCATAAGTTTAAATAAGTTTCTCTGTTACACGTTCGTAGAAGTAAAAAACTTTGTATTGTTTTGAAATTAATTTTGAAGTGTTTGATTTCATTCGACAACATATACTGTGACAGCTAAGATTATATGTGTCAACATGGTGTCACTAACTTTTTGACATTAAATACAATGTTGCTATCTTATGAAATGATGATAAACCGGTTTTATGTTACAAAGGGAATGAAGGGAATAGTATTTAGAATATCTCGTTTCAACTTTATAACAACCAAAAACATTAATTACCGAGAATTTTAACTGTCGTAAAACATGTAGAGGAACAATTTTTTTTTAAAGAGCAATAGGTACCATTTTTCCAACATACTTGCATAACAGTCGTGTGTCAGGTTTCATTCATTAATATTTATGTTAAAAAAAATCATAAAAAAGGGTCTTGACACACGGACGGCCAACAAAGAGATCTTATAAGGGTTCCGCTTATTTCCTATGAGGTACGAAACCCTAAAAAAAATTATATAGAATTGCATTTTGATAGACGTCTACTTATTATTAGTACTGACGGTGGACGTTATATTTAATTCTGGTTATAAAAATATATAATAATAAAAAATTTAAAATATTAACTTTTAATTATTATTGAAAAAATCGTACAACTTTTTAAGTTGTTGACATTTTGGAGACAATACTGGATAGGAGGACAGAGAGACAAGAGAATGAAGTGATTTCATTATAGTGTTCCAGTTTCGTAATTCGATACTCAATTTTCAATATTGGTCGAATTGATGCTACTTGTTTTTAGCACTTTGCTTACAAAAGAAATATATTTGGACTTTTTAAAATTATAATGTAGTTTCTTGATACTTGATTCTAATGTGATGTAATAAGGGTCTTCGCGTGACTACCTCAAGTAGGTAGTGACAGTTTCACGAGGCTAGTGTTTAATAAATATGAGTAGTTGACGTGCACCACACACGGTACATAATTTGCAAACAGGGCCTAAATCTTTACCTACTGCTTGAGCAGTCAGTGTATAGAGGCCCTTAAATTTTATGTTAAGCTAATGCTTTTTGATGTATTATTTTAACGCCAACACAATCCTTATTATGTTTTTATTAAACATGCGATAATATGGTTTGAAGGTCTAAATATGGCTAAGTGATATAGGTGTTAAACATCCATTCGTTACAGAACTTGAATGCAAGAGTCGTCTTCTACACGTCAGACTTTTTATACTATAAGTGGTAACGACCAAGCGGTCGCATTATCAACAGATACTAATACGAAACGAAGAATTAGCCTCCTGTGTCGTAATTGTTGAAAAGCGCTTAATCATCTTATGACGTCAGCTACATGGGGGCAGCTGTTAAAGACAATATGAGCAAATATAAGATATATAGTGTCATTTGCAAATAGTGTACATATGTATTATGAAAATAATAACCTTTTAAACCATTAAAACCTTCATTGTTAACAAAAATGTACAATGAAAAAACAAAATTTAACAAACCTAAATTAATTCGATTACCCTAATAAGAGATTTGGTTGTGAACACAAAAGAAACGTGTTTTTGAGACGTGATAGCATTATGTAAAGTATCAAAGCCCTACATTGAGTTAAGTATTGTTCTGTGAAATCCAATTTCATGTTGATATGTATTTATTTCGTAAATTATTTTTCTAAGGCAAAGAAAAACGAAGTAGGGAATTATTTACGTAATAAAGTTTTCGAGATCCTTTTGAAATCGTCTCTATGTATCCTCTTATGCTTTTAACGTATTAAAAAACATACTTAATATTAAACTTAAAAAGTTTGTTTAACAATTTTTTTACAAAGGGAGGAATCCATAGATTTTTTTTATTTTTCTTTATTGTTGTTGTTGTGTGTTGTTTTTTAACAATTTCATTCGAAGCAACCATTAAAACAGACTTATTGTTAGAAAAAACGAAGCGTCGGAAGCCAAAATTAGACTCAGTGTTCTACGTCAGTACACCAAATAGGCAATGGGTAGGTCATTTGCAAAGCTAGCGACGGCAGATGATACAAGAAAATCTTCGGATAGGAAATACGTAGGATCCAGAAATATGGAGCAACTTGCAGGTACTCAGACCTCAAAATTATGCGTTTTACATGATACGAAAAGTGTACAATATTGCAATTTCCTTTCCATTTTTTTTTAATAATATATATTATTTTGGACTTTCTACTCGCTTCGATTATAAAAATCGTTATTACTATGCGCTTAAGAACGAAATTATAACGTCATCAAAATTATTTTTAGTGTATAGAAATGTTAGAACACTCATAAAAACCATGACTTGCGTTTATCAGCGTGACTCTAAGAAATCTTAGATAAACGAACGCTATATAACCGCGGAGTCGTTTTTCGTATCGAAGGTACGATTTCTGTTTTTCAAGACGTGCAATCAAAAAAAATGGCACCGCAAATTAAATATACAAAGGTAGGTTTATTTAAAAGAATTAGTTAAATTAGTTATCGATTTTACATTAATTTTAATAGTGTTTTTTCTATTACATAAAGTGTTTTGAAAATCGAAAAATGATTAAAAATACAATTGGATGATAATATGTGATAACATTTTTCAAATGTGACGATCGCGTAATTATGTTCGTATTCACGATTAACTCGCATGGTCCGAAAAACATTAATATATCGTAATTTAATCGATGAGAAATAACAGCTAAGAGATGTATTAATTAGTTTATGCGTTAAATCTTATCAATCCAATTAATATTGTCAGCTAAAAGTTTTCAAAATTAATATATATACGATTTTTTTGTTAATTATCTACGTAAAAAAGACTTATTTTTTACAATTAAATGAAATAATCAACATAAAATTAAAATAATTCTCAAAAAAGCTTCGTGTTGTTTAGTCCTATTGTTTAAAATAAATCTCCCTAACCTCTGTAATATTTTTTTTGTAATATATTTAAAATGAAGTTATCTGACCAAAAAACAGTACACCAATAATCTTTACAATAAAAAAAATCACTTTGATTACAAAGAAAAAGAAAAATCATATTTCGCGACGATGATGTATTTGCGTTATTTATAAAATTCAAATACTAAAATGTTTGCCTGTATGTGTGTCTGTTCGTATCGTTCGTTCGTAGCAAACGTCCGTATTAAACGAAGAACAAATTTAATTTTTTTTTTTTAATTTAATCTTCGACTGCCCTGGCCCGATTTTGACTCCAATTTTACTAAAATTATAAGATATATATTATATATTTTTTTGCGTTTCTCTATAAATTTGACCTACGCTTTCCAACAAATCGGTTATTTTCTCACCAGTATCGGATTAATGAAGCGGAAATATGTTTTGCATATGTCAAGACAAATAACAAATTATTCATTACATTTTTTTCGAAACAAATCCCCAGTAAATGGAATCGTTTTCAAAGAACCATTCATTTGGATGTGCATAACAACGTTAAGATTATCATAAGCCACTTTTTGATTATAAATATGAATGATAACTCTTTCTCGTATCTTTGTTTTTCTTCCTTCGATAAATTAGTTGATAACTCTTGTCAATAATAATACTGATCGAAATTTGAGTTAAAACTTTAGGGTATTTAGATCGGTTAATTACTCTGACAATGTAATATATATATATATAATATAATATATAATGTAACAATACGCTATGAGAAATCGGTTTCAAATCCCACCATGGAAGCATTTCGAACTAAAGGTAACGAACACAAATAAAATAGAACAGTTAACTAGATTGAAAAAAAGCGAATAAGCTGATCAAAGGTCACTAAATCAAAACGTAATTTATGTAAAATCTGTTGCTACACTAGAATGCAAGTACGATTATAGGAGAAGCAAATAAGTAAATATAAGTACTCCTAATATCGTGCAACATGTATTAACGTATCTTTGTAGTCTATGGTTTGACAAGTAAAATGAAAAAGATAACGATATGTCATCCCTTTCATTCTTGATGTATGTTTTTTTACATGTTACATGGCAGAATAACCCACTTATTTTAATAAGGCAATGATTCTTTATTTGAACGATAATAATACATGTATTTTAATTTACAGCTGTTCATCGACAACCAGTGGGTGGACGCCGTCAGTGGCAAAACTTTCGATACCTACAGCCCTCATGACGGCTCCGTTATCGCTAAAGTGGCTGAGGGTGATGAGGTAATATTATTTTCATATATTTGTAGGATTTCCATGTGTACATTTATTCGACGAACTTACGGTGGAGGAAAAAATTGCGATGCAACCTCCATATGCTGCGAAGAGATTGAAAGATAGAAATTTGTGAAATCCATGAACACTAGTCATCTTGGGTAGGCTATAAGCTTCGGTGGGGACATATTTATGAACTGAATTGGCATCTAACAAATCCAATAAAAGGGTGATAAGGGAATAGAGAAGAGACATCAAACGCTAGGGCACCTTTTAAAACGAACTTTTCTGGTCTCTCCGAGTGCCTTTGCAACAATTGGTACATGTGTGGAGGCTAACAGATCTGACTAATAAAAGATGTAAATAGCTTGATTTGTATCATATTCGTTGGGTAATATTACGATTTATGGTCATTTCTTGCAGGCTGACATCAACCTAGCTGTAGCGGCGGCAAAACGTGCCTTCCACCGTAACTCTGAATGGCGGCTGCTAGACGCGGCGCAGCGCGGTGCCATACTGTACAAATTCGCAGACCTGGTGCAACGCGACGTTGAGTACCTCGCTGAACTAGAATCCTATAACAATGGAGCTGTGCTGTCCTTCTCAAAAAATATTACTCAATCCGGCGTACAGTCAATCCGTTACTTAGCCAGTTTGGCTGACAAAATTCAAGGCGACACTATTCCCTTAAGTGAGTATTATTGTTTCAATGTACGCTTTACTTAGTCATTATTCATTTGTTTACTTTACCTGGAATTTGTCGTTAGATCGATATAGCATATGATAAGTTCGATAGCACAATATTGTGCAATTTGTTATAATAGTTCAATAATATGAATGTGATGATGGACTAAGTGATGAACTAATTACAGAGATTCAGATTATCATCGTTACATTTCCATAATCAGTATGTTATGGCTCATTAATCAGAGTTGTTTTGGAAATTCTTGCTATGCTACAAAATATACAAAAGATAAGTATGTAACTTTATTTGTATTTCCGTATGCAGGTGGCGAAGTGTTCTCCTACACTCTGAAGCAACCCGTAGGCGTGTGCGGACTAATTTTGCCATGGAACGTACCTATGTTGATGTTCATCAACAAAGTCGTCACTGCCCTTGCTGCTGGTAAGCTTTTTATATCTAATTCAGCATAATTTGTTATTTTTCTATCCTGTTAATAAACTTATTTCTTTGGACTCTTTGCGACGTTAATCTTGAATTTTTGTATCTCATTGATTGAACAATTTGTCTCATGATAAAGAGCGTTCAGTGTTCAAATTTTTTTTGGTATCGTTGTTTGTACTTGTTGCACTGGAGGTGGCGGAGGATTAAATTTCTTGCAACTACAATATGTCAGGTTGCACGGTGGTTGTGAAACCCGCGGAGCAGACACCGCTGACTGCACTCGCGTTGGCCGCGCTATTGCAGGAGGCCGGCGTACCGGCGGGTGTTGTTAATATCGTCAATGGCTTTGGTGTCGGAGCCGGCACAGCGCTCACCCACCACCGAGATGTCGCTAAAATCTCATTCACTGGATCTATGGAAGTAAGTAAGCACAAAGCGCGTTTATCTTTAAGAAGAGTAGTAGAGTATGTACATCCGTAACAATTTTTATGATTGTCATCACACGTTTCAGTTTAATAAACACCGCTAAATGATGACTCATCGTGAGTCCGTGTTTGGCTCGAGTCGGCCTTGTGATATTTCATACTAGCTGTCGTTTGCGACTCTGTCCGCGCAGAATTAAACAAAAAATTGTAGTGTTTCAGTTCTTCCGGACGATCTGACGATTCCTGAGATACGTTCAGTCGTGTTGGGTATATTTTCTAACAAACATTCGCATTTATAATATAAGTAACATGTGAAGTTACGACAAATTTAAAATGTCTTTTTAAAGCATCAAGATTCAAATAACTCTGCCTAAAACAAGCATCGTTATCGATTTTGCTTGATAATTTTATCGCAACATTGCGTGACTACGTGATTACAATTTTGTTTTTGTCATATTTGTACTTTGAACTAAAATCAACTCGTTCAAGAAACACAATTAAGTCATTATTTAACGTTTGAAGCTATGTTTTATCTCCAAAAATAATTATAATGCCAGCGATTTAGGAAGCGTGTTTTAATATACTTCAAAAAGAAGAAGCATATCATCAACTCGTCTGTATTATTTATGTGTATTGCCACATAATTATTATATAAAAGAAAAACTGTCAATTGAGAAATGTGAGATTTAAATACTACTTAATCTTACTTATTATTAATATAATCAAATATTTGTATCGATGGATGGATGTTCGTTAGAGGGTATCTATAGAACAGCTGCATGGATTTCGCTGAAATTTGACATAGATGGACAACTGGAAGAATACAAAAGCTACTAATTAATTTTCTTTTAAATTTCTAGTTATACATTACTTGTAAAGTCTAACTAAGCTTGGTCTTACTGAATACTTCAAGTATCAGTCTACACATTCCGTAATACGGTAACTTGTCACAATGTTCCCAAGAAAGCTTAACCTGTTACGTAGTTGTTTGTGAAATTATAACTTTTCTACTAATTATTCTCTAAGAATCAAGGTAATCTCTCCGCTACCTAACAACAAGGAACATGTTATAAATTTTTAATTGTATTTTGCAAGGTAGGCAAGCTAATCCAGCAAGCCGCGGGCGCCACCAACCTAAAGCGCGTCACACTCGAGCTTGGCGGCAAGAGTCCCCTCATCATCATGAACGACGCAGACTGTGAGATACTCTTTCATTCTAAAGCTTAAAAACAATAAACCAGTCAGACTGTAACTGCCCCTATGAAACTACAAAGAAAACTATCATTTAAAGACCTTAGTCCTTTAAATTGATCATGCCGTGTGGTCTAGGTTTTATACCCCACTTCTTCAAAAACGCCAATTATATGTCTAGGAACGTCTATCGCTTACGTTATTTTGAAATATATTTATTTCTTTGCAGTGAATATCGCTATTCCTTACGCTGCGTTTGGTGTCTTCACTCATCAAGGACAAATATGCGTTGCCGCGTCTCGTCTCTACGTCCAGTCAGACATCTATGATAAATTCGTTCAGGGTGCTGTCGAATTCGCTAAGCAGAGGACAGTTGGAAATCCTAATGACCCCGCTACACAACAAGGACCTCAGGTAAGATCCCAAATCCTAAAGATTATATAAATTTAAAAAAAGCCGCTTACTTATTCAAACAAAAAAGTAAATTATACTCCATAAAACTTAATTGATTCCAATACATATCAAAATTTAGATCCGCAACTCCGAATCACGTTTATTTAGGGAATGAGATAGATGAGATTCCTACTAACAAAGTTTTATGTCGTTCGTATTGCACAGATTGATGGAGAGATGATGAACAAAGTGCTTGGATATATTGAGAAGGGTAAGAAGGAGGGAGCAAAGCTGATGACAGGAGGCAAGCGCATTGGCAACTCAGGTTTCTACATCGAGCCGACAGTCTTTGCAGATGTCACTGATGATATGACCATCGCCAAGGAAGAGGTAACTATTAACTAACAAAAGTATTTTATGTAGGTTTCATTCAAATTATAAATTACTTGAGTCTTCTAAATTTGATACAGGCGTAAATAAATAGAAGAAAGGTGGACAATATAACCTAAATTCTTTTCCATTTGAACGAGCTCCGAAACCAGTTAAATTGAGACGATCCAAATGAGATCTTGTCCTGATTGGTATATTTGTATTTTCTATTTCACACTTATCGTAATTTTTATAACAGATCTTCGGACCCGTACAAAGTATCCTTAAGTTCGACACACTTGAAGAGGTCATCGACAGAGCTAATGCCACCAACTATGGTCTTTCTGCGGGTATCTTCACAACCAACTTAAATACAGCTCTACAGTTCAGCAAACACGCTGAAGCAGGAGTTGTATGGTAAGAAGTTTCAACTTAATTTCTAATAATATTGGTAGTACAAATCTACAATTGTGTAGAAAAAACGAAGTCACTTTAAGTAATCAGCTACGATTGTTAATACACGAACGATATAACGATCGAACGAAAAAAAAAATATTCGTCACTGATCCTGTTAGCAATTTACATCAGTTTATCTACAAATCAAATTTTACCAAGTGTATAAATTTTCCAGGGTTAACACTTACTTGGCTAGCGGTCCCCAGGCTGTCTTCGGTGGTTTCAAGGATTCAGGTCTCGGAAGGGAAAAGTGAGTGTTATAAATTTAGTTTATGGCCAAAATATTCGGTCATTATACCCTAAATATAATTTTCATCCATTCATCATCAGCTCACTATACGTCCCCACGGAGGGGATCGGAGCCTACCCTATGTTAAGGGTGATTAGGCCATAGTCAACCACGCTGGCCATCTTTGAATTACTTCTCAGATATGTGCAGGTTGCATCATGATGTTTTCCTTCACCGTAAGAACGTCGGATAAATGTACATATGTAAATCGGAAATCGAAAAGCACATTGGTACATGGCAGGATTCGAACCCAGGACCTGCAGATTGCAAGTCAAGTGCTTGACCCCTGAGCTACCGACGGTCTGAATCTAATATTGATAATTTTTTCAGTGGTCTACACTGCGTGGACGCTTACTTGGAAGTGAAGACTGTTACCATAAACCTGCCGAAGAAATTTTAAATTATTGCATCTCTTATGATTAAGTTTAATTATCTGTTACGTTTTATCAGATTTTAATTATATAAATCATAATATATGTCTGGATTAAACGAAATTATTACATAAAACTGGACTTATTATTTAAATTAATTTTATTTAAAAGGCCATAAGGCCATAGACCTACTGCAGTGATGCGTAAAAACATCAAAGTAATAGTTGAAAAGTGTGTAACTACCTTTTAATTTCCTGAAGCTTGTAATGAATATTTTCCAATTTAAATTTACAATTGAATCGGATTATTTACTTACTAGTCTGAACTTAACAATTAATTCTTTGTTAACACGTGCAGATGTGTTATTAAAATTATCATTACTCCTACCTCTTTTATAAAACCAAATATTGTGTAACATGGATTTCATTATAGAAACAACTGTATATAGAGTCATCCTTGTCTATTTCCCTAATAAAGACAGAGTGAAAACTACTTCTTCATGTAGGTTTTAACAATAGAAGTCGATACATCCAAATGGAAAACGTAAATACAAACTGTTATTTTTTTATTTTTTCGAACGTAATATTTTATTTGTACATATTCATCACATTATATTATCATCAGCCAGAACTTTTCCTTCCATACTTCTCTATTAGGCGATATATCTGGATTTATTCTTTTCTTACGTAAGTATATCCTCTTTCACCTAATCCATTCATTTTTTTTTACTTATGGCATTGTTACCGTCTTAGTCCACGGAAGATTCTGCCAACGTCTGGTTTTCGAAGCCAATTATACTTTCTTCGTTCTTTCTCTACCATAGCTTTAAAATTGATATTCTACGTTATTGAGGTAATTCGTTTTATTGCTACCAAGATAAAAAAATATTCACCGAGTAAATATTTCACAGAAGCAAGATCAAAATTTAATTATTCGACAATCCAATGGCTTAACTCAATAAAATTGAGTTACTCATGAAACGTAAAATTGGCCGCTTGTTTATTAATAAATCTTTTTAAGCTTTTCATTTATTTTAATTGCCAACTGACAATTATGATAAATAAATTATTCAAATTAAAAAGTTGATTTAACATTAGTTCAAAATAATAATCATTTTGATTTAAATAAAATTAATAACTGAGGGAAAGGAAATGAACCATAATGTAAGGATTACGTAAAGAGGAAAGATTTGATTTTTTGTCTGCGTTGTAGGCTTCGAAACTATTATAGTTTTTTTTCTTTTAGATCACCTTAGCTTTTAGAACAGTCGTCGTTGGTTTATGACACCAAAATCTCTGTATAAAACATACCGTCATCCCTGTCATGATATTAGAGAAAATTGAGATAAAAATATGTTATAAACGGATACTATGGTCTCGAAAACTCATGGTTAAGTTAAAAAGAAGCAAGGTTTTTTTTTAAAAATTGAATTGCTATTAATCTAGTGTCAGAATAAGTCTTACAAAAGTACGAATTAAGTAATTGCTAATTATGATTCAGTGAACAACGGTACGCTTCGAAAATCAATGCCAATTATCTTGTCTACTGGAGATGGACTATCATGTAATTACTCGACAGTCCTTTGGGATAAAAATAGTATAATGTATGAAATTAACTTATAATACGTTAATTTAAAACATTATGGTATTACTAGCTATCGCCTACGACTCCGTCCGCGCGGATTAAAAAAAACTTCGTGGTTTTGTAGACTATGTTCTACATATGCCAAATCTCAGCAAGATCTATGCAGCAACCTTCAAACATCCATCCATCTATCCAAACATTCGAATTTACAGTATGATATGTTATGTTGTATTGCTTTAATGAAATCTTATTCTTTTTAAACACTAAGGAGGTTAGAAAAAATTTAACGAAAAACTTTGTCATTTCTAACGAAAGGTTTCATTCAAGCCACGTTTGAAGCCCGAGTAGATTTCTTCTACGTTTTTAAGCAGATCATCTGACTGCAAAACTAAAAATGATGGATCTCAAATGTAACCGTTAAAGAGGTCCTGCTATAGTAAGTGAAAATAGTTTTGACATTTTTATGTTGAAAAAATAAATAAATAGTGAAATAGATAAGTTTGAAAATTCGCTTCTCCTTTAAAACTAGAACCTAGTACTTAGTATTTCGTACCTATAAGTATTTCTTTAGTGCGCAATTCTTAATGAAATCACACCTTTTCGGTTCAACGAAGTACCCTAAAAGCTTAAATTGGAAATTTGCAACTGAACCGACAAATTCTGCCTTTTGTTCCTAAATTCAATAAATTTCACCCCGAATAGATACCAATTTTATTAATTCAATAATAAAAACAATCAAAATAGACAAAATGTGACATCAGACTTCTTAAAGTTATAATAAGTTAAATTATTCAAACTTTCGTGAGACATTATACTAAATTGATATATAAACAAGGCTAAACACTCACGTATATACGCTCACGTCGCTCACTGACGAGCAGCGTCCGCGAAATAATACCAGTACCACTCATCCTGATGAAGGGCCCCCGATGGGCTCGAAACTAGTCGGTGCCGCCACCGGACGAATATACGTGAGTGTTTAGCCGTGTTTATATATCAGTTTAGAATAAGTTAATCGATTTTCACCAATTCGAATGTTTATTTCTTCTTTCTAATCTTAGTCTCATTAACATTAGAAATGTGAATGTTTGGATGGATGGATGTTTGTTAGAAGTTATCTCTAGAACGGCTACATATGTAGATCTCGTTGAACATATATGTAGAACACAGTCTGGAAGAACACATAGGTTACTGAGTTTAAATTCCCCGCGTATGAAATCGGCAATAGCTAGTTGAAAGATTTATCTATTATATAATATAAGGAGTAGTATATTTTCATGCACACGATGACGTATTATCCATAAAGTTCATTCTCATGTATGTGTTTGGAAGAAAATTCGACACTGTGCCGGTGTATCGGCGCAACACTAGCCTTAAAATTTCAACGTTTATGTCTCCTCACTAATCAATCTGACACTTGACTTTGAAACGAAAACGCGCCATTCGCGCCAAAGGATCTTACTAATCTTATATATAAAAGAAAGTCGTGTTAGTTACACTATTTATAACTCAAGAACGGCTTTACCGATGTGGCTGAAAATTGGTGAGGAGGTAGCTTAGAGCCAGGAGAAGGATATGGGATACTATTTATTCATTTTTATTTCGAATTTATGCCTTGAAGAGATGCTTTTTATTTAACTTACTAATATTATAAATGCGAATGTTTAGATGGATGTGATGTGGATGGATGAATGGGTGTTTGAAGATATGTCTAGAACTTCTGAACGGATCTCGATTAAATTAGGCATACTTATAGAACATAGTCTGAAAGAACACATAGACTACACTAATTAAGTTTTAATAGTTAAGTTTTTTTATATAACCACGCGGACGCAGTCGCGGGCGACAGCTAGTATTGTCTAAAAGTACATGTTTCGGTTGAAGAACTTGATACAAGTCCAATAAGTTACTTACACAGCTTTTAAATCAATTTGATATGAATTCCCGTGATGAATAATGTTTATGCAACGACATAAACAAGAAATATTCATTAGTTGTATTATCAGCAGAAAAAAACAACAGATGTGTTGTTAATTAAAATAACTTATCTATTCCGTTAACACGTTGAGCGCCACGCGTATTTCTAAGGCAATCCCATTCAGGCCACAAGCGCCGCTTATACGCACCGGTATTAAAGGGCCGGTGTTTCCGATCGCAGTACAAAGTAGTTTGCATTTTTAACGCAAAATAGTAAAAAAAAATATAGTTCTCATGTTACACGCTGTCAGCCACCGGTGGTTGACGCGACCAAACAGAAAATCTAGTGTCAGACACCGATGGCTGATGCGGCCTAAACGGAAAGCCTAGTGTCAGCCACTGATGGCTAACGTGGCGTTCAAAGTGTTAAAAGAAGGAATAATCGATACCTTTATGTTTGTTGTTCGTAATTACACGTGGTGACACTACAATGTGCCAGGGACGCACTTAACCGAAAAATATAACATGAAAAGGACCGCATATCAACTAGATAATATTATCATCTGGCCTTGAAATAAATGTAAACAAATAGTATTCCGGATTGTTTTTGTTAATCTGTCACAAGTTAAAAATTTCATCACACATGGATTGAATCTCTTGTTCCAAGATTGGCATTCTTGTTCTATATTCTTATTCCTATAATCTTCTTTTTCTTCTTCTTTATATTAATATTCTTTTTCTTCCAAAACCTTGTACAACATATGCTTAAAATCGAAAATAATTTATATAAAAAAGCTTTTCTCATAATTATATACACTAGCTTTTGCCCTAGACTTTGTCCGCGAGGAATTAAAAAACAAACTTAAAAACTTTGTTTTATATTCATGCCGAATTTAATCGAGATCCTGATTTTGTAATTTTTTCTTTCATAAGAACCTTTTCCTGACATAAACACAACAAAATCATATTTTTGTCAAGAAAACCACAGGTTAATTGAATAGATTCCGCCTTATTTTAAAAATATTATCGAAGAAAAAAATTAAATGGAAAGTGTATTTTTTTAATTTAAAGTAACATTTTATTTACAAATTAAAATTATAACAAAATTAACAAATATTTAAAACTTCTTTGGTAAGTTGATAGCCACAGTTTTCTGTTCCAAAAAGGCATCGACAGCTTGAAGACCACTGCAATAAAAAAACGTAAATTCAATATTATACGAGTATACATCCCCTAATCCGATATTTATCCAGCGGTCACCTTGTAGAGAATTGGTGACCACTCATTGGCAACCTTATAATACAAAAAAGTAAAATATGATTTTTTACATACTTTTCTATTCCAATAGATGAATCTTTCCAACCTCCAGAAGGAGCTTGTGGTCCCATCATCAAATATGTGTTTATCCTGAAAAGAAAATTGTATTATTACTCTATGTTGCATACCGTATCTATTTATTTAAACGGCTTTTATATTTATTTCTACAGCCTATAACAATTTTCTTACTCTTATAAATGCGAATGTTTAGATGGATGGATGTTTGTTTGAAGTTATCTCCAGAACGACTGAACTCGATTTCGATTAAAATTGGTGTACGTATAGAACATAGTCTGGCAGAACGCATAGGCTACTAGTTAAGTTTTTTATTTAATTCCGCGCGGTCGGAGTCGCGCAACAGCTAGTTGTTAATCAATTTGTTCTTGTTCATCTTAGTTAAGAGAAATTTTGTTTTACCAGAAATGTTTCGGAATTTAGGAGTTTTGTTTATAGCTTAGAGTTTTGATTAGCATTCGGATGTATAGTAAACTGACTGGTTATCGTAGAGACATTTCTAGAAGGACTTACCAAACTTTGCCGACTTCCGCGTGTTTACTGAACTGTAGAGCTGTGTTTAGGTTGCTGGTAAAGATGCCAGCGGCAAGGCCGTAATTGGTGTTATTACATCTCTCTATAACTTCTTCAAGTGTGTCGAACTTGAGAATGCATTGGACTGGACCGAAAATCTGAAATATTTGACATATTCTTAGAGACAAGATAAAACTACTTATTTAAAATCTTTGTTAGTTCTAGCTTGTGGAAAAGATATATGTTAATATTTAAATTAACACGTTAAACGCCACTCCGGTCACCGATGACTGGATCGCTGCCTGGATATAAGTGCAGTGTAGGGCACCAGTGAAATCAAGGTTTTTTTTATAATATCTGCGGAACCCAGCTTTTGATTGAACCCTAATTCAAATATATTTTGAAGAATCGACATTACGCATCTTTTCCTTTATGGCGTCGTAACTAGTATGTTACCTGACTTATTATGTTACTGATGGCCAATGGCCTGGACGATATCGAAAGCTGAGACGAAATAAGGTTGAAAGAAAATCATGTTAAATAGGTGATGACGTCAACAACGGACTTACTTCTTCCTTAGCAATTTTCATATCATCTGTAACGTCAACAAAAACAGTTGGTTCGATGTAGTAGCCAGTATTGCCAACTCTCTTTCCGCCAGTTAGTACTTTGGCACCCTCCTTTTTACCCGCTTCAATGTAACCCAGTACTTTGTTAAACATTTCAGCGTCAATCTGGTAATTGAAAAAAAAAATGTTTGTTCATAAAATGGTTTATAGTTGTGATAAATGTTAGTGACCGAATTTGTGAAAATGGATTATTATAAAAATCTCTCCGATCTCAAAAAATCTTTGGGGTAGAAACATCTCAGACACATGATTTTTAGCAGTAATATTGGTATCATGTACTAACTTGAGGTCCGTGTTCGGTAGCCGGGTCTGTAGGGTTGCCAATGACCCTCTTCTTAGCCATAGCGACGGCTCCCTGCACAAACTTGTCGTAGACACCGGACTGTACGTAGACGCGGGAAGCCGCGATACACATTTGGCCCTGATGCGAGAAGATTGAATACGCAGCGTAAGGAATCGCTGCATTTACTGAAAATAGAACAAACAAATTGTCACTCCGTCCGCGCGCAATAAAATAAATCTGGTAAAAAACTTCCACGCAAAATATGCTGCCCTAGATGTGGAGTTGCGGAAACCATAGCCCCTTCTACTACTATTACTACTAATAAATATAGCCTATGTTTCGTTTTGATAATGTAGGGTTACTAATGGCAAAAGGATTTTCAGAATTCATTATTTTTTTTAAATTATGAAAACATTAGTAGAAATTTACACATTTGTTGTAATTTGGTGTTATAATTGTGTATGTACAGTCGAAAAATTCTTCATAAAACTGGTTGCGTTGATAAAGAAATAGGCATGAAATTTGATACTTTGGATGCGGTAGATTATTGTTATCATTGCTACTATCAACATGAGAAGATAAACATTTATCTTACAATCCGCATCGTCCATGATAACCAGAGGACTCTTGCCGCCGAGCTCGAGTGTCACTCGCTTCAGGTTGTTAGCTCCAGCTGCTTGTTGAATCAGCTTTCCAACCTAAAATATACAGTAGTTTTAATGCTCTATTCAATTCAAGATATATCTAGCATTGAAAAATAAATAAAGTTCGTCTACTTCAAGTGATCCAGTGAATGAGATCTTGGCGACGTCAGGGTGATGAGTGAGTGTGGTGCCGGCGCCGACTCCGAAACCGTTGACGACGTTAACAACACCCGCCGGCAAACCCGCCTCCTGCAGCAACGCAGCCAGCGCTAGTGCAGTCAGCGGCGTCTGCTCTGCCGGCTTCACCACCACCGTACAACCTGACACATTGCAGTTGTATAAAAATATCTGAAACCCACTCAGTGACAGAATTAATATCACCTGCTTCACAATAATTTCGCCGTGTTTAATATACCTTAGTAATCAGTAATTTACCTGCAGCCAAGGCAGCCACAACTTTCACTATAAATAGAAGGATAGGTCCGTTCCATGGTAGAATAAGGCCACATACTCCAATAGGTTGCTTCAGTGTGTACGCGAAGACTTCTCCACCTTAAGAAAAAATAAATCAATCACTTTCCTCGTCAGATATTTGACTTTCACATAGTCATACTTAGGCTAGAATACTTACTCAAAGGAATTGTATCACCCTGTATTTTGTCAGCTAAACTGGCTAAGTATCGGATATTTTCAACAACATTGTACTTAAGCGACAAAATGGCAGACGAAAGCAACATTCCATTATTGTAACACTCTAATTCAGCCAGATACTGCGTGTCTCGTTGTACCAGGTCGGCGAACTTGTCCAGGATAGCCCAGCGCTGGGCGGCGTCCATTAGTCTCCACTCAGAGTTGCGATGAAATGCACGCTTTGCTGCCGCCACCGCTAAGTTGATGTCGGCCTAAAATAAAATTAACGAAAGATTTACCACCAACTAATTCATCTGTCTGTCTGGTCCAAGATTACGCTGTGTTTAAACCTTCCAAACTTGGTTTTCCACTTATAACATCGCCCTTTTCATTAGATCTACCCTAATTTATGCCATCTTATTTTTTGTTTCTCCTTTTTAAGTGTAGAAAATTAAAACCTTTTTGGAACTGCTATTCGTAAATACTACAAGCGCAATGTTTAGACTTTTTGCTAGTTTTTTATTAATATTTGATACTGTTTTGTATGTATGTTTTCGATTACCTCGTCACCCTCAGCCACCGTTGCGATAACGGAACCATCGTGAGGATTGTACGTATCAAAAGTCTTGCCGCTGACAGCGTCAACCCACTTGTTGTCGATAAAGAGCTGAAAACAAGGAAAAAATTACTACTTAAGTAATATTATACTATCTATAACTTGATTAAATTAGGGAGCTGAACACAGTAACTGAATATAAGGGATTTAGCGCATTTTTAGTCAAAGGAAATAACCACGCTTAGTAAAGTTCGGATCTTAACAATTATTATAGAAAACGCATGTTTTTTACTTTAGATATTTATTTAAGCCCGCTACACACTTTAGTTTCAACTGCACAATTCAACTGCACAGGTCTACTCTTTCAGTTATAACTGTAGGTGTGTAGCGAGCTTAAGCCATCATCAGTTCACTATACGTCCCCTCCGAGGGGCTCGGAGCCTACCCTAAGTTAAGGGTGATTAGGCCATAGTCAACCACGCTAGCCAAGTGCGGGTTGGTTGACTTCACACATATCTTTGAATTTCTTCTCAGATACGTGCAGGTTGCATCACGATGTTTTCTTTCACCGTAAGAACATCGGATAAATGTACATATGTAAATCGGAAATCGAAAAACACATTGGTACATGGCGGGATTCGAACCCAGGACCTGCAGATTGCAAGTCAAGTGCTTGACCACTGAACCACCGACGCAGTCGACGAGCTTAAGACTATCTAAAAATCTGTGTTAAAACACCTCTATTAATAATGTTTCAAATTGCAGTCCAAGAAGTAGAGATAAAAATATAAACCTTTGTATACTTGATCTCCGGTGCCATTGTTGAACGGGTACGCGATAAACACCTCGTTAAAAGCGAAAAACTACAACCCAACGATTTTCGAAAGTCTGACATTATGTATGTGTGTTTATCTTAGATAACCATTTAACACTAATCAGATTACAGTATTACGAATCTTCTCTAATTTATTATATAAGTTTTATTATCAAATATTTCGATAACAATTATCAGTGATTTTATGAAACACAATTAAATATTCACCAATTTTTTAGGGTTTTTTTAATGCAAATATCAATTTAATGTTACAATTTTTCTTCATTTGTAATTCTTGCTTTTCATACTTGTTTAAAATTAGTATAAACAAGTTTTAAACTAAAAAACTTTACATTGGTTTATACCTATAACTTTAAGGTCATATTTAAAATAATTCCGTTGATTTAAATAAAAGAAAACTATAACATTATTGTAAGATATAGAGGCTGGTCACTTTCTATAAACCCGTTATAAGCTAGTAACTATTTGATAGTGTAGCACAACCCTAAAATGTTGACGCAATATCACGGAACTTAAAAAGATACTATACAAGATAAAATTATACTAGTATCTCTTGTTAAAGCTGATAAGTACTGTGGAATCCTCTGTAAGTGTATAAGGAAAGATTCGTTTTCTAATGTCGCAAATCTATATTTGCGAGTGCCGCCCAACTTTTTCGCCTCGCAAGAGACAAAGGAAAATATGGAGAACTGATCGCCAACCTTCGCTAGTCGGAGAGGCACGTCAAGAAGAAGAAGAAATATAGATTAACACCTTCTCAATCATATTTATAGCAGCAGTTGAACGCCCGAAATTAAAAAAAAAACATAATTAGTAGACTATGTGTACTTCCAGACTATGTTCTATATGTATGCCAAATTTCATCCTAATCTGTTCAGTCGTTCTAGAGATACCTTCAAACATCCATCCATCTAGACATTCGCATTTATCATATGAGTAAGAAGTAGGATTTACAATGAGACCCCAAAATTGTCTTCTCCCGATCGTCTCTTGTTCTACACTAACTCTACATAACTTTTGATACATTTTTGTATGACGAAGTATGCAGGTGGCTAGTTTTGCCATCTTGGCTATTGTTTATGAAGTCTTTGGCTACCAAAGAGAGTACGGTGCAGAAATAAAAGCCATGAAATAAGAAAATAATAAATTTTATTTAAATACAATATGTAAATTGTATCAGAAAAATATTCAATAATAAGGTAACAGTGGTAGAGCCCGCTTTAACATCTTCGCACGCTTTAACAGGAATTGGCCCGGCTCGCCCGGTGAAATACCACGACCACACAGAAGACAGGCGTCAAGTGGAAGCAATTCCGCGTTTCGTCTGATGAGTGTGCGTCCCGGAGGCCTAATTTAGTCCTCTTTCCCTTCCCACCCTTTTCTTATAAGGAAAGGATGCGACGTGGAAGTGGACTTTCCGGATGAGAGGATGCATGGAAAGGGAAAATATTTTCTTTCTGTGCATCCTCTCCTCCGTCGATTAAAGGTAGGCAACGCATATGCAATTGCGTATGCCTATGGGCAACGGTCACTTCGCTATTTCAGCGATTTCAGGTGGCCGCTCGCTCGTTTGCCATCTTAGGATAAAAAAAAAATCATAATAATTGTTTTAAAAATATGATAAATAAATGTATAAGGTTATGTTTTAATTTCAACATCTCAAGAAGCTCTCGCTAAACAGTTGGATTAAGTGCCCGATAGAAAAGGCAGTTATCCTAGAAACCGCACGCATCGTGAGAAGGTTCCTGTCTCTGCAGCCCTGACCACTGTTTGTTTGAGTCATGGGACTCCGCAGCCGGTGGTACATTATTTTTAATACACTATATTTTGTATAATATAATTTTTTATTTTATATATGAAATATAATATATAAGGTTAATAAATGAATAAGAAGATAAAATCTTAGATTAAGTTTATTAGGTATCACATTTCTTTTGTTTAAATTACATAAATTAGAATTTCTTTGGCAGGCTAATGGCAACAGTCTTCACTTCTAAATAAGCATCCAAGGCGTTGATACCACTGAAATTAAAAAAAAAATTAAAATCCACACTCTAACAAAAAGTAAAAAAAAAAACAATAAAATGCACTTACTTTTCCCTTCCGAGCCCAGAATCTTTAAAGCCGCCAAAAGGTCCTTGTGGTCCAGACAATAAGTACGTATTTACCCTGGAAAATATAGATTGAAGATATTGAAAGGTTTAAACAAAACGCTTATTATATAAGACACTTGTTCCAATATTTGTTTTTTTCTATTATTAGGTGGCAAACGAACAAGTGGCCCCAAGTTCTCTGAAATTTTGAAGCGACCGCTGCCCATAGATATCAGCAATTGCAGATGCAATGCTTAATTTTAATTGACACAGACAGATACTGTTTTTCCTTCTTATGCGTCTCTACTACCATTAAATCCACTTCCCCTTCCAATCCCTTATAAGAAAAGTTAGTGAAAGACGACGAAATTGGGCCTCTAACGCTCACATTAATCAGACTTTACGCGGAATTGCTTCCACTTCACCCTATTGTCTGAGCGGTCGTGATATTGCAAAAGGAGAGACATTGGTGCAACAGATGATATCGCTGGCGACTAACAATGTGAGAATTTACTAGTTAATGCCATCACTTTAAAAAAAATTTAATATCTCACAGTCGCAAGAAATCATGTTTTTAAAAGTTTCATAGTTTGTGGTAAGTATATAGCTGATTTTTCTTATGTAAATTATGACGTACCATACATTCCCTGCCTCTATATGCTTAGTGTACTGCAAAGCGTTGTTAAGGTTATTCGTAAAGATGCCGGCAGCAAGACCGTAGTTCGTAGCATTCGCTCTATCGATAACTTCTTCCAGTTTATCGAACTTAATAATGCTTTGCACCGGTCCAAAGATCTAAAATCATAGGTTCGTGAGTCCACTGTACAAAACTTCCCGGAGATATACTTAGTTAAGTTCTACTTTATTTGGAGGCGATGCATACTCTCTCTGTTTTGCAAAAATAATTACAGGGATGGCGATACTTTTTATACAAAAATTTTGGTGTCATAAACCCATAGTGTGTCCCGTCGCATGACGTTAGTCACGTCCCGTAACCTAGTACTAAATTATGGAATAATTAATACATAAAAGATAAGTTCCTTTATAGAGTCATGTCGTTGGTACTCAACAAAGGAAGTACTGAATGAAGTATGCGTATGAAACAAATTACCTCTTCTTTAGCGATGGTCATATCATCAGTGACATTTGCAAAGACTGTCGGCTCGATGTAGAAACCTGAGTTGCCAATGCGCTTGCCTCCAGTCATCAGTTTTGCTCCCTCCTTCTTACCCTTCTCTATATAACCTAATATTTTTTTCATCATCTCCTCATCTATCTGTGAAATTAAATAACAATAATAGATATATCAAATTTGTATTATCTCTTTGCAACTAAAAAGAGTTCTGTTATATTCGTTCGTTCGTTCGTTTCTTATCAGCAGGAGTAATATCCATCCCAGCTTAACTTGGAAGAAAGACAAATAGTTTTGCTCAAAGCAGTATTAGGACAATCTTGTATCTAATAAGATTATTGACTACCATTTTAACACAAAAGATTATTTAGTACTTACTTGTGGTCCCTGTTCTGTTGATGGGTCTGATGGGTCACCAACAACTCGGTTCTTAGCGAATGCGACGCAGCCTTGCACGAATTTGTCGTAGATACCCGATTGCACGAACAAACGAGAAGCTGCCACGCAAATCTGGCCTTGGTGAGCAAAAATACTATTGGCGGCGACGGCTATAGCAGTATTTACTGAAAATATAAGAATAAGAAATCAAAACATACATCTCGTGGAGTTCCTTTCTTATGGTTTGTTCATGAACTAAGCGGTTTCAAATTCTAATGTCAAATGCTTTCCAAGCTAATTAATTGATATTTTTTTAACTTGTGAATTGTCTGGTATAGTAATTTAATGGATTATCTTACAATCTGCATCGTCCATGATAACCAAAGGACTCTTGCCGCCGAGCTCGAGTGTCACTCGCTTCAGGTTGTTAGCTCCAGCTGCTTGTTGAATCAGCTTTCCAACCTAAAATATACAGTTGTTTAAATTGTGTTCTATAGGTTCAGAGATATCTCTAGTATTGAATAAGATATAAAGTTGCTCTACTTCAAGTGATCCAGTGAATGAGATCTTGGCGACGTCAGGGTGATGAGTGAGTGTGGTGCCGGCGCCGACTCCGAAGCCGTTGACGACGTTGACAACACCTGCTGGCGCGCCGGCCTCCTGCAGCAGCGCGGCTAGCGCCAGTGCAGTTAGCGGCGTCTGTTCCGCCGGCTTCACCACCACCGTACAACCTGAAACATCACGTAAATACAGGGTTACATTTTAATTACTTACGTAAAATAGTGTTACTTATTGCCGATAATACTCATCATGAAATAAATATGAAATTCAAAATCGAAATCCCTGTCAAAGAAAGGGATGACGATATGTTTTATACAAAGTTTCTGATCGCAGAAACTCTCAGTCAGAAAACTAAGAAATGAACAAAATGTTTATGGAAATAAACAAAACATTGGATTTATGAGATTCAATTGATCATAAACCAATTTTTGTTAGAAACTGCTTATTTCATTTAATATATTTTAAATAAAACAAAGATTACCAGCCGCGAGAGCAGTGACTACTTTGTGGATGAACATCATAATTGGTCCATTCCACGGCAGGATCAAACCGCACACGCCCACGGGTTGCTTCAAAGTGTATGAAAATACGTCACCATCTGAAATTAATACACAATTTAATTTGTCATACAATCATCTTTAAATATATTGCACGATCGTCAGTGAAATTTCAAATCAAACATTTGTTGGTACACACTAATAAAATTAGAGTAAGAGTTATACATAGGCTACTAATTAGGTTTTTTTTTATTCACTATCGACTAGGTCTCGGGCTACAGATAGTATATTTTAATCACAAATACTTACTAAGAGGAATAGTATCTCCTTGAACTTTGTCAGCCAAACTGGCCAAGTATCGAATATAATCAATACCATATCGATTGAATCCTTTTGACAAACTCACAACCATGCCATTGTTGTAGGACTCAAGTTCAGCGAGGTAATCGAAGTCTCTTTCCACCAGGTCGGCGAATTTGTAGAGTATGTAACCTCTTTGGGACGCGTCAAGTAAACGCCATTCCGAGTTCCGATGGAAGGCACGCTTCGCAGCTGCTACCGCTAAATTTATGTCCGCCTGGTAAACAAATTATTAAAACTAAATAAATGCTCTCATGTAACTAAAAAGAAGATTAGCAGAAAATAATTACAGTTTTGCATTTGGTTGTTATTCTGGTATGCCTATTTCCATGAACATCGCCAAGAACTATGATACGTTAGATTATTGTCTTAAAGGCAATACTTTTTGTACCATAAATTGATGTATATATAGACTTTATCTGGTCATATGATAAGAATCAAATCGCGACTGAATTGCATATATTTAAAAATTTATAATTATCACCAAACCATATGATGAGTATTATTTTAAACCGAACACCTTTTGTTATAGTCACTGCATATAAAAAGTTATTTTAAGTCTGATGTAGCAAGAATATTTTTTTCCTACTGTCGAAGATCCTCACGTCAACTTGTTCCACTCCTTGGCTGTATGTAGAAAGAACGAACATTCAAATTGTTGCGTTTGAAGAAGCGGAACATCGACTTTGGAAGGATGATCTGCCGTATATCTAAAAGTCCAATATTTTTTTTTATAATGTACATATTTAAGTAATTACCTCATCACCTTCAGCCACTCTAGCGATAACGGAGCCGTCATGAGGGTTGTAGGTTTCAAAAGTTTTGCCACTGACGGCGTCCACCCACTGGTTGTCGATGAACAGCTGTTGAAATAATATGAAGATTAAGAAATCAACTACCGTACAAAATTGTTTTTAAGAGTTCGCTTCTCCTTCTTTCTTTAAAACGGCAGAACCTATATATCTCATTTTGCAGCTGTCACGGAATGCACGAGGAAGGGTCCGTTCATACAATCCGGTTCGGAGATCATCGGACGGCGCTATTCACATAAACAGGCGCGGATTACCAACCAAACCGTTTCACATAGAGCGGCTGGAACTCTATTCAGCATATCCCCTCGGAGCCAGACGGTTCCATTACGCAAGTACGAAAGAGTATATATCTCCAGTGTATGTGAACGGACCTTAACTGTACTCCTATGAAACTTATGAAAGGTATTAGATTCGAGTCACACTCGTCAAAATCGTCATTCAATTTTTAAGTTTACTGTCACAATAGAACTTCTATAGTTACAAACCCTCATTCGTAACAACTTACAAACACGCAAAAAACATTACCCTTCTTAGTCAGTTGGGTAAAAATATTTTAAACCATTTTTACGCTCACATTTCACAATAAAACACGTTTTTTTAACGTGACATTTGAAATTTTATTAAACACTACCTTTGTATATTTAATCTGTGGAGCCATATCTGTCTGTAACACACGATTTTCAAAACACAAATATTTGATAAGAAAATTAATACACCATTTTATACCTACTACCAACGTTTATCTAATGTTGTTCATGATGACAAGTTAAAAAATGCCAGTCATGATGATATTCAAAATTGCAGATCTTACAAATATTACTTCTTACTAATATTATAAATGCAAATGTCATGGTAATGGATAGAAATCGATGGATGTATGTTTGATGAAATTTGGCATAGACATAGAACATAGTCTGAAGGAACGTATAGGGTACTTATTAAGTTTTTTTTTAATTCCGCGCGGACGAAGTTGCGGGCGACAGCTAGTTTATTAAGAACACAAAAACATTCGTAATTACCTTACGCAAACTAACCTAAAACGATACAGGTAAATTATTTAAACTTCTTCTTCTTTTAATTTTCTTAAAAAAATCTTTTTCATAACATCTACTACAAACTGGCAATCAATAAAAATAAACGAAACAATGTTTAGTGCATTTTAAATGAAATACAGAACTAATAAGGTTTTTGTTTTTCATAAGAAAACTTGAGTACATATAGCAAAAGTAATATAATGATGAAGTTCGTTAAATTTTGTTTTAATATGTTAAATATTTAAATTGTTAAAAGATCCAAGTCATTGTAATCACGTTTATTGCGTTGAGTCATTGTAAGGATTTTGAGTTTCAAATTGTAAGCGTTGTGATCAAAGCAAAGCAAGTCATTATTAACACGTTGACGGACAATTGCGGCTATAGCCGTCAAAGCGAAGTTCACAATGTGGCATGACTGCTATAGCCGTCCAAAACGAAACGGTCGTTTTTAGACACTACGGCTATAGCAGCACAAATGTGCACTTACTGGCGTATACGTAGAAGCATAGTGTCGTGTTTTGAAAACATCTTTTTAGGTTGAAGTTCATATTTCACCTGTTATATATCGTCCTATCACTTAGTGTATAGAGTCCGCTGGCGCCATGACGGTTATAGCCGCAACCTAATTAAAGGTACTAAATTAATCAAAATTAAGTTTATTTAAGCAGAAAGAGTAAAACTATACTTCTAACATTCTAAAAATCACAAAAACATATAGTGTCAATTTTCGAACTTCGCTTGTTCCTACTGTCCGTCAACGTGTTAAAAGATCCAAGTCATTGTAATCACGTTTATTGCGTTGAGTCATTGTTGTAAGGATTTTGAGTTTCAAATTGTAAGCGTTGTGATCAAAGCAAGTCATTATTAAAAGGATTTCCTTTCTTAACATTGTGAACTATGGACCGTGTTGCACAATATTATACAATTTTAATCAAATACGTACGTGTAAGATAACATTTTGATATACCTATAGAAGCCAAGGCCATTTTATTATGGTACATAAATCTGTATTAGGTTTTTAAAAGAGCAAAATTCTTAATAACTAATTGGCAATAGTTATTGGGAATAACCGTTATATTTTGACCAAGTTTCTTCGTTGGTTATTTAACTATAGCGGTTCATTACTTTTTAAATTACTCCTTGTTCCTAATTACAATCCTAAAGCCGCCATACACAGACGACTACAAGCGATCATACGACTCTATTTTTAGCCGACAACTTGAAGTTGTCGATATTAAATGACTGAAGCCCGTGTATGGCGACCCTTACTGTTTTACGGTCAGTTCTGCTTACTTAGGGACAAATTGCCGAGTTGATTGTCTTATTTCAGCCGGATATTAAAGTTCTTCGGCATTTTCATTACGTACTACGCTTAGTAGGGGATTAAAAGGATTTTTTATACGCTACTGGATCTATAGTTGTGCGAAAAACGACAAATCTTATATAAAATTCTCGTGTCACAATTTTCGTTCCCATACTCCTCCGAAACGGCTTGACCGATTCTCATGAAATTTTGTGAACATATTGAGTAGGTCTGAGAATCGGCCAACATCTATTTTTAATCCCGCGCGGACGGAGTCGCGGGCGACAGCTAATTAATTATAATTTTATGTGCAATGTATTTACTAGCAAGTTTATTATATGTCTTTTAATATGAAAGAAAAAAATTGTTAAAGAGCATACCTCGTTCAATATTTAAAACCGTTTACCGACCAGTATTAGGTTACAATTTCTGTAAAATAATTGAAAATGGAAATTGTGTTTTAAAATATACAAGAAATAAGTATTTTCTTTAGTCGGAACTGGAACAAGATGACATCAAACTAATTTGAAACAGCCGGAAGCGACGAAACGGTAAATTGTTAATTTTACTTTTAATTAGTGCATTTAAATTTGTTTATAAGTAATTTAGTTTCTTGTTAAAGTGAAAAGTATTAGATAAGTATTACGTAGCTATAATATTCTTCATATTGGATAATTTCTTTACAAGACGAATTTAGTTACCTACTCAGATCAAATTTTTGAGTCAGACACTGTTATGGCAACCCCAAAAGAAATGTATCAGTTTATTAGCCAAAATTAGTCCTCTTTCCCTTCCCGCCCTTTTTCTTATAAGGAAAGGATGGGAAGTAGAAGTGGGTTTTCCGGATGAGAGGATGCATGGAAAGAGAAAATATTTTCTTTCTGTGCATCCTCTCCTCCGTCGATTAAAGGTAGGCAACGCATATGCAATTGCGTATGTCTATGGGCAACGGTCACTTCGCTATTTCAGCGATTTCAAGTGGCCGCTCGCTCGTTTGCCACCTTGTGATATAAAAAAAAATATCTACAGCAGTTACCAAGTTACGAATTCACCAAATTCTATTTATATCCATCTATACGTATTACTACATCGTACTTCGGACACATGCTGTATTTGTGTTCTTGACAACAAAACATTCCTTTTGTATTTGCCTCTTCGTCTGCCTGTCAGCAAGGCCGCATGTTTACCGGGAAATCTCCAAAACTGCTGGACCAATTATTACGAGGACATATTATAGGAGCGTCGGTGGCTCAGTGGTCAAGCACTTGACTTGCAACCTGCAGATCCTGGGTTCGAATCCCGGCATGTACCAATGTTATATAAATAATTCGATTTCCGATATATATTATATATGTACATTTATCCGACGTTCTTACGGTGAAGGAAAACATCGTGATGCAATCTGCACATATCTGAGAAGAAATTCAAATTGGCCAGCGTGGTTGGCCTAATCACCCTTACACACTTAGGGTAGGCTCCGAGCCCCTCGGTGGGGTACGTATAGTGAGCTGATGATGATGATGATTATAGGTTGCTTTTTGCTGCATCGACGAAATTGCGAGTTCAAATATTTTCTTTGTATGTATGACAAGCAACTGTGAATCTCAACTGCAGTGAGTGTCAAAGATGTAAAGGATTATAATGTGTTATTCCTCTAAAAGATAAAAAGGTTTTATATATACAAAATTTATATATAAAGAAAAAACTCTGTTTATTACATAGTATATTTATTTTATTATTCATAAGATGAATATATTGAACCTTTTAGAGCTCGGGAATGCATGGAGTGAGAACAGCGTACATAAAAAAATTTAAGTACTAAAAAAATTATATCGAAATATCTTTATTATAATACAAAATAACTTCGGTTTATCATATAAACCCCTCCATTCCCAACTCGACGTGTACTTTCCACCAAGCTTTTTTTTATTTATGTACATTTTATTATCTACGCCTTTATTTATAAATTTATGTACACCAGGAAATAATATAAATGCATCTATTGGCTTCGCAATCGTACGTATCGCCGTATTACTTCACTTTAGGGATGCCCGACTTATCGACAAAAATATCGATATTTATTATAACGAAAATTAATCTTTGTTGACATACATTAAAAAAACGGAACAAATGTTGCCTTTTTTCGAATCATAATACTTATGTTTGACAATTCATCGAACATCCCTAATACCTCTCCTTTCAAATTGTAGAAAGAATTCGACCAAAAGAATATATCTGGCCAGTATAAAAATCATTAAAGCCGCTTATGAGAGTTTTAATACTTGGGAGTTTAAACTGGACAAATATGTCAGTATATGGACAATAATATTTATTCGTCATTTTAAATATAAATAGAATCGACTTCTTTAATACAATATATCTCAGGTACGAACGAGCCTTAAGTGAAATAGGTAACGCCTAACCGGACTTTTTAAAGGCATTTCACTACACAGGTACATCACTAGTTTTCTGGTATTAACTGTATTGTTAGAATGTTAATTTTTAACTATTAAAATTCTAAATAAATTTATCGCACGGTCGTTTGATAAAAGCACAATAATAAAGCGAAATATCACTTTGTCTTTGTTGAATAAAACTTGTGCCTTGCTATTTAAAAAATATTTTTTTTTAATAATTAAAGCAATTTAAAAAAATATTCCGAAAGCCAAAATTATGCATCTAAAACAAATGTGTTCACTATGAAATAACAAAATTTCTATATGTACTCTCCGCCGTTAATAAATTAAAAAAAACATTGACTAAAGGTTACGTAAAATTTGAGAAATTGCTCTAATCGATTCTAATAATAGATATTTGTATTATTTTTAAATTGATTTAGAGAATCGATTCAAAAATACAAATCGATTTTATTAACATGTTACATCCCTAGTCTGAAGCTATCGTTATTTCGTTTACTATTATTTTTCATGAGTGTGCAATTACTGACAGATAAGATAAATTTATTGTACAAAATTAATTTTATCGATAAAATTATGCAGCTAATTGTACCGGCTATGACAACTTAACAATAATATATTTTTTGTTTGTCGACACAAATAGACTATTTTTTTATCTGTACATTTCATAACTAAACATTCACATCAGTGTATTTGTGCACAATTAAAGTCTTTTAAACGATTTAGTAACGTATATTTAGACAATGTCTATCACAATTTTATCTATAAACTATTCTCTATAGTTTTAAATCTAATATTTCAACTTCGACGATTCTACGAGCCTTATTCAATCGCGTATTTCAAACAGACCTAAATCAGAGGCGTACAATTCAATTTAATTTTTGATTTATTTTTAAACAAAAAAAGATTAGCCAAAATTAAATGACATTTGATGATTTTGTTTGTGTGTGAGGAAAATGAGACAGTTGTCTATACTTTTAAATATTTGATTTGACCTCCATTTACTTGTTTACAATTATAGAATAAAAAAATCATAAAGACGCCTTTGCTACGAATCTCGTATGGAATAAATGTTTAAAACATTGGATGGCGAAACACAACCTTATTACAATTTACAAAATAAGCTTTTTTTATTTAATACTTACAATCAAAAAGGTGGAACTAACATACATCGAGTTATTAAATCTAGATGTGTTTAGTGAACAGAAGAAAAAAAACATAAAAGATATGTTTCGACAAAAAGGTACATTGTTACATAGTGAAAATGGTTTTAATCAATCTCTGTACAAAATACAAAAATATATTAATTACTACAAATAGAAAATATGGCTCTCGGCGTATATTATGCGTAATAATGATGATGGAAAATAATACTTTGGTTAAAATATATCTTTTACCAATATATAATAAGTATGTAAAATCATACATAAACATGGAATGTGGAAATCACAAATGATATGTATCAAAATATGACAAAAACAACACAATATTTAAAATAAACTAATATCTTTCATGATCGTAAAGAATCGTATGTACCAAAATTTTACTACTACGACTAAATTTATCCTAAATGACACAAAGCCATTGGTTCCTGGAATGTAAAAATTCATCGCTTACGAGGCCGTCACACATCCTGCATTACATCATAAACTCTTCAATATTCATACATATACAGTGCCATTCAAACTTTACGGCGGCTATGAACATAATTTTAGGAATTTGTATAATTGTTTTAAATATCTTCACAACACGGAAGTTTGGATATGTCGCTGCGCAGAACACTATAACTGTACTGCACAGCGCGCTGTGACCTTGAGTCGCCAAATATTTCACAGTTTACATTTAAAAGGGAATTTGTAAAAAAAAATACTAAAGATCATCGAAAAGCCGCAGACTTGTCCATAGAGTTGGGGCCCTAGGCCGTAGAAGATTTTACAATTTGTTTGCCTGAAAGTCTAAGAACACTGCAATTGGCAACAATTGGCCTTACACATCTGTACAATGTGGTCTAAGCTACGCACGAGCCGCTATAAAGTTTGAATCTTATAATACCAGACCTTAAATTACGCAGTTTTCAATCAAAAATGGCACAAAATTTTGTAATCATAATTTACGCACTGACACTTAAATATAAATTAATATTAATTATAAATACGATTAGGCTGCATGTACGTTAAGCTATTATAAATCGAGAACAAAAAAAAATTAAACTTTAAGAAATTACATAAGATACCTAATCCTATATATTGAATAACTACGAAATATATAAAATTGCGTCGATATAAAATGATCGTAACAATTGGAACTGTAGAAATAACATAGATATGTCTAATCGAAAAATTATTACTTTAAATTTTTTACCTTGTGCTATTTAATCTGTGAAATCTATATTTATTCAATTTTAGTGAGCACTAAAATATTGCAAATAAGTACAGGAAATAGTGAATAAACCCTGCTATTAAATAACAACGCCTTAAAGCTAATAAAATGTTATCAATAACATTATATGTATTTTAAGTACATAAGTATATAAGAGAAGCACAACGGAGATGTTAAAAACTGCTTTATAAAAATAATACAACACAAATGATACTTTAAAATATTAGTAAGGAATGTTAATGTACTAAAAAACAATATAAATTTAAAAGCAGTACCACAGTTATAAATAAAATTATTTAAAATAATAAATTGTTATATTTAGTTATAACTCATACATTGGTTGTACAAACCACATTGCTTTATCATAAGTTTCCACTGTCCAATAACTTTTACAAAAACATACTGTAGACTGTTCTTTTAAAGAGACTGTTATTCTCCTTTCAGATAGACCGGTTTGGATTTTATTGTTGCAAATAAAATTAAGCTTTATACAATTGAAATAGTGTTTAATTTGCATCTCGATTTTTATCAAGTGCAAATGTCAAAAAGACATGAAAAGTAAAATTAAACCTTGTTCCAATCTTATAAAGCTTAATTTGATTTGTAAAAAATCTGACCAACTGTCCGGTCTCTCTGAATAGAATGATAGCCACAAGTAACATGGAAACTGCATAACATTTTTGTTAGAGAAACTTAAAGTTTTAAATCAGATATGTAAATAGGTTGCACATTTAAAAAATTTATACATGTTCACAATAAAAAATGTAAAAGAAATCTAATGTAGCTTTCATTAGAGTTCAGTTTCCAATGTAAACTTACATTACGTACATGACGTCATCCGGGTGTGCACGCGTAGTAACTTGCCAACACTGACACTTGCCAAATATTTCACATAATTCCACATCTCACAATAAAACTGTTTTCATACACTAATTCACTATATCATGCCACATAATCCATATCAATGTATGTATGGGCTAGACTTGTGTGACACACTGCGCTAATTTCTCCAGTTCTGATTGCAGCGTCTGTCTCTTCTCCGTTTCCACTGTTAATTTGTATGTCAGTTCTTCAATGGCCGCATTGAACTTTGCGTTCTGTACTTCTAATAGCTTCTCTAGGTTTGTTATCTGTGGACAAGAAATAAGGTTTTATTCGATAGCTATATTTTTCAATGAAATGTCCAAATAAACATAATAATGACAAATTCCATACATTGCTCTGACGCTATTTAAATTTTTTCTTAGATATCTTGCGAAAATTGTGGGATATTATTATGATGTATTGTTAAATAAGTGTATCTAATCTTACTTATATTATAAATGTGAATGTTTAAATAGATGATTGTAAGAATGTCTCCGGAATGGCTCAACGGTAGTCTATTAAATATGGTACAGATGTAGCAAATCATCATCATCATCAGCTCACTATACGTCCCCACCGAGGGGCTCGGAGCCTACCCTAAGTTAAGGGTGATTAGGCCATAGTCAACCACGCTGGCAAGGTGCGGGTTGGTTGACTTCACACATATCTTTGAATTTCTTGTCAGATATGTGCAGGTTGCATCACGATGTTTTCCTTCACCGTAAGAACGTCGGATAAATGTACATATGTAAATCGGAAACCGAAAAACACATCGGTACATGGCGGGATTCGAACCCAGGACCTGCAGATTGCAAGTCAAGTGCTTGACCACTGAGCCACCGACGCTCGATGAAGCAAATAGCCTTGAAGAACTGTTTTCTTTTTAATTTAACGCAGACTGAGTCGCGGATGATCTAGTATTATTTAATTATGTAAAAAAAAGTGTTTTACAAAAATATTTTTAATTTCACTTTTAGGGGCTAATGTCTATGGTGAAAACATTTTAGGTTTGCATTTGGATGAAAAATAATTAATTTTAAAATGAGACTTACCCTGCAATTAAGTTGTGCGATTAACGCATCAGTAGCCTCAATCTTAGAGTCCGATTTGACAGAATGAGATCGCCTCTCCAATGTGCTCGCGCCGACAGACAACGCGGCCGGTCTTTCCGTCTTCTCCTCGGTCTTCTCTGGTCTCTCTATAACGCTGGTCTTCTCTATAATCGCTGAAGACTTGGTTATAGAGTTGATTTCGCTGATTTTCTCCGTACTTGTGACAATCTTGTCGTATTTAGGCGATCTGTCTGTGAGGGGTTCGCTTCGAGCGGCTGTCATCGGCGGTGTGGAAGGTTTTTTTAGTTCTTCTAGCATCGCTGTTAACGTCCGTCCTGAAACATAATAAATTCAAAGTGTTATTTCTTAATCTAACTAATATTTTAAATGGGAATGAATGGATGGATGGATGTTTGTTAGAAAATATCTCCAGAACGGCTGTATGGATCTGTCTGAAATTTGGTTTAAATGTAAAACATAACCCGGAAGGACACATAGGACACTAATTAAGTTTTTTTTTATTCCGCACGGACAGAATCGCGGGCGACAGCTAGTAATATTATAGGTATTTGAATGAATGAATGGATGGATGGATGTTTGTTACCATCTAACTTCACGGCAAAATTGAACTGGATGACATTTTGAACAGAAATATATTAAGTTTTAGACTATAACATAAGCCATATTTTATCCCCATCGGTTTTATATATTTTTTAATTCTGCGAGATTTTCATAGTAACACATGTATGTTACGAGTACTTACCAGCGGCGGTGGGGGAGGGCAGAGGAGGAACAGTTTTGTTCAAGTTAACTGACTCGTCCCGCGAGTTACTATTCACATTCTTTGACTCGAGCGAGTGTCGCGTCTTTGTCTGGAAAGTTTTTACATTATTTATAATAAACACAGTTATACGACTCTATATTTTATTATCTCTTAATAATTAATTCAATTTACTTAATAAAGAGGAAAATAACAAATAACTGTATTTTTACGTTACCTCTTCAAAGCTTTCGAGTACCGATATTCTATTGCTTATAGAGGAGGTGCTCTTCGACATTTCCATAGAGTGTGTTGACGTTTTCCTTTCTTCTAGACCGCATTCAAGTATTCTGTAACATTCAAATGTTTATTACTTTAAACTATCGCCCGCGACTTCCTCCACAAGGAATTAAAAGAAAACTTTAATTAGTAGCCTATGTGTACTCCCGACTATGTTATAGCCGTTCTGGAGATACCTTTAAATAAACATCCATCCATCCATCCGGTGTCAGTGAGTAATAATTAATAATTGAACGAAAGAACAACTGAGGTAACGAGTGATAATTATTAGCGAATGAACTAATGAGTGAGTAACAGATTGAAAATTAATCAATAAATAAGACAATCAGTGAGCAGGAATGAATGGATCAGTAACCGTAGGTTTCTAAGACCAAAATTTCCGTTTAAAACCGCGATATTACATTAAACCAACGGTAAGTCAGTTGACGAGAATGAACGAATGAAAGAGTAAGAATGAATGATTGAAAAATTTATGGTACCTGTCGGTGCTGCCACCACCAGCTTTGCTGGCGACGCCGGTGTCCGAGGAGGTGGAGACGGAGCGAGACTTGGTATCAGTGAAGCTGGTCTTTTTAGCCTGGCTCATTTTCAGCTCGTCCATCCAAGGCACCCGATGCTTCTCCCACTCGCGAGCCCGTGGCCTTATTTCGTCTAATTTGTCACCGCTGGGCTTTTCTGTGGGAACTGAAATTAATAAATCACATTAAAATAAGACGAAGGAAAACATTGTGATGAAACCTGCCCATATTAGTGAAGAAATTCAAAGATATGTGTGAAGTTAACCCATATTTGGCTAGCGTGCTTGATTATGGCCTAGTCACCAACTGAGGGTTGACTCCGAGGCCCTTAGTGGGGAATTATAGTGAGTTCATGATGAATATTGAACACCGATGCAATGTTTAGTTTTTTTTTTATAAGGAATTAGGTTTTACAGATTTATTTTTAAAACTACCTTCATGTCCGTTACTAAGTCCGATTTGTTGCGGCGTGTCGTCGCGTAGTGCCTGACTGGGCGGCCGGCGTCTGGGAGCTTTCACTCTGAAATTATCAAAAAAAAATCTAAACTAACATTTGATAGATTCATATACTATTTTGCCGACTCGAAGGACCAAGAAAAATAAAAAAAAACATATAAAAATTGATATAATAGAAATTCAGATTTCAAAACATGAAGCTAATGTCATTACTATGGACAGTATGAAACAATTTTGTTTTTTTAAGAAAAAAAATATTATCATTTTATATGGCACTTAATGGCCAGCTGAAAAAAAAACTATAGTATAATTCTATATAAGTACATTTTATTAGATATATAACTATAACACTCAAAATAATTTTAATAAATTAATCACATAGCACACAACATAAATCCTAAAGTTAAGGACCCATAAACATTTTTGATCCTATTCTTTTTTATCTGTAACTCCATATATTAGTCTATGGTGCAAAATTACATACTCTATGACTAATAAAAAATAATAATTTCTACTTTTCGTTGCGTTTTTCGGCAATTTCCACACAGAAATATTAAAAATGAACCTTACGGGGCCTTACTCCTATGTAATCGCCGATCGGACTTACGACGGCGAATGCGCACTTTCTTACTGCAATATTGCGCAATAAAATAAAATATATATATTTTTTAATAAACTCATTTTCCACAATTTATGTTATAATACATAAAACATACACAAAGAAAAAAAACATAAAAATTCATACATTTAAGCTGACAATTTCTCTAGAATTAAACAGAAAACTTTATTTTTTTTTAAAATTAAATATTGTTATCCTATCCTAGCTTAATATACTTAAGAATACCTGACTGTTTTATTTAATTTTATAAATAAAAAAATAAAAATAACATACCTTCCAGCTCTAGGGTCATTCAGTATAGAATTTCTTTCAACATGGTCGAATGTATTGACATTATTTGCTGTTACATTGTTCGGTACATTGGCATTGGGCGTGGCATTAGGTGTGGCATTAGGTGTGGCATTAGGTGTGGCATTAGCAGTGGCATTAGTGGTTGCCTTGCTTGAAACACCACCATCAATCTTATCCCACTCTCCACTACTGCTACTACCACTCGATATAGTTGATGACTTCTCTCTGAAACAGGAAATATATTCAATCAGCTTTTGCCTGCGAATAAACGCGAATTAAAAAAAAACTATGTATTCTTCTAGACCAGTCCTTCTCAAAGTGGGCGATAACGCCCCCTTGTGGGCGCTGCAGGTATCAAGTTGCGGGTTATAGTAAAAGTTTCCTTTAGAATTCACCGTTATATATAGGTCACAATAAATAATTAATTTAATTTGAAGTTATAGTGGTTTTAAAATATGTGAAAATATGGGGGCGCTAAAAAAATATTTATTCTCAAAGTGAGCAATAGACAAAATAAGTTTGAGAACCACTGGTATAGACTATGTTCTACATCTATGTCAAATTTCATTGAGATCTGTTAAACCGTTCTAGAAATACATTTTAACGAACAATTCATATATCCAAACATTAATATTTATAATATTAGTAATATGTAAAATTTAATTATAATGAAACACCAATAGCCTAATAGTTAAGTATCATTCGATTACTTAGTAGTGGGTTCGAATCCATATCAACCATTGTAAAAAATTCTAGCACAAGGTAAAAGAAACATTAATAAAAAAAATTAATCTGGTGTATTTTACTACAATATAATTAAAAAAATAATACCGTATTTAAGATATATGTGACAAGAATAGACGTAATTTCTGCTAAGGTAAGGTAATTTCAGCTCGACAACCAATTTACTAACTTCTTAATTGCTTTCAAATTGCAACACAATAATTAGATAATTTAATATTAATTATTTCATTGAACATTTTAAATTACACAATCACCATGTATACCTTATCAATTAATAAACGAAAAAAAAAGTATTAAAACTCACTTGTCGGAGGATGACAACATTTTATTCTTGAGACCACTAAACAGTCCGCTGACTCCGGACGATGGAGTCGGACTTTTCTTCAAGGGAACAGGTGGCTTCTTTACCTTCAAACGATTTATAAACTTATCAATATACGGATTATTCATTTTAAACAGTTTGAATAACTTTTCATAAAATTCAAATGTCTTCATAACATATTAAGATGTTCGTTATTCGTCAGAATACACAACTAAGTACATTTATAATTATTAATTGTTTACGGCGATTTTAACACTTAATCTATTTTAATTAAAGTGAATTATTATTTTTTTCACGTTTTTTTAATGTTAAAATATTGACAGTTCCACACTTGAAGTAATCAAAATGACTTATCAATCACAAATCACAGTCTGTTATCAACAATGATAGTTGATCAGTGACATGATTGTTCAACAAAGTAAACCGCCATTTGTTAATGAATTTTAAAATTAAATACGTAATTACTTTGTAATAGGTAATGATTAGTTCGATTTATCAAAATTTCATTTTGTTATGTCAACTCTATATAACGTCGGGTCATGCGATCGTGTAATTTAGGTCGTTATATGGAGTGGACGTTATATCGAGTTATTAATATTTTTTATATTCTTCGTAACAAACGATCAAGCGGAAGGGCGGTGACATATGAAAATTACTAACTTGTCCATCTGGGGTGTCATTGACGGTGTCATTGTGTACGATCTTCTCTGATTCCAGCTTACTGGAGTGTGTCACTGTACTTGCACTGCTTGTACTGCTTTCTTTGCTAGTCGTGCTCTCTTTGTGCAGGCTGAAATTATTACATACATTTTGAATAACTTATTGCTTACCATATAAAAATAAAAAAAAAACAAACCCTAACAAAAAAAATCAGATTATTTTTATAAACTTGTTGAAAAATATAGAAAACAAAGCGTTTTTTTTAATTGATCGGTTACTATGAATTAAAACAACAAAACATTATGTATTTAGTTACAATTAGGAATTTAAAAAAGCAAAAAAAAAACAATATTCAGAAATATTGAATTTCAAACAAAAAAAAGAATTACTCATATCCTTGTATGAGAAATAAATCATTAACAATTGTCAAAAAAACGTACAAAACATTGATGAAAAAGCTACTACATACTAATATATAAAAACATACAGATTTAAATGTCTTACTGTCAATAATTACTTCAAACTGACAGCTGTCAAAACGGACCTATTACTTTGTACGGACAGCATCAATAACGTATTATTAAAAACCGTTTTCAAACATAACAGTAGCAGTAAAACGGTTGTAAAATCGCTGTATATTAAACTGACCTTATTTTCGATGTACTCAGCTCCTTCACTGACGCCGTTTTCTCTGAATACTTGTTTAGTACTGGATATATGGCGTTTGTTGTCTTAACTGGCGGCCTGTCCGGCTTTTTCTCGTCTACTTCTTGTGTTACTGAAAATTAAATAATTAGGAAAATTATTGACATTTCTTAATTTTTACACATTATTAGTTAGAATCCTTTGTCAGCAGTGAAGCGAAGTGTCAGAATGATTAGTGAGGGGACATAAACGTCGACATTTTAGTAAGGCTAGTACTGCGCCAGTACACCAGCACAGTGTCGGATTTTCTTCCTAACATAATATAGATTTCGACTATCCTTTGTCGATTAAAGCTATACATCTGCTATTGTGAATGTCTATGGGTAGCGGTCGCTTCGCGGTTTCAGCGAATTCAGGCCACTTGCTCCTTTGACACCCAATAATTTAAAAAAAACCTACTTCAAAATCACGAAGTATTTAACACGTATATTATAGAAACATAGACGTCTTGATACGATGATATTTCAAACAATATATTCATACATAATATGAATTTTGCGTTGGAAGAATTTCGACAAGACATATTTCGGTGTTGTTTAAAATAAAAACAATAAAAAAACTAATAACAATTAAACACGAATAAAATTAGACATATGGTTACCTTTGCCACGTTATTTTTTTTAATGTTTTACAATTACATATATTAAAGAGTTGACTCTGAAGCAAGACAAAACCAAAACAAAATATTTATATATTGATAACTTTAAATCAATTCACATTATCAAGGTGAGCAACATTTAAAATGAAAACGAAATAAAAATAAATTATAATACCAATATAATAACATAATACAAAGTAAAACCTACAACTTGCCAGTATTACAAAAAACGAGTAAAATTTTCACTAAACTCACTTTCAACACCCATTTTTCAACACAAAAAAAAAGTTTGTAATAGTTTCAACTGATTGTCAATACTGTCCAACTATAAAAATACGACTAAGCAAGTCGATGAGGTAAGTTACGCAAAATCACGACTCCACTCGTTCGACCTTCATACGAAATGTCAATAGTGACACCGACTTACTAAATAGTTAAGTTTACTAACTTTAGTTAATTAGTGATGCGCACTAAACATTAATATTTAAATTAATTATTACTAATTAATATACAGACGGTTATGAAGTAAATGATACAGGAACTAAATATCACAGTATTTTAATAATTTGATATTTGCAAAGGATGCGATAAAAAAGGGAAATCCCGTTTGGTAGCTTTAATTTGAGTTGATAATATATATAATATTAGAGATATAATAAATAAATATTATTACTATCAAGTTATATTTAAAATTCAATCAAATACTAAAGCACAACTAAATCAAACAGTCTTATTATTTGCGTAGGCTAAATTCATAACGAAAGTGGATCAAGACAAATCGGATATATTAATATACATATATTTAATTTATTAAATATAGATATAAAATTTTTACTAACGGTAATTTAAATATTAATCTTCGATTTAAGTATCTTTTATAAAAATAAATTATAATCTTAAACTAACGTCATTCTTTAAAACCATATCATCGCACGTAAAGTACTAACGTCGAGACGGCAAAATTAAAAATTTAATAAAATTTCCTTTGAAGTGCTAACAGTTTGATAACTACAAAATAAACAGACATGACTATCTTGTCCTTACCGTTGGTTTCTGAGATTAAAACCTCAATATAAAAACAGAAATAACAGTATGTTTTATACAGGGTAGTCTCAGAAACCAACAGTTATCCAGACAGTATCAAACGAAATTATTCAATAACTTTACTGCATTTTCTTTATCATAAGTTTTCTTAAGTTGTAGTTCGTAGTATATTACTAATTAAAAAAATCACATTGTCATTAGTACTTTATGTAATTGTTCGCACATGACTAAAAATAACATATAAATTACATCAGAGCAGGTGACACATAGCTTGTGTAAGCTTCGATACGAGATATATGATATAAGACGGTAAATTGTACGTTTAACACATAAGTATTTATTAAATTATTAATATAAGTACTTGTAATCAATCTTGGTTGCGAGTTCCGCTCAACTATTTCGCCTTGCAAGAGACAAGAGAAAATATGGAGAATTGATCGCCAACCTACGTTACTCGGAGAGGATCCTCAACAAGAAGAATCAATCTTATTTCTTTAAGCCAGTGTCTATCGTAGAAAAGTCAAAACTATGAGTAAAGGAGAGAAATGTGATAAGTTTAAAGCTAGCAACAGTTAAATAAAATAAAAAAAAAACAAAGTCTCTGAAAGAAAATTTAAGTTTATTGGAGCAATTTCAACTTCAGAGACAATAGACTCGAAGGACCAAAATACTGCAATATGAAAAAACCACGCGACTCCGTCCGCGCGGAATAAAAAAAATGCTAAATTAGTAACCTATGTATTCTTCCGGCTATGTTCTACATCTATGTCAAATTTCAGCGAGATCCATGCAGCTATTCTGGAAATATCTTCTAACATACATCCATCGATCCAAAACCAATATTCGCATTTATAATATTATTAAAATAAAAATGTAGCAACTATAAAAAAATCATGATCTGAATTCCGATTCGTGGGTACTCACCAGGAGGGAGAAGCTGCACGAAGTTGTCGGGGAATAGTCCGACACGGCCGTGCAACTCGCCGCGCCACCAGCCGCGGTCGGGCGCATCCTTGGACAGGATGGTGACCACTTCGCCCTCCGCCAGCGTCAGCTCGTCCTCGTTCACCGCCGTGTACGGAAACAGCACGCGGCATTGCTCCTTCACTACGCATCATACAATACTACACTTGGACCTCGATACATCGAACACATCTGGGACTATGATATTAAAGTTAGAGCCTTAAACTTTTTAAGCTAAAGCCGTCTTTTTCTAAGAAAAAAATCAATGTTTGTCGCTTATAAGTTCCGAAATTGATCAACTAGAGAGATTGTGAAGAAATATTAGGGGTTTTTAAGGACCCCTTTGAAGGTTTATGGCATAAAAATTAATATAACAGTGAGTTTTTGACATATTTAACTTGCGTCGCGTTTGCAACGCAAGCGGGGTTCACCTAGAACTAGGTCCTAGATATACAAATACAGCTCTAAGCGACTTAAGAGCTTTACGCCGAGAGTGTCAACTCACTGCAACGTCGGCTCTTAAGTATTTTTTCCCCAGGGAATAATAATGAAAACCCATCTCCATTTACTGCGGCACAGAATATTTAATACGGACACAATGGTATTGTTCGTTTTTTAATTTACCATAATTTAAACTATGATAATATATGTGTATAAAAAGGATGTGGGTTATTCGTCGACATTTTATATATGTCGAGAATGTTTATCCTTCTAGCCATTCCAGCGAAATATAGCAACTACAACTAAGGGAACATACCCATACTTCGTAACATATTATTTTAGTTTTTTCAGCCCCTCCCACCCCTCGGTGACCACTCGTAGTATATGCCAATACCCCCTCTGCCCCTTTAGTTTTACGTGGTAATTCAAATTATGATCTTTAATCATTTCAACGCTCGCTCGGCATATGTGCGCCAGCGCCACTACCTGTGAGTTTACAAAGCGCTAAACACTTCGCGCTATATTCGAATACAGGTCGAATAAATACAAGATTTCTCTCAGTAAAATCGACTACGTGACAAAAGCCAGAGCCACCCCACCCCACTCGCTCCTGTGACTTACCGTAGTATTTTAAAGACACCGCTCCCCCCCTAAACGGGTAACGTAGTATGGGGATGTTCCTTAATCATAGCAACACTCATACGTGCTAATTTGTATCTTTTCCATCTTAAGTGAAGAGGGAATTTAATTCTTTACCAATGTATATTTTGAGAATATATCATAGTATCAGTTACCAGGTTTTGGCGGCAGAGCGGGCGCGGGCTCATATGGGTGCGCGGGCTGGGTCTGCGAGGGCTCCAACATCACCACAAAGTTGGAGGGGAACACGCCCACACGGCCCTGGCGGCGCCCCTGCCACCAACCCTCCTCTACCTACGAAACGGTACACATTTCTACAATTATTTATTTGGTATTCGTGTGGCGTTTGAAGTAACATTGTTTAAAAAAGAAACATTTGTGTAATTCGAAAGTATCACTATCCAGTTAATATGACTCGCGGTTTACATATTATATGTCGGAGAATATCAATTTATGACGTTAATTATTTTATTCGAATGGCGACATCGCTTGTACGATGTGTGATTGACGTCTGTCAGTGTCACTGCAAGTCATTAGTGCGTTTGGCCGTTTGACAAGTGATAGAGTTGGTCTAGAGACAGCGCTCGCGCCGGTTTGCGGACTGACCGAATAAGACATTAATAATAATAATAATACAGATTCTTTATTGCATATTAAAGAATTACAGCATCAATATTGCCTTGGTATCGACCATTTTAATAATAACCGCTCGGTAATCCCGACCCGATACATTTACGACCTATAATTGGGTACAACATCCTTCCTTACTTATATTAATTAGTCTATTTTAAACACAGATTGGTTGGAATTGTGATGTTGCGTCCCTTATTTTTAATATTAATCTATATCTTTCCTCTCAGATCCACACAGATTTGTTGTTTTTTCAGTCTAATTGTACTCTATATGCTTAATTATGTGAGGTTTATGTGGCAAAACTTGAAATATATAACGAACAAAATATTCGATAAGTATTTTTGGACTTTATTAGTTAGAATCATTTGGCGCGAATAGGACGTTTTATTACAAAGTCAAGTGCAGAATGATTACTGAGGGGGCATAAACGACATTTTAATACGGCTTTTATTGCACCGGTACACCGGCGCAGTGCCGGATTATATTATAAACATTATTTATGTGAATATTTTTGAACATGTATGTCATATTATTATACCTTTTACTCTTTAAGTATACAAACCGGATATGTATACATAAAACGTGATCTTTAAGTAATTAATTCTGAAACACAATACAAATAATTTCGAAAGGCTCACAACTATCACAATGTCGTAAAATTACATTCGGTTCCGTGAAATGTTAAACAAGGTTAAAAATATTTAAAAAAAAAATATTTATCTGGTAATAATTTAACAAAAAAAATTTCACCACGATCAAAGACATTGCATTTCACGAAAGGTTTTTATATCTCTTACAATTTATAAAAAGTAATTTTTGATGAATATATTAAAATAAATACCATAATGATAAGCATTACATTTATAAAGTTACCAGCTATCGCCTGCGACTCCATCTTCACGGAATTAAAAAAAAAACTGAACGTAGCCTATGTACACTTCCAGACTATGTTCTACATGAAAATTCAGCAAGTTCCATGCGGATACCTTCGAATTGGAGTAAGACTACTAACTAGATGATTAAAGATTACTGCTTCAGGTGTAAAGACATTGGAAAGCGAGGCAATAGCGAATTGCAACCACAGCCATCTCCGGCAAATCGTTACGGTCGACCGGTGCTGTTACGTTGAATAACTGACGCTAGATGATGGTTAGAAAGTTAAATCAATCTATTTTATACAAAGATCACTTTAAAATATGATATTTATAACTTTGAACTTGTGTTTTTTCTGAGTCTATCTTTTTTACTTACAAGAGTACAAAAGTGCAACATGGTAAGTAATCCAGAAAGGCATCTCAGTCAAGGGAAACCAAAGATCTAGTAGAAAGACGACGTAAATCGTGACACGAGTCTAGCTGGCAATGTAAATTGGTAGACCATGGCTAGAGATAGATCTAAATACATAGATATAATTGCTGCACCAAGTCACGGCACAGATGGGACTGATAAGTATGTACAAATCTCCCTAAAAACTTATATATAATGTAAATCGTCAAGTGAATCGAACATTTAACCAAGAAATTATAAAACGAATAATACGTACAATCATAAACAAACAATATAAATGATTAATTCAGATAACGATCGAAAGACATAGTTGCTTATGAAAACAATTACGTCATCTTTATAGCACGTACGTTTATCCTTGTAACTAATCTTGACAACAAATATTTATAGACTCCTTAAATGGTCACTAAGTAAACATTACTACATTACTAATAGTAGACAGTCAAGAACTAATGAACTAATAAATACGATAGGAAGCTAGGATTAGAAAACACAAGATCTTAAGGGGTACAAATTTCAATCCAACGTCAAATTTTTATTGAATATTATTGCTTGTTTTTACTTAACAACAGTATGATTCAAAATTACAATAAAAGGGGGTTTCCCTAAAAATGTTCAACAATAAAATTGTGGTTACGTTGTCTTTGATACAGGATGAAGTAAATTTATAATTAAAAAATGTGACGGAACTGGAAAAAAGGATTTATACGTAAGCGTGTTTTATATAAACATCGAAAAATAATTTGTATGACAATGGAACGTTACACGTATTTAAAATAATAATTTCGCTAATAAATAATTAAGAGAAATATATCAGACTTACCTCACCAAGAACCTCTAAGACGTCACCAACACAGAGTGGTAACTCATCGGGATTAGCGGGCTGGTAGCTGAAGACAGCACGGCATCGGCCTTGTGCACTCACCGATCTGTTGCTGACCGTAAAAACATATTAATAAACAGACAAGCAAATATTACCAGTCATAAAACTATCCTAATATAAAATGGAAGAGTTTGTTTGTTTCAACGCGCTAATCTCAAGAACTACTGGTCCGATTTGGAAAATTATTTTTTTGTTGTATAGTCCATTTATAGAGGAAGGCTTTAGGCTATATAACATTACGCTGCGATCAATAGCTTTTTTTTAATACCACACAGACGGAGTCGCGGGCGACAGCTAGTACTTAATAAACATAAAAAAAAAACTATCACAATCCATATACATTACCACACCTCGAACATGTAAATACACTTTTAGATACAAACGTAAGTTTGTTACTCTATCAAATTAATGAGTCAACCTTTCATAATAAAATTTTGCACACACCTTAACAAAATACAGAAAAGTGTATGTTACTTTTAAACCAGAATAGTGATAACAGGGCTCCATCGCACGCTACGAATAAAAACTAATAGACAAGACTACAACCACAATTTATTATACCTTGAATTTTTAAATCCGCTACCAATTTTCTTAATAATATGCTTATAGCATTTCATAGAGTACCAAAGACCGGACACAAAATCAAACTGACGGCTACAACAACGTGCGACGATCTTATCTGAACTGATTAGATTAGAGGCAATAATTTTGATTCCACTAATCGTAGAAACATATTAATATTTGGTAAGATAATATACATATAAAAACGACTTTCGTAGCTACATTATTTGGATAATTGTTAGATCAAAAAACAAACAGTCTTTGATGACACAATCTCCCTACATCTACATGGCATCTTAAGTGATTTCCTAAATCCTAAAAGAACAACTTCAAGCAAAAAATTGTTATATTATTTGTTTATATTTCATTACTTTATCATAATTAGAGAAATCTATTAAAGAAACAGTTTTATTAAAATACAGGCACAGCTGCTGGTCAGCTGCTATTGGATTTAAATTTAAGTCACGCATTATTACGTCTACGGCCGAGCCGAAACTTGAAAACCAATATCAATAAGTAGCGAAATGTATCGATTCCTTTATTTATGAATCACTTATATTGCGAAGTTATAGTATGTGCTTATCATATTATTTCTTTATCAGTCTTTAATTATTAAGATCGAAACAAAATATTCATAATGTAACATAATTATCTTATCTCTCATCGGATCGAATGAGAAATACTCCTTAAACTTTAAAATACAAAAAGCATTTCAATTAGGATGATATTTTAAAATAAGTATCTTACTAATATTATAAATGCGAATATTTAGATGGATAGATGGATGGATGTTTGTTTCAAAGTTTCTCCGGAACGGCTGCATGAATCTTGGTGAAATTCGGCATAGATATAGAACATAGTCTGGAAGAACATAAGCTACTTATTCATTTTGTTTTAATTTAAAAAAAACGACAGCTAGTAAGTAATAGATGTAACTTATGGATGTGTATCCTGACACTTTTGGGCCTACCCCAAGCTAGGGCCTTATCCAGATGCAAAACAAATGAAGTATACCTCTTTGAACTTGTCATACAATTAAAGCAATACCAGGTAAAATACTACGTTCTTGAAAATCAGGAATCATAAGTTATCTAAAATACATAGAATATGTGATATCAAGTACATACCTGGAGTTATGTTCATTGTTGACAGAGACAAAGTTATCTGGGAACATGCCGCGGCGGCCACGCAGCTCTCCGCGCCACCAGCCACCCGGTAGACGCTCCACCTCGCGCACCACGTCCCCCGGCCGGATGCTTAGCTCATCTGGCTCGGATGCATCATATGCATAGTTTGCCACACATGTCACTGCAAAACAATATTGACATTTAGACCCCTTTTTAACTAATTACCTGACTGCATGTCATTTATTTTAGTCTGCTAGACCAGTGGAAATCATACAGTGAGCTTCATTCACCATGTTCCAGTTACAGAAAATTTTCCTTGCCATAAACAAAACTCTGCCTCTTCTCACAGATACTACCAATGTTTCGATAAAATAAAAAACACTGGTACCTCAATGTAACACTATTATGTAAAATGCCAATGTTACAAAATTTACTGACTACATATCTAGGGCTGGTCCTGCGTGGTTGACTATGGGCTAAACAACTAACTTATGGTAAGCTCTAAGCCCCTTGTTGAGGACATATAGTGAGTTGTTGATGAATACAATGAATGTGATTGTACTTACAAGTAATAAATAATTTTAATGATTAACTAAAATGAATACTTTAATTTCAGGAATATTTTAAATATGAAATCAGTGACCATATCTTAATATGCTATTGTTATTAAAGAATTTGTAGGATGCCATTCTTTTTGTGTACTTTATCATTCTAGAAATATGCATTGTATCAATATATTTAAAAGGACCAGGTGGCAGTCATTGTTTCCTATACTTAATACATACTCCTTAATATTTCTATATATTCCTTATTTTGGTTTATAGTGATATTCAAGTTTTTTGTATAATTTAGTTTAAAGTGTTGTATGAGTTTGCTTATTGGTAACGTTAGTCCTAATGACCATATGTGCAAAGTTTACTTTATATAGGTCATCATATGTATGAAAATATTGACCTCAATTAGTTTTCTTTAATTAAAGTAAGTTTTAAAAGTATTTTATTTTGATTTTTTTTTCCACTATTTGGACCCCTTTCTAGATACTAGATTTAAAACCTATAAAAGTATATATGTAATTCATTATAAGAATTTATATGAGCACAGGAAAACTTATAGTTAAATTTCTGCAATGTATTTTTCAAATTATGAATGTATTTATATTCTTTTTAAATTTAAGCAATAATGGCCTTTAATATATTATTGACACAATTCACAACAAACAGAGAAGAGAGGGGTTACGAAGCAGCTTATTTTGATGGATATTAATTATAGATGGTTTAAGTATATAGTCAAACAATGAGGATTGGATTTTAATATTTTTAACATGCACATGACATCACATTGTCAAGAAAATGAGTCATACACTTCGATACACTAATGGAAAGCGCAATGCTTATAAAGCTTAGCATCTTTGATTATCGTTTTTATAACTCGACAAAAGATAATACATTTTTGTAATATAATGGTACGGCTAAGCGCTTTATCAATATTCTCACATCTTACTCGTCATGAAACTAAATTATATTTTGAGGCAGGTGCCGTACGTCAGCCTAAATAATGTCGCAAGTTACAGTTATTCATACACAAACAAGAGTTAGCCCTAACTTGGACCTGATGACGATTACTTACCTTTTTGGCTTGTTGTAGACTCCATTTTTTATTAAAATATACGACACATCACATCATCACAACATTTTCACGAAATATGTTTAATTTATTATAATAAATCACCAAAATTCACTAAATAATTCAATGAGGGCGATCTCATGAAAAATATTTTCCATTCACCAACACCAACCGTTCACGTCAAATCAAAGAAGTCACTAGCTAAATACAGATAACAAAAAAGTATTTCGAAAGCTAAACACAGACTACAAATTTTAACTTGACATGACATCATGTCAGTAGGAAAAGGTAGTAAAAATGTAATTCAATAATGGAATTCCTTTTTTAACAAATCGAAGTAGTTTTGTTCAGGTTTCATCTTATATTGGAATAGGTATAATTCGGACAGATATTCCTTTACCACGAATTTCAAATGTGGCTTGGAGTAGGTATGGGTAAAAAAATCATTAATACAAATTAGTTAAGATAAAAGTTTTTGCCCTTTGTTTTAATTATAAATCAGCTAAGGACATAAGCTAGGATTAATTCTGCTTATATAATGTTAGTATTATGATAATCTTACAGACATTGTTAATAGACAGCAAAATATTCCACTTTACACATTTTTCATGTCCATATCCAAATTTTAAGTCAGGAGTTAGTGAACTGAATGTGCCAAGATTGAGAGGTTTTTAAGAGACATTCCAAGGTTCTTAAATACCATTGATTAATGTATATTTTTTAATTCTTAGAACTTGTGTAAACCTTTGAAATGTAACAAATAAACATGGTATACCATGACATTTTCTTAAGAGGGATTTTTTATTTGAGAATAAATAATGACAGGAAAAATAAGCAATTAAATAACAAAGACTTTAAACTATATTTTGCTAAAGTAATCAATCACTTCCATTCTGGCATTTCTCCATTACTTTCTCAATGGTCCTTCAGAATCCGGAGGGATGCCCAGCTCTTCATCGGTCCAAGTGATGGGATCAATATAAGGCCATTCACCCTATATAAAAAAATACAAATTATATAACAAGGAAACAGGAGTTAGAATACATGGCTTTATAAGATAAAAACTAATTAAAGGTAATTTTATCAAATTATTAACAAGATGAAAACTTATTTAAAATTCTTATAGTTCTGCTAAGATCACATTTGTTAATTGGTCACTTAGGGGAACTTAATTTATATTTCTTATACTAATTTCACCAAAAGGACTTTAAGTAAACAGTAAATGTTTTCTATGAATTATATGTACTAACATAAATATGTTCCGGTTCGGTTGCACAATGATAAAGAATCCAGTACCAGCAGAGTCCCCCAAGCACTTGAGCTAAACATAACGATCTTTTGGAAGGTAAAGGAGGTGGTACTCGGTATGTCCAAACCCTGAAAACATACAAAAAACCAATTTGAATATAGCACAATTATTTTAAAACATGTCAATGATTTTGCCATCAGTATATATTTAAATATGCTTTTATTCATAGAACTGAATCGTTTCAAATATATGTAAACTAAAAACTATGGCACATGTTTTGCTTATGAAATGGCTCCAATCTCTCTTAAATGTATAGCATATAGAAATTATAAGTTCAGTATGGGATGAATGTCTAAGTAAGGATTGTTGGACTACTACTTAAATAAATGACTGACTCAAAAGTAAGATTAGCGCATGTAAAATATAGTTACTACTACTACTGTACCTGTACTAATAGCTATTGCATGATATTTTTTAATATACTAAGCTTTATCAATCATATCTAGTTTAAATTGTGTTGTTCAATTAAATTGCAACTTAATTAAAGTAATAACCTAAATATGCATTCTAATTGTTTTTTGTTTCCGTGACAAAATTAAGCTTTGGTATGACATAACAGCATAGATGATTACCCATGTCCTGCGTTTCTCTTCACTTGCTTAACATGGTCGGCAGCTACTTTTGCGGATCTAGATAAAAGGGCTCTCGAAACTAAAGTTCGTGCCAACATTTTCTAGGGTTTTCGGGCCCGCAATAATAACAATTTTGAAATCCTTTTGCAAAATATATATTCGATCTTCTTAAAACGTAATGTCACTGTCAAAATATCTTGTATTGTCAAAATTTATCTTTTTTTGTTTCGAGGTCGAATTTGGAAAAAGGTAAAACGATTCTGCCCAAGTCAACAAAATTAAAATCTGCACTTTAAAAAATTACCTAGGTTGCAAAGCTCTTGGGGCATTCCTTTTAGTATGTTATAAAGTACTCTGTGACTTATTTCTTGATTATCTTATACGCTTTCTTCCCTATTACGTTTTGATTAGCATTGTAAGGTTTTTATTAATTTGGCACACAAATTTCTAACATCCAAATACTAATAATGATCTCTTACTTTTTTTCCAAACTTATTCAAGAGATATAAATATTATTGGATTTATTTTCCTTTATCTTTCTAAATGTTTATAACACACTTTATAACTACATGCATTTGCAAATATATTCATGTTATGTGATGGTGCTCTGAAAAGAAATGAGATATATATCTCGAAATGCTACTAATTATAAGTAGGTAAATAAAATCAAACATGATTAAAATCAAATTTACTTAAAGTTATCTTTAACTATTTACTACTAATGATAACATAAATAACTGTCAACTATATAACTCATTCTATATAACAAAACTTCAATATCCTAGTGATACCAAAAATATTCATTTACTTCTTGCTTGATCCTTACAACAAGGTCTGGGACCATCTAATTTATCATCTGGTACAGCACTGTCATTATAAGGAATATTATCCAATTTTAGAGTATCTTCGGTTATCTTTGCCTCTGAAAAAAAAAAATGAGTCTTATATTTTCAATTTCAAAACCTAGTCCGTGTTGGTACTATCTAATTAGCTTTAGTATGTTTCGGCAAAATTGATGATCTGAAATAAAAGCCCTCTGCAATTACATTTAAATTTGGTCAAAGGTTACATAAGGATGTTCATGAAAAAAAAAATGTTATTTGTAAGTATATAATGTGTGGAAAGAATTAATATGTAAAAAAACATTTCTTGTCAAAACCCATGTCAATTAAAAAAAAATAGACTCTTTCACATTCCCACCCAACTCTTTTAAGGAAAGGATGTGAAGTGGAATTTGTTTTAAGAGTCGAGGAAGGGTAAATATCCTTTGTATGTGTGTCCCTTCTAGTATTGAGTAAAATTAGGCAAAGCTTCTGCAATTGTCTATGGGCAGAGGTTAATTCACTATTTTGTAATATTCAAGTGGCTGATTGCTTATTTGCCACCTTATAATATAAAAGACGATAAATAATGTAAATTTATTAAGACATGCCCCAAAGAATGTTTGTTCCCTTGATTAAATGATTAAATAAATGGTATTACCAAATACACCAGGCCTCACTTCCCGAGCTTGTATAACTTGTGTTCTTAATTCAGTTTCTACATCTTTGCTAAATTTAATCATCTGAAACATATTTTACCATTATATTGAAAATAAATCATACATTTATGTAATTTATTTAAGGATAAAAGCATTTAATGTTAACGTAAGATTTTAATAACATATAGGATGTATTGGAAACATCTCAATAACCATACTGGGTTATAATAAAAAATTGTTGTGTTTTGGGAATGTTGTTCTTCTTATATATTTGTCTAGTAGAGATTAAATTAATCATTCTGGCATGAAATCTAAGTTCTACTGGGTTTACTAGACACTTTTTTGTATAAAGATCAATCCTCACTATTATACTATTGAGTTATAATGTTATGGTGCTTGCAACAATGTTTAAATAAATGTTACATAACCGTAAAGTATTTATAGATACACTTTAAATAATGTTAGTATTAAGAAAACAATATTTCCTAATTCAAATTTGAACATATACTTACAGCCCTTATTGAACCTTCTTCTGTAACATGTTTGTTCTTTTTATACTCCTCATTAATTTTTGCTCTAGCTGCAATCAATGCTTTTAAATCTCCCTCGAAAACTTTGAGTCTAGTGCGATGTAATTTTTTAAAGCTTTGTAATACCTAAAATTACATTGAGCATGAGATAATAAATTTTATTTTACACAAATATCGCAAATCTTTTTCGTAAGAAATTAACATTACACTATTCCGAAGGCCACTCATTTTATTAATTTTAGAATAATTAATTTATAATTCTCACAAGAATAGAAATACTGTTTTGGTTATTTGATTTTTCTACCAAGCTCTTGACAGATGACAACAATAACAAGGTGACAAATGTCATATTGATTGATTTTTTTTAATTTTATGACCTTGTACCATAGACCTTTAGGTCATGTCTTATTTGGAAAATGTTCAGTACTTTGGATTCATATTGATTGACATTTAACATGCAGCACAGACTATCAAACTATTAACTGATTGAACATCACTTAAAAACAGCCGCTCCCTATATAGAATAGAAATCCATAAAGTAAAATGACATTGTAATGACGTTTTGACACTTGACAGTGACAGCAGGATTGTATCGTAAAATCACAAGTTTTAAAAGTTCAACTTTAAATGCCGTTTCGAACTGAATTATTTGCTGGGTCATCTGTAGTAAGCCTAAACGTTCCTCTGTATTATTTACACAAAAATATGTTAAGGTTTATTCGGTGATTTTAATTGTATATATTAATCAAGATGGATCTTTCTATATTTCTCTTACAATTTGTTGCTTTCCTAGTAAGTAATTTTTATTTTGTACAATTTAATATATGAAAAATAACTCAATTTTAGTAGAAAGTAATATGTTTTCAAACACACTCATTTATTTGCAGGATTTATTAGCCGTTGGCTTAATTGTTCCCTTGGTCCCTAATCATATTCGCCAATTGGGTGGAAATCACATATATGTTGGCTTGTTAGGCTCAATATATTCAGGATTTCAATTAGGATCAGGTCCTCTCATAGTAAGTATAATGAGGTTTTTTTAAACTATATATGAAGGCCAGAACCAATGTAACAATTTTAAAAGTGAATGTATTTGACATTTGGCATTTAAAAACTTGAATTAAAATTATCTGCATAACATTAATTAAAATTCTGTGTTACATGATTCTAAATTTGATGTATGTAAATTGCATTTAGCTCAATATTCAATTCTATTTACTTAAAATTTGTGTTTCAGTTTGCAACCAACATACTATATATTTTATACTATTAACACTAAGTTACGGAATACTGCTGGCAAAGATGAAGACCTTGATTTATTTTAAGGATCACATTATTTCAGATGCAATGCTATTTGCAATAATGCAATTTTACACCTTATCTATGGATGTAAATAAAAATCAGGTTACCTTAAATTAAAACTAATAACTTGTATTTTTCTTTTTTAGGGAAGTCTAAGTGACCTAAAAGGTCGTAGAACTATACTAATGTTTACACTGCTCTTGTGTGCAGGAGTTTATTCAATTATGGGATTCATTTCATCAATAGCTGTAATTTTAATATTAAGAGGAATGCTTGGTAATTAAAATGCTATTTACTTTTTTTTATAAATGGAAAGACATTTTGCTGATGCTTATACTTGTTGCCTAATATTCTTATTTTATTACAATTTTGTGGTCATAAATGTGATGGTAATTAATTAATAAGTTGTACAATTACATAACTTTAAAATGGAACATTATAATCTGTTTTTCAAACATATTAAGAACTGTACAAACACACTTTTAATCAATTTGAGGTATCACAATCAAATGTACATATAATTAAAAAAAAACATTAAGCAATTGTGCAGTTCTTATTTCAAAAAAATGAATATTTAATGCACATAAGGTACACACATTGTTGAATCTAGAAGTATTGAATGTGATGTATAATATTGGCCTTACAATATATATATTTTTCAGGTCTATTTAAACAAACACAGTTGTTGACAAAGGCTTTAGTGCCGGATTATGAGAGTAATCAACAAAAACAGTCTGTAATATATGGTAAAATGGCAGCCATATCTGGTGTTGGGATTACCTTAGGACCTGTTATTGGAGGACACATAGTGGAAGATCATCCAGAGAATGGTTTTATGTATATTGCAATTATAGTCGGGTTTTGTTTCCTTGTTAATGCCGGTAAGACATTTTTTATTTGATTTTAGATGTAGTAAAATTATGAAATAAAATTGCTAGATTTATAAACGAAAAATAATATAATAAGACAATGCACATACGCATATTCAAGAAATAAATTGATTTAATTTTGTAAATAACTCAACAACACAAGTCAATGAAAAGAGTTACATCTTATTTAGACATCCGATAAGTCATGTAACTTTATTCATAAGACAGTCCAATATAATTGACAAAAATTTGCATTTATATCAGTCAGTTACTATTACCACTCCCACTTGCGACTTGTTTGTCTTCATAATTATAAGCATTAGTAATTAATGATAATTTTCAGGACTGGTTTATTTCCTGCCAGCAACCATTAAGAAAACATCAAAAGAAACAAAGAGCAAGTCAGAACATGAAAGTGTAATGAATAAAATTATAACCAGCAGCAAGCAATCTGTAGTTGAACTGTCAAAAATACCTTGGGCTGAATACTGGGATGTATTTCTACTAAAGGCCTTAATAAGTTTTGCAATGGCTGTTTATTTCTCTAACTATTCATTATATTTAAAAACAATATATGAACTGTCTCCTAAATATATAGGGTATGTTATATCAATTCAAGGAGTAATATCATCTGTTTCTAGTTTCTTTATAGGTTATATAAATAAGTTTTATTCTTATGATACTGATTATAGTGTAAGAAACTTACATATGTTTATTCTTGTTGGTGTTTCATTGACGGGAATGATTTTAGCTACAAATGTTTATATGTTTATTGTATGTCTGCTACCTTTAGCTGTTGGTAGTGCTGTAGGTAGGTTAGTTTCCTTAGAAATGGTATTAACAAGATGTAAAGGGAAACATAGAGGAACTCTTATTGGAGCTACAAATAGTGTGACATCTTTATCTGGAGTTGTTGCTCCAATGGTGGCGGGATTTATTGGTCAATACTTTGGGGTTGCATATGGTTTATATGCATCATTATTTGCAACACTACTCGGAGTTGCATTGAGCTATCAATATAGAAGGAAAAACAAAGTTGATTAAGATAAAATATAATTATAGATTTACATAATGTTGGTTTGAATATATTGTAAATTTAATAAATTTATACATGTTTTAGACAATTTTGTTTAATTTTTGAATCTTCATCATCATGACATGTGAATATATTATTTAATTTCTACTTTGAATTGTAAATACCTAATTTGTGAAATTGTTAATTTTTATAAAGGTTACTTAAAATAAAATATAAAAATGCGTATCAACTAAATTTTAATTTAAATAAACAAGAAATATTAAGTCTATATATGTTAATATACCAATCATTCTCCTTCCAATGCGCGCATTTGTTTCTTTCTCATATCTTTTATTAGATTTTGAATGGCCTCTCTGTCCTGTTTGTTTTCAGGAGGAAATATCTGGCGTTTCGTATTTGTAACCCATTCTTCAAAGTATTTTGGTTGGTTGAACACGAAAAAGAGTACCACGGGAAATGTGGTATACATTGCCATCCTCCCAACCTCTAGTTTCCAGTTACCCATTTTGTTGTAACGTAAGATGTAATAAATTTTTTAACAATATTATTCTACCCAGCTTGTAAAATGTGATTAAATTTATTTATTTGAAGTTTTGGATTTGACAGTTCAGTCAGCTGTTGTGATAAAAATGTTACCATACCCTATGTAAGTAATGCTACTATCCTACCTGCCCTTTCTTTTTAGCGTTTTTAACTAATTTTACTTTGTTATTGAATTAAATAACATTTTCACGTTAATCAGAAGACCTTTTCAAATAATTTAAGGGTTTTTATGACCTAAATAATATTTTTTTTATTACAAACACGGGTCATAATTCCATGTCTAGCAAAGGTGATTTCATTTAGTTTGTTTAATACTGCTTAAAGTTGGAAAATATTAATATAGAAATTATTTATTGAATGATGTAACGGAAAAACATTAAATATGTTAAAGGTTACTTTTATGTGGGTTTTAGCTGTCAGTTGGTAGTTTGTCCGCGGCATTAAAAAAAATCGCTCGCAACTTCCTCAGCGTAATAATAAATAAAAATGGAAACATCCTAAGTCTCTCCCGCAGCACACCTTTTCTTTAAAGTCCTATCAAAATCGGTCAAGTCTTTTCGGCGATTACCTATAACAAAAGTGGACTTCCTAGCAGATAGACAAAAGTTTTATAAGTAGGTTTTTCGCTCAAAACACATACTTCATGTTCATGTTATATCAATTAGGTAAATATATTTAAAAGTATATACATATATAATATATTAGAATTTTTGCAATAAGGCAGCTTAGCAGTTTTATGGTAGTGGTTATACCGACCGATTTTAAAGAAGTCAATTTGTAACTAAGTCCAAAGAATTAAGACTTAATAAACTTTGTTGCTCCAAGGTTTATAAGTCGTTTAAAGTACATTTTTTTGTTTAAGTGTATCTTAAAACGGTAATACCTTGTTGACAGATTACCAATATGGCTGGATACTTAAAGCAAAGAACCGTTAGCGTCGGGCATAAAGATGTCCTTCTATAGTAAGTGTGGAATTAATTGATCACCGGTAACTTTAGCGGCTTTGCCCTTTTACACAGGGCTGCTACACATGACTTAATAAATTATCCTCATTAGAACCCTTTACTTTGCTTATTATATTAGTATTATTTAATATTCTATAGTTGGATTTTTCTAAAGTCATCACGTAAACATCGCTTTTAAGAATCTTCAATTTATTTGATTAACGACTGTTCAAGAAACAGGATAGCATTAAATGTCATAAAAAAGTATTGTCAGTGTTTTCAACGTATCGAAATGTGCTTTTTTAAACTTTCTCAGCAGCCCTTTTCTCTACGGATAATACTAACTACTATTCGTATACCGCTCATATGAGTATAATATTACAAATGTAATTAAGAACAAAGTGTTGTATATAACTCTTTAATAAATAAAATACATTTAACCATGGATGTCACAACCCTATTTTCATATACTGAGACATGTTAGGTGCGCTCGTAAATTGTCCTGTTAAATAGTTCCTACTTAATCTATTATAACGTAATCGGATTAAGTTATATTAACTTTAGAGTAAATCGACTGAAAATAAGATTCCATACGCATTTCCCTATTGGATAATATTTTACTTATCATGCTAAAATTATAAATACGACTGTTTAGATGTATGAATGGATTGGTGAATGAATGTATGTTAGAAGGTACCTCCAGAAAGGTTGAACGGATTTCAATCAAATTTGGCATAGTATAGAACATAGTCTGGAAGAACACAAAGGCTATTAACTACTAATTATGTCTTTTTTTTAATCCACTTGTCATGGGTGACCGCTAATATTGTATAATTCAGTTGATATCTTAGCGACTCGCTGTGAAATTTCTTGGAAAGTAGACATAAGAAATTCTATACGAATAAAAACTGAGTATGTTGGTGCATTGACAAAGTTAAACACCTACGAAAATAATACTTACATATGTATTTGATCATAGATTTGCAGATAACATTATCAAAGGCGTATATATTTTTGTATAATATAATTTAATCAATTAAATTTTACATATAAATTAAAAAGGTATGTATATAGTATAATATATTTAGGATTTTTCAAACTGACCATCATTAAAACATTCGAATTGCGTGACTATTATTATCGTAGGTACTATTTTTTGTCGATTCCAAATAAAAATACTTTTATTTAAATAAAGTGCTTTATGCTTCCGCCCCACGCAATCCTCGTTTCGTGAAATATACGTTTTACATCGGATAGGAGCGGGCAGCGGAGGCTGCGATCATTGCAAACGATATTAGCTGTCTACGCGGTACGAACACACAACAACTGTAATAGCATGAAATAGTATATCAGAGAGCGCATTACTGCCGGTGCAATGCTTACACTATAACCAGGATAAATTATTTAAGACTTTTCTATTTAGTGTCAGTCTTTTACTTTAGCTCATTCTTCTTTTGCGACTGTCATCGCTGCTATGAATAATTTTTTTTCTTTACTTTGATAAACTTCTGTCAGTGCCTTAATTCACTTATAAAATGTAATAGGAGTCCTTTTCGATGACCTCCAAAACAGTCAGAACTGTTCGATTACAAGATTAAAATGACTAAGCCACTACTATAATTTACGGTATAGGAGATAATTACAAAAAAAAAATATTCTAAAAATTAAAAAATACTGTATAATCGATAAGGGTCTTGGGAAATGGTTGGCGTGTGGCAACACCACGCGGTATCTGATGCCGTGCGCTCCGGAACGTGCCGCGTGCTAATGCGAGCTCGTCACGATTCCGATTTGTTATCGCCGTTATTGAAACTTGTATATTTTTGTTGTTTTTATTACTATCATGACATTTAGTAGAAGTTATTACACGTACTATCCAAGAGACACTTAAGTGTATGTGGTTTTATTCCAATTCCATTGAACTGAGAGAATGTAAGAGCGAATCTGATAAGATTGAAGTAAGTTATGAAGGGTTTTGCCGGAGCTCTGTGGAATAGAGATGTTATTTTGCTTTAAGGCTGCTAGTTACACGGTTAACGTATAAAAAATCATAGATAAATACTTAAAGCAAATATAAAACATATATTTGAAAGCTTTAACAAAAGCGCCACAATTTAACCTTCAAACAGCTACAAAGTGATTTGTAAAGCTTTTTCAATATGAAATATCACCAGCCAATTTATCGATTCCGATCGATGACATTGAGCCTTTTGTTATTTATATATTCCCAGCTATCTCACTCAGCGGGGGGTAACTTTAATTCCAACCACATCGAAATTAATTCAATTTGTACTATTGCATAAATTTTGGGAAACTGAATTATTCATGTTGCATTAACACCTTTGAATAGGTGATCTGATTTCATAGTATTTTTTTTGTATCATAAAGCGGCAAACGAACGAGCAGTAACAGATGTGATTATATACTTACATATATAAAAATACAGAATTGCGTTAATCAGCTGCGTTGCCTCACGAAAAAGATTAATCGATGGTAAAATCAAAACATAGCTTAGGGCGAACAGTGAAAGGAAAGGAAATAAGGCACACGACGATCTGATTGTTTCCTAGAGATTTCTATGAGTCGCTTTATTGTTTGTCTTATTACTTCATCAATTTCTTCCGTAATCAATTTTACTATTAGAAACATAAAGATATGTTAAATGTTTGAATAAATTTTCTATAGCCACGCTCCCTCTATTTGTTTTTGTCCAATTGTTTTATTTATACTGCATTTATCACAAAGGACATTGTAATAAAAAAAAGATGATAAGAAAATAAAGAAATGCAGTGTTGCCATATAAGCCAAGTTTTGAAATACATATAAATATAAATTATTTATTAAGCCACGATGTCTTCATTACTGGGTATCTGGGTATCTAGGTATGGGTATGAATATATTACAATTTAAATTGGAATAAGGATAGACCATATCACAACGTAATATAATGAGGCGTGAAATGAGAAACTACCCTGCTTTATCACCGCCCACATATTTTCAGTACAATGGATATAGCAGACGTGCACTCGAGCGGCCAGCAACATTACGTAGACTACTGTATCATTTTATATTGTAGCGATGAGAAATATTTAAAAATAAAAAAATAGTATTTACGCCGAAGCGTATAATTAAGGAAATTAATAGAAATAATTAAGCTGTTAAAAAAAAAATTAAATAATTTAATTGTTGAGAACGAAAAAGAAATTTTGTCAAATATATCCTTGGTACTATTGTAATTAAGCTAACCAGTTTTTTTAATGCCTGGTTTACATTATGCTAGTATACAGTAGAATAGTATTGCTGGCCTGCCTAGGACGATATGAATTCACTGGCGCCAGATAATGTTAACCTTATTCCAGTTGTATGTCAGCACTTGATCATGCACAACTGGACCATAATTAGCGGGTAATCCCTAACATAGTGTTACTAGGTCTATCTTTTGTAATACATATTTTTGGTCTTTTTTTAAATGTAAATGAACTTGTTATTTTCCTTTCAATAAAAAAGTTATAGTTAAAAAGTATAAACGCATTAAAATACGAAGTTCATGTATTATTCAAGGCGTTTAAGGTAAAAAAAACATAAATCTTTAAAAAAACAATTAGTTGTGATACGCAGTAATATAGTGAAATATGAACGCAGCGACGACATACGTCACTGATGACAGTGACACAACGAGGAGAGTTCTTTGTTATCATTATTCGGTTTTTATTTGGTTAATAAAATGAACGATGCTGTTTGCTACAAATAAATTCACAATTTCTATTTAATTTAAACTTACAATTTATTATTATAATTGTGAGATTGTGTGTGTGATGTAATTACACTTTTAGTTTATTGTTCCGCGTTTTACCTAGACTCTATTCTTTACCATAAGAAATTGAACTATGGAATAATTCGTAACCGGAATACATTATAAAAGTGCAATATGGAAGCGCTTTCTAAAGAATTAGTAGATAAAATTGCACTAGAATGTATAGAATTATATAGAAAGGTACCGAAAATTGGTAAACCCGCCGCAGGAGAATGGAACGTTTTATCCAGCGTCGTACGGTTAAATACAGAAACTCAAAAGTTCGATGTTGTATCATTAGGTACTGGTTCGAAATGTATTGGAGCCACAAAAATGTCACCCGAAGGGGTTAAAGTCCATGATAGTCATGCTGAAGTGTTTGCAAGAAGAGGATTTATGTTATACATTTATAAAAACCTAGAAATGGCAATAACATCACCAGAGGAGAGTATATTTATAAAAGAAAATGGAAAATTTCGATTGAAAGAAAATATTCAATTTATATTTTATTCATCCCAAATGCCTTGTGGAGATGCTTCTATTATTCCTAAATCAAATGACAATAACCATGGAAACGTTGTAACTTCACGTAAACGTGAAGCCGAGGATGGTCACGATGAGGAAGAACGTAAAATATTAAAGAGTGATGATATAGATGATATTCATAGGACTGGAGCAAAATGCTTGCCACACAATGAACAGGATCCTAAGGAGCCGGGTGCAAAGTATCACTTGCTAGGTCAGGTTCGGACTAAACCAGGATTAGGTGACCGAACTCTTTCTGTATCATGTAGTGACAAAATTGCTAGATGGATTCATGTTGGCATCCAAGGAGCACTTTTGGACATGCTGCTAACTGAACCTATTTATATCAAACATTTTATCTTTGGCGGTGGAGTACCATACTCTAAAGAATCACTCACTCGGGCTTTTCTGAACAGAAATGGCGAGGAACAGATAACAGTACCTGTTATTCCATATATTTATCAAGCTACAGCAATTTTTTATTATATGAAAAGTGAACAGAGAGCTCGGCCTGCTCACACTAGTATTTTAGTATTTAATTTTGGGTAAGTTTTAAATTTTGTCATCAATTTACATACTGGATGAATGAAGGAATTAAATCATAGACTTACAAGTGCAGAAGCATATTTGATATATTCTTAAATTTGAAATATGTATAGAACAATATTTAATTCATTTATAGCTTTAACTATGCTTTTATCCAAACGTAAACTTGGTGTTTACTCACTTCTAAACTTGTAGATTTTATTTCATCATCATTAGCTCACTATTCGTCCCCACTGAGGGGCTCAGAGCCTACATTAGGGGTGACCAGGACATAGTCAAACACACTTGCCCGCTAAGGGTTGGTTAACTTCACACATATCTTTGAACATCTCATCATATATGTGCAGGTTGCTTTACGATGTTTTCCTTCACTGTAAGAATGTCGGATAAATGTACGTATGCAAATCGAAAATTTAAAAGCACATTGGTACATAGCAGGACTCAAACTCGGTATCTGTAGATTGTAAGTCAAGTGCTTAACCCCTGAGCCACTAACCCTCTATTAGACGTCATTTAATTAATTATAAACAATTTTTCATGTATTTGATTTAATGTCTTGATTCCAGTCTGGTTGAGGTTGCAGTCCATGGTAAAAGGATAGGTGTAACAAAGAAAATGGAAAGAACAAGGAGAATCGCGTTAAGCATATCGAAATATTATTTGTATAGAAGATTCTTATTTCTATTTCAACTTGATCCAAGTTTAAAAGAAAAATATGCACTCGATAAACTAGAGTGTATACCATATAACGTTATGAAAAGGAAATCTCAACGTTATTATGAAAACTGGCATAAAGCGAAAGAAAATTTCTTTAAATCTTGGACAGTTAAACCGGATATGTGGTCTTTCTGTATAACAGAAGACGAGTTAGCGGTAAATGTTATTGAGCTAAACAAAATGATTCATTATACGGATCCCAGAAGAAGCATAATGATCCCAAATTTTGACACACCTATTGTTTTCTAAAGGTGTTTATTACTGTAGATTTATTAAATCTAATAAGAGCATCTAAGTAACATGACTTTGAGATTTGCTAAACAGCTGTGCGAGAAATATAGTTTTAAGTGATAATTTTATATTGTTTATTATATGCTGTATACAATTATATGCTTGTGTAAAACATTAATATGTGGAAAAAAAACTTTGTACTCTATAAGAAAATTGAGCGAACGGATGAACATTGGCACAGTTATTATTGTGTAGAAGTGTATAAAACTACTTTTAATAATAAAGGCAAATTTTTTCCATTAAGTTAAATACATTATGTAATTATGTTTTGAATGTTTAATAAAAAATTAAATATTATTTTTGTGTATTATTTATCGGAAAACGCATTCACAACACATAAAAAATATCGGCTTCCTTCTTGCTGATTTTTATTTAATTCCTTCTGTGTGCCATTTTATTTCTGTTTAATATGTATTTCATAGCAATTTGAGGGAATGGAATCATGTAAGTCGTTGTTTCTAATAGTTTTTGTTATGTTTGTATTTACGTGTGTTTTATGCAGGTCATAATTTTATTTAATCTTGCATTACACCTTCCGACTGTCTCCCTAAAGCCTGAAAGGACCACCATGAAATTAGATAACGAATCCGACGTAAGAGGAACCGTATCATGTAAGAGTATTAAAGGTATTATAAGATTCAAACTTTATTGAAGCTTGTGTTTAGTTGCGACCGCTGCGAGTAGAGAAAATTGCGCGCACATGCTCGCCTTTACGTTCCACTACAGATAAAATGGTATTCTTTATAGCGTTATTTAAACTTTTTGTGAACTTGTAAGGTATTATAAAGTAAATACAAAAAAATCCAGCGTCGGTATCGATGCAACTTTCTCACAATTGACAGACGGGCTACGACTGCGGAATTTTCAAAGTCGTAGTCACTCTGAATAAGGCCGGAGATGGACTTAAAACTAGTCGATGCAGGTAATTGAATATAGCCATTTTTGTATTTATGTGTGTAATAAGATATTCCGAGCCACCATAAAGTTTGGTTGGCTCTGTATTTATAAGTAAAACAAATGAGTTCACTGTGTATCTCAAACGCCTACGGATTTTGCATTAGACAATAACGTTGATCATTCAATAAGGTGGGCCCCGACAAAGGAATATGATAAACTGAAATCGATATTTGAAATAGTTCGAACAATTTGGATATTTGTAAGCCTGCAATTTTTCTATTTCGTTACGTTACGCTTGATATCTATGGTATGGTAGTGTTAATCTTAATATCTCACTAATATTATAAATGCGAATGTTTAGATGGATTGATGGATGGTATATCCAGAACTGCTGCATGGATCTCGATGTAGAACATAGTCTGGAAGAACACATAGGCTACTAATTATGTTTCTTTTTAATAACTGGCGAACAGAGTTGCGGGCGACAGCTAGATATTTATATTCTGCCGTGTACACCGCATTCCTCATGACTCAGTGTTGCCATGGAGAAAATATGACATTGAATAATCGACCTCAATAGTATAAATGGTTGCTAAGTGCGAATACGATGCCAAGTATTAACTCTTTGTAGTACTTCGGATACAAAACGTATCGTCCAGTACCTTGTTTCAGGTTCACCCACTTTCTACCGGAAGGCAATTAAAAATAATTTGCATTTCTCTTTATGTATTTACACACGTCATCTTTGGGGCCAATGTTACAAATAATAAAAAAAAAATTGGACCGTATTTTATAACCCAGTTTGATTTATTAATTACTAGCTACCGCCTGTGACTCCGTCCGCGATATAAAACAAAACTTAAGTCGCCTATGTGTTCTTAAAGGCTAATTTCGATATCTATGCCAAATTCCAACAAGATCCGAGCAGCTATTCTGGAGATACCTTTTAACATTCATCCAAACATTCGCATTTATAATATTAGTAATATTTCGACTACTATATTGTTTTTCAATACTCTGGCCGTAGGGCATTGCGCTAAAAGTATGCAGTAATGTCATTTAAATAATATCAATAAACAAATTATTAATGTTTTCAATTGAGAAATTATGAACAGTAACGGAAGTTTTGTAATGAGAATAGTAATAAATGATTATTGCGTGTTAAATGGGAAATGAGCAATTTGCGACAAAATATTAAGTATTATTTAATATTTATTATGTAAGTTAGAGAGCGTCGGTGGCTCAGGAGTCAAGCACTTGACTTGCTATCTGCAGGTCGTGGGTTCGAATCCCGCCATGTACCACAATGTGTTTTTCGATTTCCGATTTACATATGTACATTTATCCGACGTTCTTACGGCGAAGGAAAACATCGTGATGCAACCTGCACATATCTGAGAAGAAATTTAAAGATATGTGTGAAGTCAACCAACTCGCACTTGGCCAGCGTGGTTGACTATGGCCTAATCACCCTTAACTTAGGGTAGGCTCCGAGCCCCTCGGTGGGGACGTATAGTGAGCTGATGATGATGATGATGATGTGTAAGTTAATTTGAATTTAATTTTCGCGAACAGGAAATATTTCGATGAAATTATATGATGTTATGGTCAAATTATAAAAATAAATAATGTACATATTTATTTAAATGTATTGCGTGAACGGGATAATGTTTGGTTAGTTTTTCTACGAAGTTAGTATAAGGCCTGTTTCCTGTTTGTCATGTAACAGTAAGTTTTCATAAAAATTTATGATTGTAACAAATTTAACAATGAAGGTGGGCACTTAAACCAAAACTCCGTATTTTATGATAGACTAGTTGTCGTCCGCAACTCCTTCCGGGGGGAATTAAATACTTAATTAGTATCCTATGTGTTCTTGCAGTCTATGTTCTACATCTATGCCAAATTTCATCGAGATCCATGCAGCTGTTCTGGTGATACCGATAGATATATATTTTTTACGTCTTATCAAAGTTGACAGGAGTGATGATATGTTTCATGTAGACGTTTTGTTCTTAGAAACCCACAGTTAATCTTACAGAGTGCAGTGTTACTAGAAGGCACACGACGTCATCTTGTAACTTTTATATTATATGACGTATGACGATTAAAAACAGTAAAGTCTAAAAAATTTCTTTTATTATTCATCCGATTGAATGTTCGTCGATCTTCTTTTATTTCTTAATTTAAATGTTAAAAGTAAGATAATGGACCATTTACACTATTTAAATGTAACTTGAACAAAGAACCATTTAAGAACACCGCCCCGGGAAGTTACTGCTGTCTGTAATGTAAATAAGGTAAATCTTGTATATATAATTTTAATTGTTCTACTTAATCATCCATCAAATGACCGTAAGTATAGTTATCAGTGTTGGAATGTTTTATATTTACTCACGACAGTAATGTATAATGTCTTTATTGCTTTTTAAATTACAAGATTGTGTTAAGCGTAAGTTTTCACTAATATAAAACTTGTTGAAAAACAGAAGAGTGACATTTGTTTCGACAAATGAAGCTTATGATTACGGTAAATACGATAGATACACTTCGAAGTTCTTTAATCGTATATATTCGCATTTGTTACGAGTATTATGTCTTGTCTTATTAGGTTAAACAACCTCGTTTACTCGTAAATAAAAACCCTCTAGTCAATTTAGGGAAGCATCTCGAGCGGTGTAAATTCTTTTAGAACAATTTGGAAAACCAATCCGGTCTAACGAGACACCTGGTAACGAAATTATTTAATCCTACTAATATTTTAAATGTGAATGTTTAGATGGATAGATCTTTGTTAGAAAGGCAGAACGGATCTCGATGTAATTTGGCATATATAGAAGATGGTCTGGAAGAATAGGCTACTAATTATGTTTTTTTTTATTCCGGGCGGACGAAGTCGTAGCCGATCGCTCTTTTTGTATAAAAACGCAGTTAAACGCTTCAGTGTTTAATATATTTTTCTTGGTAAATTTATTTGAATGAGTAAAAAGGTGAATTGTTTACACTGTCATTTTGTCTTATTGTGTTGTGATCCGTCTCTCTATAGTTAATTAATGAGTGCTCCGATTTCGCCGCCTTGATTTTCTCGTTCTTTGTTTCAAGCATTTCCGTATAGGGAGTTAACCATTTACGGTATAAATTAATACAACAGTTTAAAAGGTATTCAACTTTCATCGGAATTCGTAGAGATATGTTAAATGCTTAATATCCTGAAGCTATTTTATTTTCTTATTTTTATGTTATTATTTTTAAAATATTTATTTATTTATTAAATTTACGTCATTAAAATAAATCCACGCGCTATTTTAGACCCTCCTTGTTTAATTTTTTTTTCAAAATCTCTCTGTATCATGAAATTGTTGTCTTTAATTGTCTAACTGCGACCCTAGTTTAACCCTTAGTAGCCTGATTTACAAACGAAAGTGATTTATTTTTAATACTACTGTGTTTGCTTGATAAAATAAAACAATAATGAAATTTGTTTTTTTTATTGTCGTTGGAAAGAATATTATACAACAGTAAAATAGGTACAGCCAACCTATAAAAAACTAATAGTAGTGTGAACATTCGGTTTAAAAGATTGGTATCAAAATTGAAACTCTAGGCTAATAAGGGTTAAATGGTTACTTAAGCGGTCCCTTAGTGTATTTCGTATTAAAAGTAAATTAAACGTTATGTTCTGAGAACAACATCCCTATTAATCATATTGTTATCTCTGTTTTGTCAAAGATCATGAGAGTGGTGTCTGAAACCAATGATAAGAGAGGTCTTATGAGCGCTATAATAAAACAGTTATTATTATAAATAATGTGATAGTATTATAGATGTATATACCTATGTTTGATTTAAGTCATTTGCAATTGGCTGCGCTTGTAAGGATCGTAGTGATTTGTTTATTTCGAACGCAAGATATTTGAGGTTAGATAGTTCATAAGTTTAGTCTGTCTAGTTGTCCCAGTCGCCGTGACAGCACAATGCCGGCTCCGTGGTATAAATCATAGCAGGTGATCGTGTACGGGTCGCTATGAGCAGGTTGGTACTCGATTTCGTTTGGGCTTAAGCTTACTAGGTTTCGTAACGGTGTAATACCATAGACGTATTAGTTTAGGAGTCTATTCTATATTTTTAGTACATCTTTTATAAAACTACATGTAGGTATTATTAATATTTTATGTTAATAGTATTTTTTTTCGAGTTATAGACAAAGGTAAATCATTTAGTTTCAGTGCCTTATATAGTTACTAGCGGACCCGACAGACGTTGTCCTGTCTACACGTCTTTAATTCGAATATTATTTAAAATTTGATACTGCGACGGTAGCGCCGTCTGTCGGATCCAATGTAAAACATTCCAAAATCAACAACTACTAATAAATTAAAAATTAATTAAAAAATCATTGTCCAGTGGACAAAATTGTGAATCTAAGCCATTCCCAGATCCCCATGAACACACACAAAAAATTTCATCAAAATCGGTCCAGTCGTTTGAGAGAAGTTCAGTGACATACACACGCACAAAAGAATTATATATATAAAGATTTAGGAACCTACTGAAAGGAAAATAATTTTTGGCAGGTGTATGTCCTATTATGAATTATACGCTTATTATTATTACGCTTTAGCCTATTTTAAAAGTAAGGCTACTATAGTCAGCTCATTTTAAGTGCATTCAAGGTATCATAATATGTCAATACAATCAAGTTTGAACAAACTATGATATCACCGTAAACATATCATTCAAAACGTTTTATCATACATTAAATCATTGCAAAATTACATTTTCAAATTGTTTGTTGTAAATATTATTTCAGTGTTAAGTGGTGTCAGCTTTCTTCGGAATTTGACCGTGGAGATTTATCGTGGTTGAACAATGAGTCGTGACAGGACACACCCCTTGATGCGGCCTCAACGAACTGCGGCCAATTTACGACCTAACTGTTCTGTTTGCAATACGTATCTTATAACATCTCCGTTGCTAACAATATTTTATGTTTGTCGACCAAAGAGTTATGTTCATAACATTGTAACTTAAAAATTGTATTTCATGGTGTCTCTATATGGTTGAATTAAACCCACTGGTAGGCCTACTACGAAGAAAAGTTTCTCTGTCTCATTCAAAGTAAGGATTGAAGTGTTATATTGCTTGACATACTTTATGGATAAATAAATATTTATACTTTTCATCGACTACAACAATAATGTAACCAAGTGGTGTAGGCAGAAACAGACTTTCATTTAGCGCGCTCCTGATAACTCTTCTGCTTTATAATCATTCATCCACTATTCCACTGGTATATGTTTTTTTTACAGCGACCTATAAATAGAAGAGAATTTATTCCAAAGCTTTCGATGTTGTTTTTCTTGATCTTAATAGTTCGAAGAAAAATGTCGATAGACAACTGTATTTGCTCGATAGAGCTTTTAAGGAAGAGATCCAGTTGTATGGCCATGTACAGCAAGTAACAGTTACGTAGCCTCGAGGTTCACGGGGAAAACGAGCCGGGGTACGTTTGGACTGATCAAGTAAACATTTTCCCGGATTACCGTACCGGATTATTATCCGGCGCCCAACGCTCCCGGGGCCATCGCATCAACAAAACGGTTTCCCGCTCACTCTGACGCTTTTGGGTCAAAGGTATTTATTTTACTAACAGATACATTGTGAGATATCCCTTTTCGTAACTCGAGACAGATACTAAAATAACTCAAGAGTACTGTTGTTGCCGTGGTTCGTATTTGTGGCGGACGGTTTTGAAGTAGTTGCGATTTATCATATATTAAATAACGTTTTATTATTGAAAAGTTCTTAATAGCGCCTTTTCGAAACGTTGAAAGATATGTCGAATGTTTAACGGGGTTACGATACCTACTTCATCATTATGAATTGATGGCCACGGGTGAGGATTATATGGTGAAAACTTGGATGACATCACTTATTTATACAGATTTATGATACGAATTTTCAGTCGAAATGCATTTGTGTGGGTGTTTATTGTATTGTTAATATATTTTTTATCTTACAACACCTTTACTAAAAGGACAAGGGATTTCTGTGTCAAAAGTCGATTTTTTTTTCATGAAAGAAACTTTTATGTATAGAAAAAAGCTGTTGAAAATGACATGAACAGCTAATATTGTTGTTTTAAAAGTAAACACTGGATTGGTCAATACATAACAAAATAACGTTACAACGAAAGAAAAGTAACAATAGGTCATGTATCATTTCTTAACGACGTAAACGAAGGTAAAGGGTAACAAAATATGACACAATTGCAGCGTATGGAAAGTGTGCTTGATTAAGATACTTCAAAACCTTTGATAGCTCCAGTAACAAAGAATGCATTGTTAACGTAAGAAATACCAAACTGATTATGCGATGTTCGAAATTCCGCGTGACATACTGCCCGATGTTACAAGTGAAATAACGATGTCTTCTGCTTTATTGTGGAATGTCAAGATGTTACCAAAGATTATAAAAAATATAGACAAGGCTATAAGCATTAAACTTTTAATTACAATTGATTTTGTTACTATAATAATAAAATTGTGGAGGACGGCATGTCCAGAGGTTGGTAGACAAGGGCTGAATATATGAATTTTACTTTGATAAAGTAAAATTTACTATGTTCATTAGTCAAAAAAGTGATTAAGCATCGATGTAAAAAATATTAAAAAATAGTTTTAATATAAAGGCTGTTGCAATTCTTCGGAGTGTTGGTCTGGAAAGAAACTATGTCCTGTTTACAAGCAAAATACGCGCTAGCTGTGATGTTGAGGAAATCCAAGCCTCTACAATAGAGTCATAATTACAATTAAGTTTTAAGGTATACGTATAAATCATCAGGCATTAACCTGCAACGTATTATTGATAAAGTGGGTTTGGACTGTCCAGTATTAGCCATGTGGACGCGTCTATGTGGTGTACTCCTATTTAATTTCTTATTTGATTTTGTATAGACGTGTGTATGAAATAAAAGTATTTTTTTTATTATTATTAAAGTGGCTAGTCTTCAATTAAATCTTTGGCTTTATATTTTCGGCTATAACATAATGTTTATATATGTTTGTCGGTGTAGATGTTCAAGAAATGTAATGGGACCATACGCAACTTATGAAGATACACACTGGAGATGAAATAAAATGTCTTTATCAACTGAACAAGACAATAAAAGAAACATGTAGTTGGTTTTCTTAAAACTTACGTAATTAAATCGATATCGAAAAAGTAAAATTTTTTTTTCGTGTACTCGGCCGGCGCGTTGTTAACTGGTTGCCAATTTTAAAAGTAAAAATTATAATTAGTGTCTCCGTTTCGACGACTTTATTACTTATTGGCTATTTCAGAGCCAATGGTTCCGTAGATATTATTGTCATCGAACACATTGAAATCAAATTAAACACAAAAATAATAATTAAATCTAGAAAGATTTCTACGAATAATTAAATTAAATAAATAATATCGACTAATTTTACAAGTTGAACTTATTTCACAAAAATAAGTAAAGGATTCATTGTGTTGTCGCAGTTCAAATGTTTTTTTTTCTTTGTAAATCTTAATTTTTAACAAACTTGTAATTTGTTTACATAAATGTTGATTTTTGTTTTAATATTAGCAGATTTTTTTTTAAATAAAAAATTTACTAATATTTCTTTTACCATTCCAACTAAGCAATAGTCGAATGGCGGGATTCGAACCCCCGACCTCGTGATTGGAAATCCGTACCCTTAACCATTAGGCCATGGACGCTTGAATTTACTTAAATAAGTAAATCTATAATCTATAATATAAAGCCTTCGTGTAACTATTTTAATTAAATTTATTAAATGTTATAAGAATTAATTAATATAGATTTAAATTGCTGGTACGTATTGCACAATACATTTTAATTCGCCCTAAATGGACCATTGTATAATAATAAAAATCGGCAGTTAAAACTGACCGATATCGTCGTAATTAAAAAAAGCTGAAGGTCAATATTTAAAATAATCATGCCATTTTGCATTTCATTTTATGAATTTATAGTCTTCAATCATTGGATGACAACGGTTTTATATCGCTATTTATTTTAAGTGACTTGTACGTACGCGATCAAGGTTCATGATTGCGTTTACGGCTTTAAATGTTCCATTTTAAGATAAACTGATAGCTTGAGAAGTACATTTTAGCAACGTCCAGATATTTGACATGATGAGATGTTACTTTAACGTCGACCTCCATTGTCAATACCACGGTAAACCCGTGTCATGGAAATCAAATACTCTTTGTGATTTGACGCTCTCGATTTATTAAATGTATTCGTAAGGCACTGGGTCAATGATGTTAACGAAAGTGGCATGGTCCTGCGAAATTTGAAATGTTAGTTTAAAGGAAGAGGGGAGGACCGGAGTAATAAATCTGTGGTATAATCATCCGACCTCATCTCTGAACACGAGGATTCTTTTAAAAATAAAACAACGCCCCAAATACCCTTTGAACTTTGCATAAAGAAACGTGGACGAAATGTCGCATTCATTTTGGTGCAAGTAAGTCACGAATGTTTAGGTTTTGTGATGAAAATTTATTCACGTTTACCTCATTACATGAAAGGGTCCTAACTTAGTACAAAGTTCTATGTTTTGAATTTCGTGTACTGAATTATGAAAGTGCACATTTGTAAATACATTTTGGATTATGAAATCTCTCTATGGTACACGGAGATACAGAGCTTCCATATTGCAAACTTTTTTACACAGGAGAATTCAGCTATAACTGTGTTTATCTATGTATTTTTTTATGTCATTGTTATGTGTTATTTACTGTTATTATAAAATATGTTATCATGTAAACTCTTATGTAAAGCGTGTATAGTGTCACATTAGTTGTATACAATAACGACGCTATGCAGTTGTTTTTAAATAAATAAAAAAAATTAAAAACTTGAACGATAAATTTGAAGATCCATCAACTATCCCCGCTTTCAAAGATAGTATGGTTTAAAATATGTTTTTTTTTCATAACTAGATCAGTGTAGAATTTTTCTTAAGATGGTCACAATCTTTCAACATTTAAATTCTTTTTTATTCGCATGTTCTTATTTAACAATTACTAAAAGAGAATTGTGTCAATACTATTATTAATAAAAATTACGATTTAAGTGAGAAGGTAAAATGAAGTAACCGATTATTCAATAAAGATCCGATATCTTTGTAATGGTATGTATTCTGATAAAGATCAAAATTGTGTACATCTGCGACATAATAATCTTGATAACTACTTTATAACCTTATTATTTTGTGAATGTAATTCTCTTATTGTGCAAGGTCAGCGAAAGTATTTTTATAATACCAAAATTAAAGATTATAAATCTACGCAAATCTACTCTTTGGTAAATTCTCGTATGTTGCAAACCATTCAATAATAACTTCTACTAAATTTAACAATTCAACTTTTACTATGAAAGCCTTCATTTTTGCTTTCTTTCTTCATTGTAGCTTTTCATAATTTTAGCAAGAATTTTTAACGTCAAAGATTTGAAACACAACGGAAATATAGCTATAAAAAACTTAGTTTTTTTTTGGGTTCCTTACACAAATATTGTTAAAATGTATTTGATTTGCAAACGATACAATCGTTCACACTTAATATATTTGTTGCATTGAATTTAACAATGTAGACATAAAATTATCACAAATACTATTTATAGACAAGACAAAATGTACACTTATAGAACAAGCAACTTAGATAAATTGGCCGATCATTTCTCGTTCAGCATTCAACTAAAGAACCCTAAAAGGTTAAAGATGAATAGATATCAATTGTTTCATAGGCAAGTGTGAACATGGCCGCTATTGTTGAATATTATAAACGAGTTCTGACACGCGATTGCTTTGCGAAACGCCCCGCTCACGACTAAAACTAAATAAATAGTCTCGTATTGACATTGTTGCCCAAGCAGCTGATAAGTAATTTAATTAGAACGGCTTTAATTGAATATTGGAAATAACATGGCCCTGCGACGGCGATGTCGCAACGAATTAATCAAATATGATTTACACGCTAGCGGTTCTCATACGCGAAGAGGGCTGACAATCTTCTGATGAGTGTTGTCAATCTAACCGTAAACACTGATGAATCCTTAGTAGTCACACATAAATAGATAGTCATCTCTTTCATTCTCATTAAAAAATTAGAGGTAACAATACGTTTTTGTAGAGATATTTCAGCAGCGGATACCAATGTTTCATATACAGGTTGATTCATAATTCAACAGGATGAGGCAATGAAAATACATGATGTATAAATATTTGATATCAAAGTTATGATTTCGTGTACACAAATTGAAAATAGTCACGATTTGTTTGTTGTGAAGCTTAAAGTTTGTCCAAATCAGCGGCATTGTAAGTTAGGTTCTTATGTCTACTTAAGCCTTGTTTCTAGTTAGGTCTTTTGCCGTCAGGGTTGAAATACCGTAATAATAAAAAACCTATATCTGTGTGTTGGTTCTCAAATGTCATATTAGTCAATAATTATTACAGATTACTTATATATTTTTTTGGAAGAACACTATAATCAAAATATCTTTTGTTTAGTTATCGTTACAAAGCTCAAGAAACGCTTGCTTTTCCTACAGTTTCTCTACTTCTAACAAAATAGTATTACTCATTGTTTAGTTAATAAACTTTTCAGCTTATCTCAAGCCTTGGCTGTAAATTTAACTCTGATTCGACAGCCCTATTTAACTCAAGCGCCACTCTACGAGACGATCTTACGAAATGTTGCCGACTGAACATTAACAAAGGAAATAAATTGTATTAAATATTTAACACGATATGCATTATAAAATGCTAAATTATTACATTAAGAATTGTGTTACCGAAACGCCCGGCCGCGACACAAACTCAATAACAAACAACACAATAAAATCCTTTCACAATGCAAACTTATGGCACAATTAACCAAAAAAAGGATTTAGTTCATATCGATTGGAAATATTTCGATTTTTATATAATAACATCAACAATTTTGGTAGATATTGCTACACATTGTCCAAACCAAAAGGCAATAAGCGGGCATGGTTTTTAGAACTGGCGATAAGTTCTAGAATGCCAAGAATAAGACGATGAAGTTTCAAGGTCATGTCAAGATTAAGAAAATAAGATTGAAGGTGTTGAAATCTATCGAAGAAGGAGAAAAGCCTGCATCATGTAGACCTTCTTGTTGTTGATGATGACGAAACTAACGACGAACAACTTGGTACGATTTCTTGCACAATCTTAAAGTAACAAAGGTTTGGACTTGATTCCCATTTAAATGTACGCATTTTAAATATAAAACTCTATCCAATATAAAACATGTAATTCTTAGTCTGGTACAACAAACAAATAAGTTTATCTTACGGAAGGTCAAAGAGGAATATATCCGTTACTCCAATTTCCGTAAACTAGACAAGTAGATCATAACATAGGTGAAGGATGACGAGGTCGGTACAATGTCCCCAGATCAGATATTAACATAGTTACGGTTGAAAACAATATTTTAGATATTAAAACAATAACCCAGCTTCCTTATGATATTTATACCAGAGTAACGATTACATTTTTTATATTCGGTAGAGTTTTATATTATCGAATTGTCATATTAGTCTCTAGGTTGTATATTTTACCTTATCGTCGCCATAAAGTTATTTCATTGGTAAATAAGTTCTGAAAAAGTCATTGATAGGCGCCATCCGGGTTCTCCAGATTTACGTTATTTAAACATCAAAGAATTATGAACTTTAATCATATGATGATAAAGTTTATATATTGTTATATGTTTCTTTACTCATTAGGGCAGGCAGCGACGGGAAAAAAGTCAAGCTGGCCGCCTGGTCGGCGACGCAAATTGATCGTGGCTGCGCGACTTCCTCGAAAACAGCTTCGTCGTGTTTATGCAATACAAGTTTTAAAAATATCTGCTATGTTGCATTATTATAATAACGTATTGTGACGTAATCATTGTAGCTGTATTATTAAATAGTTTGAACACATAAATAATGCCCTTTGAAAGTGTTGGATAACATAACTATATAGGTATAAAAATAGATTCGTTTTGAGTTGTTTGTTGTTGAGTTTTGGTTTGTGTATTTATTAAAGTGATTGTAATCAATACAAACATAATTTTAAAGTTTAGAGACACGCAGAGACGTAAAGTGAACACTTTAAAACAATTAATAACCCCGTATGCGACATGTACAAAAAGTTAGGGCATTATTAAAGACTTTGCAAAACAATTACGTTTAAATTGTAACATTTAAAGATCGTTGGTGGACGAGTGAGGGCATTAACTGTCGTTAACCGTAGATTTCTATTAAAATCGTGTTATCGCACTTCTTTTAGACAGGATGAGAGAGGTGGCAATATGTTTTGAACTAATGTTTTTAGCAGTGGAAACACGCTTAGAAACCTAACAGAAAGCCAGTGAGAACAGTACGTGGAAGAGATAGGTGAAGTGATTCTTCCTTTTACAGTTATCTATTTTGAGAATTCTCGGATTATACGACCGTGAGTCATTGAGATGATGTTAATTAATCGAAATTACTTTATAAGAGCATAAATAAAGTAATTAATTAATTTTTAAATGGAATATCGGGTAACGGTAATTAGGAATAAATATTCAATGAATTAGCTTTGATGTTAAATCTATTAGAGGAATCGGTAAAAGGCGTACCGTTAATATAGAATTAGGAAGTTTTAGAACAGATCAATGTTTGTCTAGGATTTCAGTAATAGTAAGTAACACTTAATCTTTCTATTTGTTCATGTATATTACTTTGTAACTCTATGTCTCTCTCTCAGTATATTTGTAAACTAGCTTTCTCCTGCGGCTCCGCTCGCGCGGGTTTTAAAAAGTAGATAGTAGCAGATTCTACATCGCCGACAAGATGCAGGAGAGTAGGCTGCGATGTATGGTCATGTAAGGAGGTGGCCGCCGGACTACGTCGGTAATTTAGCACTCCAACTTACCCTCCTTGGTCGCAGAACCAGAGGCAGACCCAAAACGAGATGGAAAGATGTAGTAAATAAAAGACATGTGTGAGTGCCAAGTTTCAGAAGAAGATGTCATGGACAGAGCGAAGTGGGAGAGACTGATTGGGAAAGCTGATCCCAGCACCTTGTGAGATGCAAGCTAGGCAGAGAGAGAGAGTAGCAGAGTTTCAGACCGACAGTATATGCATATTAAATTTCATAAAAATCGGTCAAGCGGTTTCGAAGGAGTATAACTAACATTGTGACACAATAACTTTATATATAAGATATTTTCTAGCATAATTATTATTTTATATCGAAAAGCATTGCATGATCGTCTAGCATCAATACAATTACAAATTGCCCCCGCAGAGGGCGCTGCGCACTGCCGGTGTTAATCTGACTTTAGCGCAGGTTGGCGTAGGCGGATCAGATCCAATTACGGCTTAGTGTGAATTAATTTATTGCAAAAGGCGCCTCCGAGTCGCTCTCACATTGAGACACGACATCTAGATGATGGCCAGACCTTCCGACAACTAAACGGTTTGTATACAAGCTTTTACTAGATATACCAAATTGCACTCTCTCTTGTTAAATATCTAAGAGTCGTGTTTAGATGGTTAAACTCGTTCCGCTTCCGTGCTCGTGTAACGTAGCAGTTGTTTATTGAATGAATATACAGAAAGGACTTATATTCCCAATGGTTAATAGGTATAGAGACGGGTGCATGGTTCCCTTTCTATTAGAGGCAAAATCGTTTTCAAAAATCATATACTTTCAAATTCCGTTTCAGATATAAGGGAAGGAAAACATGTAAATATTTTAATGAAAATCACATGTGAAACTAATTTTCTGCTTATCTTCGACCATCAGCGAAAAGAAAGAATGTTATCGGAACACAATCGGACAGTAAAAAATATTTTTGAATAAATTATCGTAAGAATGTCTCGGTGTCGACGTCGACGCGGATTTTAAATTAAACGGTGATGCATTCCTTATTGTATGCGCGTACGCAGATCTAGAACGGAGGCTGCGCAGGCTGATGCGAGATGCGAGGTTTCCAGTCAGTCGCACGGGGAACGTCGCGGCGATCGGACGAGCCCACATGCCACGCGCTTTCACAACCACCGTATTCACGATATCATTTACGATAATCCGCGTGTAAAAATTTGTGTACCGTGAATATTAAAGTGTTAATTCGGACCGATGTGATTGGATACTAGAAATATGATCGGTTAATCCAGACTTTTATTTACACGTGAAAAAATAAACTTTCTAAATGAAGATGACTGTAAATCGTATAAGGGTAGTGGTGCTCGGAAGCCCGCGGAGCGGGAAATCGGGTTAGTATTTATTTCTTTAACTCTATTTAATTTTTTCTTGGCTGCAAAAAATATTTAACTACAATTTCTATATTTTTCACCACGGAATGTATTTGGTAAAACTTCGTCATAATTCCATTACAAAAAATATAAAAAGTTACAAATTAAATTTTAAAAAATAAGGTTAAATACAAGCAATAAATACTACAGTAAAATATTTCACGCGAAAAATTTACACATTTTTCGCGTTGTTAAGTTGGGTAAGAATACTTTTGTCGTCTACGATAAAAAAAAAATTGTGTCATATGTGTGAAATGAGACTAGATTGATAAAAATGTTTGCAGACTTATTGATATAATCAAGTTACCTGTATTTCGTTTTTCTTTTGTTGCATTTGCCCGCTTATCTCTGGAGTCAAATAAATAAATACAGATTAAATAACGCTTATAGATAAATTACGTTCTGAGTATTATTAAATAAACAATCGATACGAAGAACTGTTATTGTTCTAGTTCCTTTCTGTTTTCTACGATATTTAAAGAACGTTTTACTAAATATTAGTTTGTTTATTCGAATAGCGGTAACTTGGACGCTTAATTTAAAGACTAGAAGTATTCATCCGTATATAATTAGATGTTTTTAGTAGTATCTGTCGCCCGCGATTCCGTTCTAATTAGTAGCCTATGTGTTCTTCCATATTATGTTCTGCATCTATGCCAAATTTTTTCCATCCATCCAAACATTCGTATTTATAATTTTAGTAAGATTATACGTAATTTTAGAATATACATGAATTTTAGAAAAAGTAGCTTTTAATAGATGCTAAAAGGTTTATAAAATTCATTAATTTTTCAATTAAAACCTTCATAACATTTTAAATAAAATGCGATATAAAGTTTTTTCTTTATTTTATAGGGATTTTCATTGTTTTGATTATGTTAGTCCCATGAACTCCTTAGAAAATAATAACAACTACAAGTGTAAGAATACTTAAAAAAAAATACAATTTTTAAGTTTGTCTAGTATATTTAATGAGAATTTATAACGACTGTGTTATCAACGTATAATTACGAGAAAAGAAAATAAATCGATTTGGAAACGTATTCGTGATGGAGTCGTAAGAACTTTTGCTTGACGTAAGTAGAATAATTTGCAAGTTATCGAGGTCAAGGCCTGGCGGGTTTCATGGTAAAGAGGTTGCCAACCCAAATGCAAAACAACTACTCAAATGTAAACTGCAAATTAAATACGATTTTATTTATCTTTTTATCTTTACTAGCTTATAAATGCCGTAACAAAATATATTTATTAATGAACTAGCGATCGCCCGCGACTTCCACAGCGCAAATAAAAATAAAAATAGTAGCCTATAACATGTCCGCGTGCAAGCTACCTTCCAGTCCAAGTCTCGTCAAAATCGGTCCAGCCGTTCCAGAGATTACGTGGAACAAACACGGCCTAGCGGACAGACATACGAAATATAATTTTTTCCTCTATATTACGTACAGACGGTCCATTTTTATTAAATATGTATAGATGTATCATAAGATTGATATGCGTTTGTGATAGCATTACTATGTGCTAATATTTACACATAGTATGTGTTATCACATTCTTTAGCGATGTATTCCACTCTTTGTTGTGAAGGAGAAGATCGTGATTCGTGATACTGATTCCAAGAAATGTAAGTGCCGTCTTATATGATACGTTATTTATACATTATATTTATAAAAAAAAACAGAAATAAAGTAACCATTCAAACCGAGGTGTACGTTTTTACTATTGTACGAGTATGGATCATGACAAGACGAATGGAGGGAATGATAATTAATACTGTGAACAAGTAATTTAACATCATCCCGAAATATAACAAAGTTGGTAAAAGTTAGATCGCAAAGTACCGTGTTAACTATGCCAACTTTAAAAGATTTTGAGAGAAAATAAATAAATAAATAATTATTTTTATCCCTACATCCATCAAACAAAAGTAGGTAAGCATTTTTATAGAATATCTTTGAATAATTTATTACTTAAGGGATCAATGACCGCTTTTTGTTTTATAATAGTTGGAATTTGTACGGTGGATAACTCATGGCTAGCTAATGGTGTTTGTGCGTGTTTATTTATGTGTGAAGTTTTTAATAGCAATCATTCGCCAGTTACATCGTTTATACTATTGCGAGGTATGTTCAAGTCTATAAGTGAAATCTGGTGATAATCGTAATGGTATGAGACTTATTCATATTTAGCTGAGTTACTGTGGATTTCTGAGACTAAAATCCCCGTGTGAAACATATCGTTATCTCTGTTTTCTCAAAGATAATGATAGGGATAACAATATGTTTTATACAAAGATTTTTATTTCAGAAAACAATGGTTATTTAATCACTATATTGAGATGGTCAGAATATACGTACGACTAGGAGGTAATTTACGTTTCCTCTATTTGCAATAATTACCGTTTAGTAATACCTTAGTTATTATGTGAATTACTTAAATCGTTAAATGTTAACAGTAGTAATCGAAAGACGCGTTTGCAGCACCATTATGTTTCTAATATTCATTTGTACGTTTTCATATAATATATGAACAAAATTCTTCCTCACAGTAGGGTAAATTGTAATAACATGTCATATTTATTTTGTAATTTTTACTTTCAAATATATACAACTTTTATTTTAAAAACTAGCTTTCACTCACGACTACGTCCCCAAGTTAATAAGTATGTCTTCTTCTAGACTATGGTCTACATCTATGCCAAATTTCAGGGAGATCCGTTCAGCCGTTCCAGAGATAACTTCAAACAAACATCCATCCATGTAAACATTCGCATTTATATTAGTAAGATTAGTATGATGTAAATCTTTTCTTTTTCATTTTGGCAAGTAATATGACTCAAAAGGCAAGACATTTGTGAGAGACAAACGCATATGTCGACACCCACGCCGACAAAGATTAACGGATTACCACAAACGCGTAACGGAATCAAAGTTGTATCGGAGAATCGAATATCACAATTCTATCCATAACATTTTATATACCTCTACAACGACCAAGATAACTTACGTCCTAAGGCACTTAGGTAACTGTAAAGGTGATGCGTCAGTATCGCAAAGATTTACACTAAGAACAAGGACGTGTTTGAATCTAGTATTTGTCTATTTTACTTATATTATAAATGCGCATGTACAGATAGATGGATGTTTGTTTGAAGGTATCTCCATAACGGCTGAACGGATCCCGCTGAAATTTGACATACATGAGAACTTAGTCTGGAAGAACACATAGTCTACTAATTATATTTTTTTTAATACCAAGACAATTGTTTGTTATAAACCTTCAAGGGTACGTAAGCTAAAGTTTATATTAAAAGGTTAAGGCCCATATTTCGGTGCTTTCGTAGATTGATTTTATGTTTGTTCGTTTACAGTTTTATGGGTTTACGCCTCGTTTGGGAATCTGTAAAGATTGTGATCTCTATAATGTAAAAATAGCTTCGAGAGGTTATAATTAAGTATTTTGCATAGTGTAGGCCGTGTCCGTGTGTGGAGCAACGACCTCGACTACCGGCGTGTTAATGCGTGGTCGTTTAAGAGTTACACAACGTGCGCGCCGGCGCCAGCCAACGGAGCCGTCGGGAAATCGCTTCGCTGACCCACCGGCCGACTGGACGGACTGCACCGGCTCGCCTGTCGGCCGACTGCTCGTAATTGCACCGCCCTAATTGTCGGTCCGCCCGACAACCGACAAGCGACATGTCGCGTCTTACCTTAACTCATTCGCATCGTACACGCTAAATTGTTTTCTATTCCTGCCGTATTAGATGGGAGGGGCTATCGCGGATATCTGTCCGACTAACATCGTTTAAACTCCGACTTAATTCTCCATAGTAACAATACTATAAAAGCTTTTAACGTAAACATTAACCGCCGAGGAAAATATATATGCACCTACGACATTTAGGTCATATTACAGGTCCGTTTACGAAATATGATATGCATCTCGTGTACCCTGTGGTTATTCGTTGGACATAAATTTTATTATAAATGGTAACACTTACGCTCATAATTCACGGCGAATTAAATATGTTGGTAGAGCGCGGCCATCTTGACAAATGACATTCGATTTAAGAGAAAATATCATTTCATATTTATAAAAAGTTGGTTAACTTTCTAATGAAAATACGAATAAATAAATCGCATTTGAATTTATTTATGTAATGAATTTATTCAGACAAATTTGTTAGTACGGTATGTACGGTCTGCAGAAGAATTACAAATATATATTACGTCATATATCTAAAGAATCGTAATATCGTGGAAGAGTCGTTTTAGTAAATTACGAATTACGTGTTTAGAATACTATAATTTATTTATGACCAAGAAGTTAAATTATAAATAAACTCCTTTGAATGCGTAGTTATCAAAGCTTATTCCTTCGCAAACAATATAAGAGTTACGTTTAATATACTTGGCAGTACATTTGTAATAACTAGCAGCTGAGCTATGTGTGAGGTCAAACAATCCACTATTCCAGCATGATTGATTAAGCCCTGTCACCCTAATTTGGGTAGGCTTCAAGCCCCTCACAGGAGACAACTTGAAGGTGTGAGCTGACGATGTTAAAGGCAGGCAGACTTTAATCCGTAAAAATTTGTTGTTGAAAAAATCACCTAATCTGCATTTTTTTATGGTTGGTGTAGTACTTCCATTGCCACGTGTCAACGCCATTTTTTTCCGTTTCGACAGGTGATGGATTATGTTGGCTATCTATTAATTACCCTTAGATTCCTGTTCGTATAACGACCATTGTTTCTTCTGATGGTGCACCATCTATCAACCCACGTGATGCCATGTTGTTCCGCCGTTGTAATTTGTCTTTCATGCCTCTATGAGTTATTAATAGATTTTTGATTTTTTTTTAAACTTGTGTCAAATGTCAATCAGTTTACAGCCAGTCATATATTACAGCACGATTACAACACGATCAGTGATAATGTTGATAGTCATAGATAAAGTTTTTTTTTATTTCGTCAATGTTGTAACTAGCTGGAAATAAGCGTTAGTTTAAAGAACACTTATTTAGTAAAAATTATGCATTCTTAAATTAAAATTAATAAAGAATTAAAACTTTTCGGAGTGCACTTTTAAGTTTTTAATTTTTAAAAATACATTGTGATTAAAATTAAAATAAAATAAAATTAAAATTAAAGTTATATTAATCTTTATAATTCAAAATATTTGGAAGATTTTTATATTTGCAAAATTAAATACGTACGCAAGCATCTACGAAATGTTTTTTTAATTATTTTATTGGAATTCACGATTTCCCGATTAAGGAGGACTGTTGAAATTTTATCACATACTGCACGTAATCCGATCGAATGGAGAAAGTAAAATTCCTTATACCCATTACAGTCTTAAAATCAAATCGAAAATAAGAGTGTTGTTTCTCTGCCATTGTAAAACTGTTGCGTTAAATACATTGTAATGTTATGTCCCAAGATTTTATTACGTGTTATTAAATTTTAATAATTTATGACAAATTGTTTAGCAAAAGTTTGACTTTTATTGACCAGATAATGGGTAAGTCCTGCGCAATGCAGTCCTGATTACGATGTACTTTCGAATAATATTTATAGGTTAAAATTTCCTTTTCGGTTGTAATTTTCGCGCCGCAATAATTTACTAACGAGACCGTTTTAAGGACCGATATCCGCAAAGGGGAAAGTAATTTTTTATTCACAATAATTTTTGTAATAACAAACTCCAAGGCCTTTAAGTGTGATCATGACGATGCTTATTTTTATAATAAATATAATTATACATAAGTACGGTACAATTTATTACGCGAAGAACCACAACTAGCTGTCGCCCGCGACTCTGACCGCGTGGTGTTGTTTTTTTTAAAACTTAGTAAGTAACCTACGTGTTCTTCCAGACTATGTTCTACATTTGAGCCACATTTCATCAAGATCCGTTGAACCGTTCCGGAGATACCGTGTAACATCCATCCATCCATCTATCTGTCAAATTTATAATATTAATAAGTTTAAATTATAAGTTTTGATGTTAACAATTGTTTGAAATGATGATCATTTTATACAAAAAACAATGTACTAGTTTCTTTTAAATACAATTTTCTCGATATTTCTAACAATAAAATCGATAACCTAACTAATTCATATATAAGGTAAACCAGGAAGCTATTACTTCAGTTCGAGAATTGAACTAGAAAGTCGAAGGAATTCACTTCAAGTCCATTGTCATACTTGTTTCACACGAGGGTAGAACAGTAGGACAGAAACGTTCAAAACAGTACTCCGACGAGACAAAGTAAAATTAGATTAGCGATATCGTTAGTTGAAAATTCAAAGACGTATGGAAGTGACAACTTTCTTATATTTGTTTCTTAATATTTGAGTATATTACAAACATGCTATGTCTTTGTTAATGATCTGTAGTTGTAGTGTGTTCCAACAATAGCTGTACCGCACTCTACTGCTCTGCGTGACTGTTGTACCCTAGTGTGAAACTATCGTAAGTTGACTTACGTAAGGTAGACGCTCCGGTTGTGCAACCATTTTGGGTCGGGAATGGGTAACGATTTCCTCGGGACCCGTTCCCTTGTTCCTCCGAACTTGGTACGACCAGTTTCTTTGCTTGTCGCCAATGTTTGATCTTCTTGTATCATTACAACAATTGTCAACTGCTTTTTATATGTGTTTTTTTATATAAAATAACAAGATATAAATATTGTAGAATTTATGTGGATCACTAAATATTGGCATTTAAATTTTTTTTTTGTTTGAATTGTTAAAAGTATTTATCGTTTTTTATTTGTATTTGAATGTAAAGGTACCATTTTTTTATTATTATACCTTCCTTATTTATTTGTGTGGCATTTTATATAGTCTTTATAAATTTTTGTGTTACTTATATTTTTATTTCTCAAATAATCTTTAAGAAATATTTCTCGAAATTCCTTATTCAAAACCTGACTTTTAAACCGGTTCGAAAGATTCCTGCACATCCCTTTATCTAAGAAAATCTAGTAGCTTTATAAAAAAGATATCTAACTCAACACTGTTATCCAAAGGCGGGAAGTTATTAAACGGGCGTACATTCATTACAGTATCTTCATACGTTAGTGTAATAAAGGTGATGAGGTTTTTATCTAAGTATACTAACTCCAATAATAACTATCCATCAAAGGACGTAGTCAAGAGAATTAAATTCGCTTCCCACTTAGGATAGAATTTCATACAACTGTACAATAAGAGCTATAATTCAGTACGTATGAAGGTATGACAAGTTTTTCGTTTGCAGTATGGTCGTCAAATGATATTTCATTGATGGGTAGGAAATTAATGTCCGTAACTGTAATCTAATATTACTTCAAGCACGTACCCGTAGTAATCAGCTTTTTGAATACGCAGCTCAGCCTTTGATGGGACTGTCAGGATTCACCACACTTCATTTAGTAAGGTCGGTCCTATTCAAGCTTCTTGCTGTCATTGACTATTTGTACTTGATGATTTAAATTCCAGGAGTCAATACATTCCTTTTGTAAACATAAATAGATGAATAGAAAGTACAGGTCAATAACCTCCTAATTGATGATTCATTTGGAAGTTTATTATATATTATAAGGTATACGTAAATGATAGATTAGAAATTGTAATAAAAAAACATAGACGCTTTTGTTAAAGACTAGGTTTGGTTAGTTTTAATAATATTTTTTTCTGTTTGTTACAGCGGTGGTTGTGCGATATCTTACAAAACGGTACATCGGAGAGTACAGCTCGACAGGGGGTGAGTTCTATATAATTTTTTTAACATAATCTTTTCGACATATTATTGTATTTTGAAGTTAAGTTAAGTTAAGTAATTTGTGGAATGTATGCATCAGTTAGATTTAAGCAAAGCACCAAGTTTCGTTTACATATTTACAATCTATTTATATACAAGAATTTTATAAAATAACTAGCCTGCGACTCCGTCCGCGAATTAAAAAAAAACTTAATTAGTAGCTTATTTGTTCTTCCAGACTATGTTCTTTCCAATGCCAAATTTCAAAGATATCCATGCTGTCAAAGTCCTGGCGATACCTTCTAGCAAACATCCAGTCATCCAACCATCTAAACCTTTGCATTTATAATATTAGTAAGATTAAATCGGTTAAAAATCTTCAATCCTTAATTCAAGATAAAAGCATAATTATTTTACCACCAATGCCTATTATAGTTATGTTTAAAACACTTTATCATGGTCAAAAATAGCCAGTACGATGTTATCATTGTAATTATTTGTTAACACGTATATTTACCTTGAATGACCTTAAATTATTAATCAATATTCTATAAATATACAATATATATAAGGTGAGGGCAGACACGTTTAATAATGACGCTCATCTTTCTTGTAACCGGACATAATCCTTGAATATAAGTACTAATTTTATTATAATTTTCCGTAAAACATGACTTGAATTTCGGCCGCTTTTATGTCTGTTTCCATTGTCGAAACATTTGTGTATAAGCATTATCTGTCATTCCCTTTGAAAGAAAAGAGACAACATGTTTGTATACAAGTTTTATGGCAGTGGAAATTTACGGTGAGACAAACTTTTCAACAATCAACCGTTTGGCCTATACGTTAGTTTTTAGGGTTCCATGCCTCGAAAGGACAAAAACGGAACCCTTATAGGATTCCCCCTCACTTTGTTGTCTGTCCGTATGTCTGTCAGGACCCTTTTTTTGGTACTATTTGTCTCTTCCCTTCCAAATAATGTTTTGAGTCAGATATTTCTGTTCACTTTTAATTAAAATAACTTTAAAATTGAATACGTCGATTACAACATTTACGATTGTTTTTTATCACAGTTTTATGATGTTCTTGTGATTGTAAATGTATTACGAAACGAAAGCTACGTTTTGCAATGTCGATTATTATAAGAAAGTTTTAATTGGCTGTTTGTATGGTCAAGGATGGTTGTAAGTGGTCAAAGTGCACTAAGTGGACACTAAGAAAACAATTTTTAATTTCAATCCTTAAGAAAAGTATAGTTTACAAATTGAACCGCAAATAGCCTAATGGTTAAAGGGTACGGATTCCTGATCAGGTGGTCGAGAGTTCGAATCCCACCATTCGAATATTGTCAAAAGCCATATCTCAGCATAAATATAGAGCTTAGTTGGAATGATACAAGAAATATTAGTAAATTAACAAAAAAAAATCTGCTAATATTTTACTTAAAAACATCTCGTAAAATGCATTAAAATTTTAAAATAAAAAACAGTGAAAAAATAATATTAAATTTCTTCCTTAAAACAGTCTAGCGTCTCTAGACTAGAGGAGGATAAATTACGTTGTTTGACATAAAAATTCTCAAGTAACATTATAATTAAGCGTCAATAGCCTAATAGTTAAGGGTACGGATTTCAGATCACGAGGTCGTGGGTTCGAATCCCGACATTCGACTATTGTCGTAAACCATATCCTAGTACAAGGTAAAAGAAATATTAGTAAATTTACAAAAAATCTGCTAATATTTAAAAAAAAACTTGTATTTTTGTATACATTTTAACATATATTCAATCACTATTATTGTCAATACATGTTATGTTTGTCCTAATTAAGAAAGGAAAGAAACGAGCTATCAAGACCGGTAGAAATACCATTACCTACACGGTCCAAATAAGCTCCGGTGAAAAGTGGGTACAGTCGACTAAAGTTGTACACACCTTTAACCATCCCATTAAGGTCATATGCTTGTAAAAAACCAGCTCTCTTGTTTTTTATATCATAACAATGCCGTGTTAAGTGGCAATATCATCTATGTACACGGATAAAAGTTTAGTACTTGTTTTGTTGTCGAGAACCCTTCAGATATCTAATTATTTTTTATGAACTTTTAACTTAAATACTATAAAAAATCGTTTTGTTTTTGTAACGGCAAATGGATCAATGTTTTCTCTCGTTTATTTTATTAATATTATAAATACGAACGTTTGAATGGATGTTTGTTTGAAGGTATTTCCAGAACCGCTAAACGGATCTCGATGAAATTTGGCATACACGTAGAACATAGTCGGGAAGGACACATAGGCTACTAATTAACTTTTTATTAATCCCGCTCGGACAAAGTCGCGGGCGACAGTTAGTTAGATCATAAAAGAATAACGAGTCTTTAAAATTACCTTAAAATTAAAGCATTCTCCTTTGTTTCAGATTTCCTCTACCAACATAGAGTAGCATTCGATGGAGCGGTTTCAGAAGTAGAAATATTGGACACCTCAAATTGCGCGGTAACTACCACTTGTAAAATTCATTCATTATTATTGTAGCTTTCAATTGTTTGTTGGTTATAGAGTCGATTATTTCTTATAGATTATAAAAAACTTTACGTGCTTGCAGGGATAGTTGCATTCTCATTCAGAATTACGTAGTTCACAAGACAAACAGCAATTTAACTGTAGATAAAGATCATAAACACTGGCTGGCAGTTCACTGATAGACGATGAACGATTTAATTATAAAAATAATACTGGCTCTGTAGAAAAGTCATTCCGAAACACTATGCTCGTTTTGTAGCGTACCTTACGTAGTGGTTTGGAGTCGGGAGCATCAAAGAACTTTCTAGATTAATCCTGGAGAAAATATTAGCTTCTACTGCTTAATTAGCCGTCGCAATGTTTCTATTGTAACTAACTTATTTACCATCAATGCATACCGGCATTTACAATGCGATTGTCTAAAGTCTTCACGACTGACCGACGGTTGCGTAACATCGATACTTCTTAACAAACGAAATACTTAGTCATCGTTATGAAGATCGGAGCAATGTGCTTTGTTTTCATCTGGGAGACAGCTTATTTAACTAATGCCTTTGATACTGCGCACTCTACTGATTTAGTGCGTTGCTTCCTTTGTACGTTCACTATTTTGAACGCATGCATATATTTCATAGAGACAAAACGATTATTTAATGTAAGGTCTGCTATAAAGATTCTCAAGTAGAGTTTCATTTAAGAAATGTTCTATGAAAACGTTTGTCGATTGTTTTTGTTGAGAATTCGGGTTTTAACAACAAGAATGTACACTCTTCTTCTTCCTTATGTTCATATAGTATATTAATTTTTGTTTTATAAATCAGATTATTGTTGTTTAGATTCGTGGTTGCATCGGCGATCACGTACGATGGGGCGATGCGTTCGCGGTGGTGTACTCTGTGTGCGAACGGCGTTCGTTCGTGGCGGCTGCCGAGCTGCTCTCATTGCTGGTGCGCAGCCGGCTGCCAGGCTGTGCGGCAATCACCCTCCTTGGGAATAAACGAGACCTCGAACACGCCAGGTAAATATAGAAAAGTTTTTATTAACCAATCAACCACATTGTCAATCGTCGTATGAGACTTTTAGGCTTCGAAGTCCGTGTTGCTATAAAACTGGAATGTTTTAGGGAGGTCCACGCAGAGGAGGGTCAAGAGTTGTCGTTGCGGTTCGGTTGCCAGTTCTACGAGGTGTCTGCGGCGGAGTCTTGCGCGGGTGCGGCGCTCGCCTTCCATGCGCTGCTACGCGAGGCACGTGCGCTGGCGTTGTTACTGCCCACGCCGCGCCGCAAGCTTGCGGCCTACTCCGTCTCTAAGGTACGACCAATCGTAGTACATCTACGAGGTGTCTGCAAGAGTCCAGGACAACCGTCAAGCACATTTACTAAAAGGTTGCCGGATCTCGTAGAATTATGTGACAATTTAAAGATGGGCCATTGTAGTTAAGTTAAATTTGTAGTTTCTTGTTTTCGTGTAAGGGAAAACTGCAGTAAAATGTTAGGGTCATTTTGAAAGAGTCCTGTGTACATGTAGTAGCAAACAAGGTTCCCATAAACGAGATTCCTTCACGCACTGAAGCCGTAATTCAAGCTAATGCATCCAATGTTTTTGTTCCCAACAGGTCATCGGCACGATATTCGGCAAAAACAGCAAAAGCGTCCGAAAGAAACGACCATCGTTAAGCATTTAAGTTTACTTTATTTATAAATTTAATATTATTTTTAAAACCATAGACTGTTTAATTTTTATATTAGAATAGTTGGATATTTTGCAAACATTACTTGATATTAAATGTGGAGTTCAATACGTTATTTTTTTGTCTATGATTCGATAGTAAAATTTAAATATTGTAAAAGATTCTACTATTTAAGTAATAAACTATAAAATTTGCTACCTAAATACATGTGCGAAATATTGATATTTTATAACTGATTTTAATTTTTTGATTTATTTAACTGCAATATAGACTTCAACTACTTTTGTACATAGTTTATCAAAACCTTGTTCAGTTAACTATAAAATAGATTTAACTATTTGGTTTAATAGTTCAACAATCATCAGATTTTTGGGCCTAGGTTAGACGATTGTATCCACCTTAAATTTTTTAGTTAGTAACTTAGTTTTTGTCGCATAAAAACATTGTCTCGATAGTTTATTTTTTGTTTTTGTAAAAAAAACCTCGCATTAGTTATAGATGGAGTGTAAACGATTACTTTGATAATTGTAAATATTAAGAAATAAGAGCCTTTTTGTAAGTTAAAATTAAGTTAAACATAATTAAAATAAGTCTCATTAAAAATGTGAGAACAATTTGATGGCTGATTATGAAATAAATTTGTATATTATTACTTAAGCATTTTTATTTAAAACTAGCTGTTGCCCGCGATGTCGCGCAGGCTTAAAAAAAAAACAAAAAAAATAATTAAGTAATCCTGTTCTTTAGAACAGTATAAGACCAGACATAATACAAACTACTTGTTTCTTGTCGTTAAAACAAATGAAAAAGGAATTATCTGACCAGTCTCCCAGCTCATTTTTAAGAGAAGAGTTTAAATAAAATTTAGAAGCAGAACTGCAGAAGAAGAAGAATCTAAACAGGGAATGGTGATTTAAAGACGTCTCTACATAGAGTGTGTTAAAAACAGGGAAACAATGGGGGGCGTAAGTAACTAAAGGAGATAGCAGAAACCAGCGCAGGATCGGCCTTGGCCGTGTTTTGTCAAGATTTGGTTTTTTTTTAATGTTTGCTTTATTAAATTTGTTTATATACTTTTATGCGACACTAAAAGGATATCCTATTCTATTCTAAGGATAAAAAGGAAAATGAAATTATTGAAATGCAATTGTATTTTTCAGTAGAGTATTTTATTTAGCAATTTATGTTTAACCTATAATTATAGTAATCCTTACAGACATCGCGTTGTATTAATAATTTAATTAATTTTATGTTTATTTTATTACAGTGCATTAGTTCAGTATTTAATTGTTATCCATTTGGCAAAGGAATAATATAAATCTAACGTAATATCTACAGAGTGTTGAAATGTTCAGAGCTGTCAAGTGCGTCGTAAAACCTAATTGATTTTACGATTCCAACCGTTGAATCCCTCCATGACACACATGTTGTCTCTGTCTATTTCAAAGAGAATGAAAGGGACATCAATATTATATTACACAAGTGATTCGACAATCGAAACTGTTAAGAAAAACTTCCATTGATTTTGCTGAGATGGAATGTATCGGCGGGTTATCAAAGCACACTACCGATGCGCAATAAAATAATTTAATTATATAAACCGTTAGAGAACGATAACATATTGCATCGTAAATTCTAACTCAATTAATTTCATAATCTAAGACTATGAAGTATAATTAATTTTAATTAATCTGGCTTACAATTTACAAACATTTACATTAGGTCGAAGTTCATTTACGTGTCGATATGGCAATTTTTTATAATAAAAATAAAATTAGACTAGAGAGCAAGGAGTTCCTTACCATGAAGATTTTTTTAACTGTAGAGTTCGGTATACTGTACTGTATTATTTAATAAAATTAGACTAGAGAGCAAGGAGTTCCTTACCATGAAGATTTTTTTTAACTGTAGAGTTCGGTATACTGCACTGTATTATTTGAGAATACGTACAGGCTAAGTATTGTTAAACATTCCGGGCAGAAGTCGCAGGCAAAAGCTTGTTAATAGATAGTCTAATATATGTGATTTGAAAGTGTTGGTTGTATCTGGCAATAGTTACGGTTAAGTTGAACGGAAACTTTAGGCGAACAGATAACCGATAACCGAACCGATGACGTGGAAGCGGAAGCCTTAACAAGTTCAAGTGCACGTCAGTTGTGAACTGGCTCGTAATTTATTCGGTTGGCGGGTTAGGAATGAATGGGCGCATGAGAGCGGTAAATAATTGGCGAGACGCGGTTGCGTAATGCAATAAATAATTCCTTCACTTGTTCCCTGCTTCATATATAAATCGAATACAAACATGGAGGTCCGAACATAGACCTATAGATATTTTTAATCTTTCAATCTTTGTCTTATGCCTCTTAATAAGTCTTTTTTATTTAGTTTTATTCTTTGCTAAATGTTCCTTAAAATATTTTGTTCCATGGTTGAGCATAAGCAGTCGCATTTAAGGAGAAAAAAAATATATGTATGATTTATTCTTTACTAGCTGTTGACCGCGACTCCGTCTGCGCGGAATTAAAAAAAAACTTATTTAATAGCCTATGCATTCTTCCAGACTATGTTCTATATGTGTGCCAAATTTCTTCGTTCAGCCGTTCTAAAGATACCTTCAAACAAACATCCATCCATCTAAACATTCGCATTTATAATATTAGTGTGATAGAACAAACAACAAGGAGATATGATGCATATTTTAAATTCTAGTACACGATAAGATTTGTATGACATCAACGCTTTAACATGTTCGTAGTTCACGAAATCTGTATTGTTTTAACAAATAATTTTTTTAGTTCTTTAATTTTTTATATCATCCTGTATCTATTAGATACTCTACGTATACAGGTGTTTGTTCGATGCCGAGATAAAAGTAATAAATAAATGGTGTGTCTAGATGGTGGTAGTGGCGCCAGCTTTCCGCCGCGCATGCGGACGCAGAAACTGTTCAACTTTTAGCTATTTATTGCACCTCATAAATTATCTAGTGTTGCATCTTACATGCTCTATAGCTTACGATATAATGTCATGTAATAATAAAAATTAACATTTATTTAAAATAATAACCTACTAGCTGACGCCCGCGACTTCGACCGGACGGAATTAAAAAAAATAGTAAGTAACCTATGTGTACTTCCAGACTATGTTCTATATGTATGCCAAATTTCAGCGATCCATGCAGCCGCTCTGTAGATAACTTCTAAGAAACATCCATCCATCCATTAATACTAACGTTTCCATTTTTAATATTAGTAATAAGGTTTTATCTGTATAATACCTATACTGCGCTAGCAGGGTTCATTCACCTGACTCCAAACGTTATAAAGGTTGATATTTTTGGAAAATCTTTTGATGAAACACAAAAAGTTCATGATGTCCTTCTTTTGGTGCCAACGAATGTTGGCGATCATTATAGCAATATGAACTTTAGGCACTCGAAACGATAGAACGCGTATTTTTGTTGTACCATTAGGGCAGATTTTCCCTGCACTGATGCAGTACATGAAAAATGAAAATCTTACATTGGAATACATTTTCACATGTGTTATAATCCAACTCCATCAGCCATTCCTTTGTAATTTTTTGTTAAATTATACGCTTCCAGGTTTTTTACATTGGACTTTTTATCTAAAATATTATATAAGTAGGGTGCAAGGAATTTAAAATGTTTTGTGGCAAATGTACTTTTAACAGTAGATAAATTAAATCTATGAATTCTCTTACTATTTGTAGTTGTATTACTATCTTTATTTTTATGAAGGGCCTTGACGCATTCAAATATGAAAGTTTTACGAATTCTCAAAATATTATGTTTGTTGTAAAGTTCGTCAGTGGGATGTTTGAAAGGCAACCTGAACATCACTTTTAGAAGAGCACGTTGGGCACTTTCGTTATAGCAAGTTCATGGTATAGGTATTTCTGTATAGAGTAATTAGTTGTGACATTCTATTTGAAATGATTAATATCAATGAAGCACACTAGGTATGAAAACATTGGGTGACGGGAGACGCATGATAAGTTGCATTTGACTTAATACTAGTGAAATGTCTATCATTACAGCTACTCTTTACACATTGTATTAAGAAACAGTGGTAGAGCCCGCTTTAACATCTTCGCACGGATTGGCCCGGCTCGCCCGGTGAAATACCACGACCACACAGAAGACAGGCGTGAAGTGGAAGCAATTCCGCGTTTCGTCTGATGAGTGTGCGTCCCGGAGGCCTAATTTAGTCCTCTTTCCCTTCCAACCTTTTTCTTATAAGGAAAGGATGGGAAGTGGAAGTGGACTTTCCGGATGAGAGGGTGCATGGAAAGGGAATATATTTTCTTTCTGTGCATCCTGTCTGTCTATGGGCAACGGTCACTTCGCTATATCAGCGATTTCAGGTGGCCGCTCGCTCGTTTGCCACCTTATGATTTAAAAAAAAAACTTTAGCAGTTATAAAGTCTTTAACCTTTATTATTTGAACAATTATTATAATTAAATCTACGCATATGCTTGTATTGTGAATTGAATATTTTAATGAATAGTTATAACTTTCGTTTGTTGTAATTTATTCAATAGAAAAGGTTATGAACACGTGACCTGCGCGCAAATTTAGCGTCAATTATTGTATGTGATATATGAATTAATGATGAATTGATAGCTCAAGTGAAAGCATTCATAATCAGATAGGATATGTCACCGATAGATTATGAACTTCGATAATTTATAAACTGACTAATCTAGATATTACTTAGGAGATTACAGACACAAAGTATTTTAATAATTTATTTTGATTATTTTTTTATTAGATTTGCGTATATTTACAGTTTAACTCACTTTAAAATTTTATAGCGAAAGTAAAATATTAGTAAAGTCCAAGTCAATATTCAACGACACGTTAATCAAATCCGATGTTTTTTCTGATATAATTGAATAGTAATAAGTTTAGTCAAATTTTATATTTACGAAATTCATAAACTATCAGTGACGTGTCAACAGTATTGCTGGAAGCTTAGTTGGATCATGTATTGAGGTAGCCACAACTATAAGAAAAGTCGGTCGATGTTTGAGGCCCGTGTCATTTAAATGTGGCTCAGTTGATTGCGCGAAGAATGGCGGGAAAATTACAAGATCATAACGGTGATTTATTGAATAAATATCTCTGTGAACGTCCAAACTTATAGATCTTTAGACGTAATTTAGTATATCATACCTTTCCGCATTTGCTAAGGAATGTTAGAAATTGACGGACGGTTTTTGCACACACACAACTCACGTCAACCCAGAGGGATAGGAAGAGTACCACCGATCGCCATTTAGCGTGGCCAAACGAACCTCCACAATCCGATTCTGAATTTTTCTTTCGTATAAAAGATCTTAGCAGAGTTTATAATAATACCGAACTAAATCGACGAGTATTTTAGAGTATTCGTTTTCTCTTATAAGAAAATAGAAAAGATCTTAAATCGTAGTGTTAAATGGCGATATTCATAAAGTTAAAACCAACAGAATGTTGACAGTTAAATTCGAGCTTGGTATTTCAAATAGAAATTGTCTGTTGTGTTGACAACATGAAGTTAGCGTAATTTAAAATTTACGACAATATCCTTCTCGACCCAGATTTAAAATTAGCT